TTCCTTGCTAGCATGATCTTTCATCTTTCATGACTCTCTTCCTTGCTGTCAATACTTGAACTTGAGTTCTAATCCTTCGTTAGAGCATTGTGAGTTCGTGAAAGTCGCTTCTATCGGGCTGGCTTTAGCCAACTGGCCGTCGTTTTACAACCACAAGAATCTAGCTCGAGGTCAACTATTCCTGGAGGAAAACTGATTCTGTTGATGTCATCAAACCGAGCACACGTAATCGAAAGTTTGAGCAAATTGGGTGATAATTCCAAAGTGTCGATTCTAGTTGGTAACAGAAAAATTGTGAGGGAAGTCAAATGAGTAAAAGCGGTCCAATCGTACATGCTAATACGATTCTCAGGCGAATCTCTTCTCACATGGTTGGAGTACAAAGAGCGTAACAGTGTAGGAATCCTAGAAAACGATGAACTAGAGAATCCAAAATTTATCACTTTGGGGCCAAGAAAGGAGATCACTTCATCCACATTTATAACTTCAACCAAACGTCTGTCTCCATTCTTATAATCGATACCTTCAGTATACGAAAAAGTTTCCAAGTCTTTGTTCCAGAGTTTTTGGAGTAGAAATGAGCGACCACCAGGGTATTCTGTAAATCCAAAACCCGTAGACCTTCTAGTTGCGGATGGTTCTCCTCCATACTTATGTGGCAATTTCTTGCTACCAACCTTTCCAAATCAACTGGTAATGTGCTGAAAGGCACATTTTGGAGAACCATGGTTTTCAAGCTGGGGTGGGTATGGTCGACGATTATTTCGCAATTACCGCCATAAAAAGTTTCCAATTTCGGGAATTCATTCAAAGGTATAGGTTCACAATTCCACAATGAGAGGCAAGTGATTTTGAGATTCAAATCATGGTCTGAGAAAAAACGAACAATGGAAGACGGCATGTCTCTGAGGTCAGCGCTTATGTTCAATTCTTTATCATTGTAAACTGAGTTGATTTCTTTGAGATTTCGACGCATTTTGAAAGTGTTTTCCCATCTATAATGGAACCACAGAGGACGCCTGGTAGACTTCTTTTCGAGAATTTTGTGTATCTTTACAAACCGATTGAAGTCGGTTTCAAAGTGGTACCGGTCGTGAGAAACTTTATCGTGGTACTGGTCGAAACTGGTTTTATAGTGGGTCTTTAATAATTTCATTTTCTTTGATGTCTCGAAGTTTGATTGCATACCATAGGTTGAGATTGTTTGCTGCTGCTTCAAGAATATTATCAGGAATGTTCTCCAATAGTATTGTATCCGTGAGAGTTCTGTGTTCAAGTAAGAAAAACACACGTGAGTAATTCACGCGGTAAGTTCAGCGAGAGTCATTAGCCTTGAGTTTGATTTTAACTTTTGAGTTCGCATGCGGCGAATTGTGCAGGATAGTGGCTGCAAATTTCACATTTAACAATGTGATAAGACGAAGCTGGGGAAGGAACAAGACATTGAGTGTTGAATTTCTTATGATTTAATTTGGTTTTTGTAATCTTTTGCTTTCATAATGTTGAAATTTTAAGAGTTAAATTGACTTTGGTTATTATCGACCCAATCAAGAAAAGCCACTTACATCTTCTTTGTTAAAATGTTCAATTGTGCAAATCAGCAACTCTTTTCTTCACTTTCCAGTTCATTGATGAATGTGCTGAAATGTGAGAACCACATATTCAACGCAACGGAGCTAAAGATTTCTCAAAAATTTGTCAAGAACAAAGCTATATTAAGAGCATGATTAAAAAACTACAAGAAATCTTGATTTAAAAGATTTTAAAAAGAGGTGCTCATACCATAGATATGTATATACAAAAATATGACCTGAAACCTTAGAAATATATAATCTATTTCTAGCTGGAAAAGGGAAGATTAGGCCCGTCAAATTTAGGGACCCTGTATATGGTTGCGAGCCCACGAGGGCATGCCAAAGCAACAAGACACCTCTCAAGGTACAGTTAAGAGAGGTAAGGGATCCCCATTATATTCAGTTTGGTATGCATATTATAATAAGTTAAATACAAATTAGCATTAGTAGATCTTCAAGATGGTGTCGTTACAAACCTGAAACTAGTTTTCTTAACTGTGTAGATCCGTCTTATGATAATAAATTGAGTATAGGTTTATTAAGCACATAGCTTCTGAAAACAGTTAGTAATGAATAAGAATCTAAAGTACGCTAACTGGTGAAATCACAATTCAAAATTACAAATTTTGGCAAAGTTGCAAATTTTTGCCAAAATGCAAAGTAAACCAATTGATACAATACTTAATACAACAATGAAACATGTCTAGTTAAAAATTTCTTGAGCTGTGTGATAACAACTACTAGACTTTGTTTACTTTAAGTGAAGGTTTCTCCTAATATTTGACCCTTCATCTACTACCTTTCTGACCTGCACCCAACTGAAAATTCCACAAGCGATACTTTCCTTGAAGCATGCAAATAATAAATCAGACTGATCTTTAGCATCTGAGGAGATTATGAAGTATGCGTGATAACTACTAGCTTAGATCTTGAGTTGCTTCCACTCATTTTATGGATTATCTTGAGTCAGGTTATGCGGTTATTCATTGGGTGCAAAATTAAGTAATGCAGTTTAGCCATTATGCGGATAGTGTTGCGCGAAAAAGTGTTGCATATCGGCAAATTTGAGATTGAACGGTAAAAAATACAAGTTGCGCTTGATGACTAAAAGCTCATCTCAAGACCAAATTTAGTAACTGTATAACGCTAATAAGTGTGAAGTTTGTGGCTAATGGAAATTTAAATTGCGTTGCATACAAGCCCCAAATCCTCCATTAGCTTGCCAGAAACTGGACATGCACATGATAATTGCAATCCTCGATCAATGACTATTGAAATCTTTCATCAATATCTACTGAGAAAAAGTCGACTTGAGGTTGCAAATTAAAGTCTAGTGGAACCATGGAGTAAAATTGATGAAGGTCCAAGCATTGATCAACTAGAAAGAACGAAAGACTTTCGAAGATCAACTTGTCAAATCTCATTTGTTTCTCAGCGTATGGTGGTTAGTGCCAAAGTCAACTAGATGAAACTCACAGTTGTACAGTCTAAATTGGTCTGTAGTAGTGGAGAAGGCTCTTCATTGAAAATCCACATTGATATAGGATGCTTCAATTCTGAGTATGGGGCATCGAAGATTCAAAGGGAAGCCTTTGGAAGTAATGTTACACTGACCACTTACTAAGTTTGCGCCACATAAACAGTTGATGAACCATCTCGTTATCCCAGAGTCCTTTTCGTCAGCATTATCTTTCAATTTCATCAAAAAAGGCCAGAGTAAAAATTTCAGGTAACAAAAATAGTTGCAGCAATTACTTAACTCAATCGCTCACCACTCCTATAATCCACCATCTCTAGACCAGTACCCAGAGAGCAAAAATATCAAGTTTTCATGGCGCAGTGTGAAAAATGACCAACTTCAATGACATTTTACTCATAGCGAGGTTTCCAAAATCTATTTGAAAAATTTGAAAAGTCCAAATTTTTGGAAATGTTTGGATACCATCCGTTCCACTAGCATCTCCGAAAGCAACGCCGTAGTTGCGTCGTCGTAAACGTCACTATGGTACGATTTTGATCCCAAAGTAACATAGCGTGGTATTGATTTCCAAGCCACCCGATCCCCTTCGCCACATGCAAGAATCCGCCTCAGCCGTAGAAGCAAGGTTGACGTACGTTGACAGAATCGAACCGATGGCTGAGACTAGTCGTCGAAAATCACGCAATTATCACAGCTCTAGATCTAGGCATAAAAGTTCTGACCAACGTAGTTGAAGGTAACTCGTATTGGAAATTTTCACCCCCATTGTCTCTGCAACCTTGGTTAACCGACTGATTGTTCACTATTTTCCACAAATCGCGATCTGGAAAATCTTATGCATGCGGGGTTAAATCGGTCAAGATAATAAGAATCGGTGCGTCAAAGCTCATCTAGACCGAACATATCGGTACGAAACGAGAAAACGAAACTTGCAGACTGGAAAATTGAATTTCCCCGCAGCCCAAATGTTCTATTTCGTCGGCACCGCCTTATTTGATCGCAAATTGCCGATTACCGAAGTGCATCGAATTATTGCCCGTTTCGGCAGAACGCCCGCCCACATGCAAAGAATCCACTTGGCGCATCAAGCCACACCGTAAAGTGCAATCGGCATGATTCCGAGAGGCATTAAAAGGTGCAGAAATCATGGGCAGCATGGCATTAAAATGCAACATTCTGGTTACAACAATGGAGCTCTCTGCAGCTTGTGCGGCTCAAAAGGTTAAATCTTCACATGCACGATGGCTTCTACGCATCTTGGCGCCGACGATCATCACAATTAACCACTTTGCATGGAACTGGGGCAAATACGATCAGTTAAGCCACGAAAAAGTAGCATTTGGCCAAGAATATTACTTTTCGAGATGGTTCATGCTCGTAAATTCGATGGCGAAGCAACCGCGCCAGTGGGCGGGATTCATGCCCAACACCGCTTCTTGCATGAAACACAGCGTGCCGTACAGCCTACCAATGCAGATGCTGCAGCGAAAGAAAAATGTTCTGGAAAACTTATGCAGCCGAGAATTCGTTGAGCCCAGTGAGATTCACAATAAACGTAGATATTTTGAGCATACTTCTTCAATACGAAATGTAGCAGTAATCATAGATCACAATATCACACATCAAGGTAGTGAAGGCGAATAAGCGAACTTCTAGGGAATAAAATACGGTCGCATGCATATTTGAAGCCTCTTTTCTCATGCACCGCGGATATATAATTACATCATGCACGGTTTCATGCACGGTTCATGCACAGTTTTATGCGCGATTTATATCCGGTTTATGCGCGGTTTGTGCCCGGTTCGTGCATGTATTACGCACGCCAAAAGCATAATTTGATCCCAAAAGATGGAATTGACATGACGGAAAGTTTGAATACAACGCAATTAAGAGACGATGTTGAACTGATTGAAATCACAGTTAGCTGGCTCAGTCTCAAAGGACTCACACATCAAGTGAGGGAAAGTTCAAAGGGCCCCACACATTTGCAACGTAACGGCTCCTCCTGCCAGACATGCACAGCGCTATCAAATTTATGCGTCCTGCCGCCTAAAATAGCACTTGGTATACCTATGAGCTGACACTTCGTAAATTGACACCACCCGCCTCGTATTAATCCACGAGGCGAGCACATCGCATGGGGGTATATATACCACGGTAATAATCGTAGACAAATCCCAGTTTTATTCGAAGAAAGGCAAATGCGGTTACAATCGCTTGTCACAGCTGCTTTGCTGGTTACTTCAGCCTTCGCTATAACCATCTCTCTGGATACCACAACTCGTGGAACCTTAGCGGCATTCGTTGGAACAACGACGGTTAACCCCGGTGTATACTGGTCTATCATTAACAATGCTATCACCAACTTCTTGGGAAGTCTTCAAGTTGATGGTCAACTTTTCATAAGTAGTAACTCCAACTTGATTGGGTTGACGGTGGAATTATTGGGTGTTCTTAATAGTATCACCAACAACGGTGATATCTCCCTTGATTCTTCTCGGTCCCTTCTTGCTCCAAACTACAACCTTGTTGGTCTTCGTTTCACAAACAACGGAAACATGTGGCTCGCTGGTGATGGTAGTGTTGGTACTCCTCAAATGTCGATCACTTCGCTTAACTGGAACAACAACGGTCTCATTGTGTTTCAACAGAGAGTATTGTCCAGTGGTTTCGTTACCCTTGGTTCAATTGGTGGAACAATTAATAATGCCGGTACAATTTGCTTGCGGAATGAAGTTTATGATCAAACCACTGCCATCAAAGGAAGCGGTTGTTTTGACATTGGTGAAAACAGTAACGTTTGGATCCAAAATTCACTTTTGAGTGTTGATCCTAATCAGACATTCTACTTGAGTAGTCCATCTTCCAGTATGAGAGTGGAAGCACTTTCATTCAGTCAGACTTTCAAGATTGCTGGTTTCGGTAATGGTAACACTTTGGGACTCAGTCTTCCTATCTTCAGTTTCCTGTACTCGTCATCTACTGGTATCTTGAAATTGTACACCACACTCATCTTTTCCTTCAGCTTTGATATTGGAAAAGGTTACAACAGCAACAACTTTCAAAAGTTCACCACTGATTTCGGAGGAATACTTACCACTGTTATCAATGGTGGAATAAGATATAATGGACCTGTACCAGCTGGTGCTAACCAACCAACCGCATGTATGGCTTGTGCTCCTTTACCAACACCACCCGGAATCGATGAAACTTCCTCATCAGTAGCGGCTTCTTCTAGTGCTGTTTCATCCAGTGCTTCTTCAAGTGCTGCCTCCTCAAGTGCTGCCTCCTCAAGTGCTGCTTCCTCGAGTGCTCCAGCTTCGTCTAGTGCAGTTTCTTCAAGTGCTGCTTCATCCAGTGCTGCTTCCTCGAGTGCTGCTTCATCCAGTGCTGCTTCCTCGAGTGCTGCTGCTTCATCCAGTGCTGCTTCATCCAGTGCTCCAGCTTCATCAAGTGCAGTTTCTTCTAGTCAAGCTTCTTCTAGTGCTCCAGCATCGTCTAGTGCTGCTTCATCCAGTGCTCCAGCTTCTTCAAGTGCTCCAGCTTCATCCAGTGCTGCTTCATCTAGCGCTCCAGCTTCATCAAGTGCTGCTCTTTCTAGTCAAGGATCTTCAAGTGCACCAGCATCATCTAGTGCCGCTTCCTCGAGTGCTGCTTCTTCCGGTGCTGCTTCATCTAGTGTTCCAGCCTCCTCGAGTGCTGCTTCTTCCAGTGCTGCTTCATCTAGTGCTGCTTCAAGTGAAGCATCTTCTAGTGCTCCAGTTTCATCCAATTCTGCTTCATCTAGTGCAGTTTCTTCTAGTCAAGCTTCATCCAGTGCTCCAGCTTCATCTAGTGCAGTTTCTTCAAGTGCTACTCCTTCAAGTGCTGCTTCGTCTGGTCCTGCTTCTTCAAGTGCTGCCTCTTCAAGTGCTCCGGCATCGTCTAGTGCCGCTGCTTCAAGCGCTGCTTCAAGTAACGCATCATCCAGTGCTCCAGCTTCATCAAGTGCTCCGGCTTCTTCTAGTGCTCCAGTATCATCCAGTGCTGCCTCATCTAGCGTCCCTGTTTCATCCAGTGCTCCAGCATCTTCATCTGCACCAGCTTCATCTAGTGCTGCTTCTTCTAGTCAAGCATCTTCTAGTGCTCCAGCATCTTCTAGCGCTGCTTCATCGAGTCAAGCCTCTTCGAATGCTGCTTCCTCCAGTGCTGCTTCCTCCAATGCTGCTTCGTCTAGTGCCCCAGCATCTTCAAGCGCTGCCTCTTCGAGTGTACCAGCTTCATCTAGTGCTGCTTCGTCTGGTGCGACATCTTCTAGTCAAGCATCTTCAAGTGTGCCAGCTTCATCAAGTGTTGCTTCCTCAAGTGTTGCTTCCTCGAGTGCTCCTGTTTCATCTGGTCAAGCTTCATCTAACGCACCAAGTTCGTCTAGTGCTGCTTCTTCGAGTGCTCCAGTTTCTTCGAGTCCTGCTTCATCTAGTGCTGCTCCTTCATCGAGCGTTGCTTCATCTGCTGCCTCATCTGCTGCCTCATCTGCTGCCTCATCTGCTGCCTCATCTGCTGCCTCATCTGCTGCCTCATCTGCTGCCTCATCTGCTGCCTCATCTGTTGCTTCATCCGCTGCTTCATCCGCTGCTTCATCTGCTGCTTCGTCTGCTGCCTCATCTGCTGCTTCGTCTGCTGCTTCGTCTAGCGCCCCAGCTTCATCCAGTGGTGCTTCCTCAAGCGATCCCGCTTCCTCGAGTGCTCCAGCATCTTCCAATGCTGCTTCTTCAAGCCAAGCTTCTTCTACCGGACCAGCATCTAGTGCAGCTTCATCTAATGCCGCTTCATCTAGTGCTGCGTCATCTAATGCTCCTGCTTCATCTGGTGCAGCATCATCTAGTGCTTCTGCTTCTTCTGGTGCTTCTTCCAGCTCTCCAGCTTCCTCGGGTGCTGTTTCTTCTAGCCAAGCTTTCTCAAGCCAAGCCTCATCTAGCGCACCAGCCTCTTTGAGTGCTCCTATTTCGTCAAGCGCAGCCTCTTCAGGAGCAGCATCTTCGAGCGGATCGGCTTCTTCGAGTCAAGTTTCATCTTCTGGACCTGCTTCTTCAAGCGCTCCTGGTTCTTCTAGTGCGGCTCCTTCGACAGGACCAGCTTCCTCGGGCGCGGCTTCATCTTCTGGACCAGCATCTTCAAGTGCACCAGCTTCATCAGGTCAAGTATCATCTACTGGACCTGTGTCTTCTAGCGTGGCTTCTTCAAGCAATCCCACTTCCTCATCACAAGCATCATCTGGTCAGTGCGTTGGGTGTACTGAATTCCCTACCACATTCGTTACCACTAATTCAGCCGGCAAGACAGAAACTGACACTGGTAAGGTAGTTATCACAACTGACACAACAGGACATCTGACAACTTACACTACTGACATTGGACCTATCTGCCCACAATGTACTCTGTTCCCAACAACATTTGTTACGACCAATTCAGCTGGCAATACCGAGACTGATACCGGAAATGTTATTGTCACCACTGATACCACTGGACACTTGACAACTTATACCACTGACATTGGTCCCGTCTGCCCACAATGCACTGAGTTCCCAACTACTTTTGTGACGACCAATTCTGCTGGAAAGACGGAAACTGATACTGGTAAGGTTATCGTGACCACCGACACAACTGGACACTTGACGACTTACACCACCGATATTGGACCCGTATGCCCACAATGTACTCTGTTCCCAACGACTTTCGTTACGACCAATTCAGCTGGCAAGACTGAGACTGATACCGGAAATGTTATTGTCACAACCGATACTACTGGCCATTTGACAACTTATACCACTGACATCGGACCCGTCTGCCCACAATGTACTCTGTTCCCAACCACTTTCGTGACGACCAATTCGAATGGAAAGACTGAGACTGACACTGGAAATGTGATCGTCACAACTGATACTACTGGACACTTGACCACTTACACAACTGATATTGGTCCTGTCTGCCCACAGTGCACTCTGTTCCCAACTACTTTTGTGACGACCAATTCTGCCGGAAAGACTGAGACGGATACTGGAAATGTCATTGTCACCACTGATACTACTGGACACTTGACCACTTACACAACTGATATTGGTCCCGTTTGTCCTCAATGTACTCTGTTCCCAACAACATTTGTTACGACCAATTCAGCTGGCAATACCGAGACTGATACCGGAAATGTTATTGTCACCACTGATACCACTGGACACTTGACAACGTATACCACTGACATTGGTCCCGTCTGCCCACAAGGCTCTGATTTGCCCACCACATATGTTACCACCAACTCCAATGGTCAAACAGAAACTGACACTGGAAAGGTTATTGTTACAACTGACGGAAGCGGTCACTTGACAACTTATACCACTAGCACTGGACCAGTTTGTCCTCAGTGTACCGAGTTCCCAACAACATATGTTACCACGAACTCTGACGGAAAGACTGAAACCGACAATGGAAAGGTTATTGTTACAACTGACGGAAGCGGTCACTTGACAACTTATACCACTAGCACTGGACCAGTTTGTCCTCAGTGTACTGAGTTCCCAACAACTTATGTTACCACGAATTCTGATGGAAAGACGGAAACTGACACTGGAAAGGTTATTGTTACCACTGATGGAAGCGGTCACTTGACGACGTACACAACCAGCACTGGTCCAGTTTGTCCTAAGTGCACCAAGGTTCCAACGACCTTTGTAACAACCAAGACCGATGGATCTGTGTCTACCGAGACTGGTAATGTTATCGTTACAACCGACTCTGCTGGCCACTTGACCACTTACACGACAGACTTGGGACCATTGTGCACGGCTTGTACCGAGTACACCACCGTTGTTCCTGAAGGAACTGGATCTGTTACGAGCAAGGTTATTGTGACCACCACCAAGGGTATCACAGTCACAACCACAGTTCCATGTGACACTGCTGAAACTGCCAAAGCCAAAACCGTCAGTGATATCAGCACTACAATTGTCACCATCACCAGCTGCTCCAACGGCAAGTGTACAGCCAACGAGGTTACCACAGGTGTCACCACTGTCACCAAGCCTCGATACACTTATACCACCTACTGTCCATTGCCTGAAACGGAAAGCCCTGCCAAAGAAAGCCCAGCTTCAGAAAATCCAGCTAAAGCAGGAACAAGTCCAGCTTCCGTTCCTTCCGCTCCAGCTTCACCATCTTCTCCAGGCGGTTCTCAGCCCTCAGAATCAAACCCAGCTACTGTCGCAGGTACTGCTCGTCCTACTGGCTCAGTCACAAACCAACCAAACCAACCAAACCAGCAAAACTCTCAAAACTCCCAGATTTCAGTCACCCCGTCTGGCGCCCAATCTTCCCCAACAGTAGCAGCCCAAGTCCATGCTTCCGCCACCGGAGGAGCCGCCACCATTCAGCCCTTCTCGTTCGCCATTGCCAGTGCACTTTTCATTGGAATTTTATTCTAGACTTGTGAAGTTATACTGGCGACCGTGACCCAAATATTCGAGGCCACGGATTTTTTATTAGACTTTTATTTTGCATTTCACAACAGATCGACAGATCATTAGCTACCTCGGCACTGTATATTCCTTTAATTGCTAATACATGATACCTTCTTTGATACAAGTAAGAAGTAAGAAGTAAGAAGTGAGAAGTAAAGAAGTAAATAGTGAGACACGCGATCTGGGGTAGTGGCAGTGTGCAGTACCTGACGAAGAAGTGAAAAATAGGAAAAAGTAGAAAAGCATGAAAAACGAATAACAGTTGCAGTAAACAGCTTCTTCCTCTCGTTTCTTTCTCTTCTCCTTTTTCACTTTTCGAACCCAAAAACCTGCTTCAATATTCCCGAACAGTTTTTTTCCACCAAGTTGCCGTGGCTCGGAACTATGGTTTCAATATCCCACAGCAATATTGCCTTGCATCCCTCAATGCCCTCTGGAAACTTGAATCCGTTAATTCTGCGTTGAATCCACTGCGAAACCCATCCTTGAGGATAGAAAAAATTACCAATGAGAGCTCTTCCAGTGTGGGGATTATAGCCGTCAGTAAACCCAGTAGCTTCAGAGTACTGCTCAAGAGTGTTAGTTGGTCCTCTGTCTCCAACGGTAATAAGCAAATCTGACTCAAACAAAACCTTGTGTTTGTTCTCATAAACCACTAATTCCCGGTTTTTGTGTTTACTCAAATAGACAAACTCCAAGTTTTCGTATCCACTAACCGTTTCGCCATTAGCGGCTGCAATATCTTGTAATTTCACCGGCTTGTTCCCCAAGTCGCTGTTCACCTTATAGTCGAGCGAATCGTATTGCAAAGTGTGTGCACCAATTACTTTGGAGTGTGGAAACTGGGGCTTGACAGAGCGAACTCCCATATCATGTTGAAGATTAGCTACGACAATATGGGTCACATTATAGTCATTGGCGTCGGTAGAAGTCTTCCCCGTGAGCAATTGAAGCGCTTCGATGACATGAGGACCCCCATGGAAGCGGAGACCAAATGACAATTTTTCCATCACTGTTGATACAAGCCATTCTTGCACCAAGATGCATAAAGTTCATTATGGAAAAAGGACACGAGGAAATAACCACATCGTCGTTTAGTTTTCTGGTTGCAACTTTGAGGGGTGAAGGGTAGCCCATGGTAAAGAAAAGTGAGTGAAATGAGAAATACGGCGTGAGAAGTGAGAAGTGAGATGCGAAGTTTGTCCTCGGAAACGAGCCCCGATTGGGACAGCCGCGCACCAGATAAAGCTTAATTTTATTCGATTTCGCGAAATATTTCCGAAATTGAAAAATGAGTTCAATTGAGATAAAAACTAGATAGATGTAGCAAAAAAGCCACTGACGACGATCCCTTCAGTTCTTCTCATCCTTGATAATCATCAACGAAATGATCAGGTCAGCAACTTGGGCAGCAGTGATAGACGTCAACTCGGCAACAGTGTCGAATGGTGGGGACACCTCCACCACATCTCCTCCCACAACATTGAGTCCCTCCAAGCCGTCAAGAATAGTAAGCAACTCTCTTGAGGTCCACCCACCAGGCTCCACAGTACCAGAAGCAGGAGTGTTAGCAGGATCCATGGAGTCTACATCGACTGTGATATAGATAGCTCCGCTTCCCACTCTGTCTCTGATCTTCTTGATAATACCTTGGGTTCCAATTTTGTCAATATCCCTTGCCAAGATGCGATCAAAACCACATTTTTCATCATGTTGAACATCTTTAGGTCCAGGATATGGTCCTCTGATAGCAGCATGAATGGACAGGTTGGTCAAGAGACCCTTTTCATGAGCCCAGTGAAGATAAGTGCCGTGGTTCACAGACTGGTAATCGGTGACATTTCCTCCAAAATAGTACGGATTCCCAAGTGTCCAAGTGTGAGTCAAAGTGGATAACGGTGATTGGTCCAAAATTCTCATATGCTGCTTTGATTGCTGGCAAGGTGATTGTATGGTCACCTCCAAGTGTAAACACTTTGGGGGACTTGTTGGGATTGGACTGGGTAGTCTTGTGTCTACCAATAGCACGATTAGCCCGGTAGATTTGATCCAAAGCAACCCTGTTGTCCAAAGGAGTCACAGGAGGGTCTCCACAGTCAACTATCTTAGCCCAGTTGGAGTATGGGTCGAAAGAATCTCTGTAAACTGAATAAGCAGGAGCCAATCGACGTGAACCCATTCTGATTCCACTAGGTCCAAATCTTGCACCGGGTCTGTATGAAACTCCCGAGTCAAACGGAGCTCCTACAACCGCAATATCAAATTCCTCCTTGTCATAAAACGCTGGATCATAGCAATTGGCGTATGGAGTATGAGCGAATGTGACCAACCCTCCGAACTCTCCTCCACGATACAAAGTGTTCGTTCCGTTGATATCACGTAAGTCATCCTTATCCGGATACTCGTACTCATCATTGACCATCAAGGAGTGTAAACTCCAGTCAAGAGTGCCCGGTTGCTTTTTCAAACTTCCATCTGGAGCCATTGAGTTTGATTCGATTTGGATGTTATCAAAGAACGAACCGTAGTAGCGATCAAGAAATGACTTTCCAGACACATCTTTACCACTGCGAGAGTTCACCAAAGCGTGCCATACTGCCATGTCCACTGGTTCACATTGCAACATCAAAGGCTTTTGTTCCACAGGGACAATGCTAGAGTAAGTCCCAGAGACTCCAATCAAAGAAACAAGTGCAAGTTTCGATAACATGATCAGATCTACCTGTTTTCTTGAAAATCTGGTTTTTTGCACCCATTTTATAGTTTGTCGTTCGCAATTTTTCGCTCGAAATTGCAACCATTCTCACATTTACCCGGATATCAGATCTGATTTCCTCGCAATTGTGAGATAAGAATCTCATGTTCCGATGAAAGATGGAGACTGATAACAACTTTATGATACGAGAAAACGTTTCTGATAACAACTCTATGATACGAGAGAAACTTAACAATAACAAAATGCCACAGAAATATAATATCACCTGCTTCCAAGTATCTTTTATTGAGAAATGAGTAGTTCTCCAGATGATTCCACAAGCCTTATTTCTGAAAACTGCTTAAACAAATATGGCTCAACAGATCCAGAAAGTCATATTCACTCCCCAGCTTTGATTTCAGATTTCGTTGCTGTGGGTAAAGCTTCATTTCCCTTGATTACTACTCTTTTCTTACAGTATTCTATATCTGTGTTTGCCATAATTTCCGTTGGTGGGTTGGGAAAGAACGAATTGGCTGCTGTTTCCCTAGCTACAATTACTTATAACGTTGGAAATTCCATTTTTAATGGTATGGCTACTAGTCTTGATACGTTTTGTGCCCAAGCCTACGGTTCAGGTAACCATAGACTTGTGGGTATGTATTTTCAAAGGGGCAGCGCCATGCTATTGGTGACTTCAATTCCTGTTTTGTTATTTTGGTGCTTTAGTGCTTCGATTCTCAAATTCATTGTTCCACAGAAAGAACTACTTTTGCTAGCACAGACGTACCTCAGATACTTGTCATTTGGAGCTCCCGGTTACATTCTATTTGAGACAGGAAAACGATTTTTGCAGTGCCAGGGTATCTACAGTGCTGGGCAATTTTCTATCTTTTTGGTGGTACCCATAAATGTTGGTTTAAACTATTTATTGGTGTGGAACAAGTCATATGGAATCGGATTTGTTGGAGCTCCTATCTCGATAGCTATAAGCTATTGGCTCATGAGCCTTTTTTTGTTATTGTACGTGCTATTCATCGATGGAAAAAAGTGCTGGTTTGGACTAGAGTTGAGACAGGCTTTCAAATTAAGTGAGTGGTCCTCCATGTTCGGGCTTGCAATCAATGGAACTGCTATGCTTCTATCAGAATTCATCGCCTTTGAAATTTTGACTTTGGCCGCTTCAAGGTTTGGAACTACAGCGCTCGCTGCTCAGTCTATTGCTTCAACAACCGCAACAATGGCTTTTCAGATTCCCTTTGGAGTTTCTGTTGCACTTTCAACCAAAATAGCTGATCGTGTAGGACTGCAAGATCTAGCTGGACTTCGAAGATTGACCAGAGTGACTTACACTGTCGCTGGAATCTTGGGTGTCTTGGACGCTGGTCTTTTAATATTCTTCAGATTTGCAATTGGAAGATGCTTCACTTCCGATAAAAGAGTCTTAATTGTCAGTCTGAAAATCCTCACAATCTTGGGTATCAATCAGTTGTACGATTGCGCAAACATCATTCTTGCTGGTTTTCTTAGAGGACAAGGACGACAAGCAATTGGCTCAAGGCTTAACTTGATGATCTATTACTTGATAGCTGTACCATTATCGTTGATCCTAGCGTTCTACTTTGGCTTGGATTTGTATGGGCTCTGGATCGGACTTGGAGTTGGAATTTTCGTTTTGGCATTGTCTGAATTATACTTTGTCTACAATACTCGCTGGTTCCCAATCTTTGACGATGCTAGACAAAGGCTTCAAAATTGACAGTTTATATACATATGAATTTCTAAAAAGTCACTCTCTAATCATATTTCTCGAACCGAGGATTGGATCAGTATTCCGGATACAAGTTAATATTCTTGAATTAACGATGCTTCCTTCAGCTGTTTAAAATATAATCTCTTATTTACTATTCTGCCCTTTTATAATATATATAAACACGATACAAAATCTATCACTGAATTAAACGCATAAAAACCTTGCCTATAAAGAGGACCATAAATATATCCACTCCGTTCCGCAAATCTGCTAATCATCAAATTGCTTCTCCTTTGGGGAAAACGATTCCCTCTTAGAAACCTCAGAGCCGACAATCACCTCTATCCTTCCCTGGTTACTCACATCAAAATTCTCAAAATAATCGTGATCATCACATACTCCAAGGTTTTTTGGGGGAAACACTTTGCAAACTATGATGTAGAGAACGAACGGGCACACGAAACCAAAGATGATGTTTCCGAAATAAAAGTTGTTCAAGCCAGCAGGAATTTTGACGTCTTGTACTCTTCCAATCAAGCCTGGTATTCCTGGAACTGCAGCTGCAAGCCACACAAGGATAGCTCGAAGGTTGAAACCTCCAAGAAAATAAAACGTACCATCGGGATGCGTACTGTAAAGGTCCAGCAAAGGAAGGGTATAGTTTCGTACAACCATAAAATCCGCTATCAATATTGCTATGATTGGGGTTACTATAACTCCAAAAGAACTCATAACGTTCATAAAGACAGACGAAGTATTATAGAAGCGCCAAGGCTGTACTACCCATGATAGTAAGGCAGTTATGATGGCTCCCCTTCTAATGTTAATGAACCTTGGATACACTCCTGCCAAGTCCATCCCCCCGGCAAATCCCATGGCTAGTACGTTGAAAGTAAGTTGCGAGAATGCAAAGGCAATTCCAAGAAAAAAAGCACCAGCTCGTAATCCGGAATTATAGTTTTCACCCATCCACTGAAGCACAATATCGGTTGGAAGCCACATTGCTGTACCGTATAAGTCCTGGGTGGCCGAAGCACATAAAAGTCCAAATAGAGGAACAAAAGTGCCCGTTATCAAAACAGAAGTAATTATTCCCAAGTACATTTTCCTTTTGGACGACGCAAATCTTGAGAAATCGCTTTGATTCGTCACATCAGGAGATAATGCACCATACCATATAGTCATAGAGTAAACCCACATCCAAGCTGTTTTCGAAGAGCTCATATTGACCCCTTCATGAAATAGACTTCCGGGACCATGATTTTTTTTCAAGCAGACACCAAATATGGCTATAAATGCAGCAGCACAAGCAGCACAAGACAAGTTGACGTATTTGTTCATCCTTTCGGGTTTCATAAACAAGAAAAAGATTTGAATTACCAGAAACACAAAAAATCCAATAAAGTCTCTGGTGGTCATGGCAACGCTGTCCGGAAACGTATTCTTCATGTTCATAAAGTCTTTGCTGAAACTTGAAAAAGTAACAACAAGCCCTAAACCACCCAACCAACTTTGCGATCCATAAAATACCACTGACAAGATAAACCGAATAAGAATACCAATTCCAGAGCCATATATTCCAAAAATCAGTCTCATACACACAGTGTACCCAATATGGTATTTCAGGCCCATAGTGGAGTTCAAGCAGGTATACAATATAATCAACAAATTCCCCAACGTTAGGGCTCCCATGGTGTGTTGAATATTTAAGCCCAAACCTAGCATAGCGCTACCTGTGGACCACGTCCAAACTGTGATATTGGGTACCGCCCAGTAGCCAAAGAAGGACCAAAAACCCCAGATTCGTCTAGAAGGAGGCATTGGCTCCAAATCTGGGTTTTTTAAAATATTCGGGATATCATTATTCTCATGAGGAACTTCAAGTTTTGTGAGATATTCATTAATCATGTTGATTGAAAATTGAAAACTTGTGCTTGAATTTGGGAGTTTAAGAATCTTGATCAAATTTAAAGATCATATCGTTTGACCCGATCGGGACATCCTCTGATTGACTTATCAGGCGCCGAACTCTATGGAGTTCACAATCTGGAGATGCCCGTTTCGCGATAACGATCTAAGTTTGCATGCAGATCTGATAAATTGCTCGCAATTTTGCTGCAAATTGAGCGGATCTGTGATAGAAAATATACCAGAAGACAGCTCAGAAGACGACCTTAATATCCCCGTCAGTACGCAAATACATCCACGTCACTGCCACTGTCCAAATAATCGTTCTTTTCGTCTCCATCCGTGGCACGATTCCAAAACTTGTTAAGTTTTCGCAAGGCATAGGTAGAGTTCGAAGTGCCAATATCAGCTGAGTTTCTGAAAAATTTCATCACCAATAGCTTTTCCTTGTCTTCCAAACAATTTAGCCCGGCCACAAATATGGGCCACTGTAAAAGAATCATTGAACATTTGGTATGGTTAGACAATTCCAGATAGTGTCCCAAAAACGAAATCAATTCCAATAGTTTTCGATTGACCGTTTGTATATGTGCTCCTTTGCTAGGAAATTGAAGACCCTTCCTCAAGAGTATCACTATTGACGCAAATACATATGCTTGGTGGCATATATCCATCCAACTTATCACAAGCTTTTCATTCCGAATAGTGACCTCGCCCAATAAAGATCCTGCGGTTTGAGCAAAAGAGTCTGACTTGAGGATACACCGGCGGTCGATGAACTCGAAGCTCATCTGTTCATTGAATTGACTCAATAAGTCAATGATCTCAAAGGTGTCTGGTAAAGTCTCATTTTCTCTTTCTCTGGTTTGCTTTACTATTTTAATGAGGCCTCGTATTGGCGTCAAGCAAGTGTAGTGCATACCAATTAGCAAGTTGAATCCATCCGGTCGTATGATTCCAATTTCTCTCAAAATTTCAATCTCCTGAACATTATCAGTCGTCAACATGACACTCATCTCCTGTTGAGTTGCCAAAGTCCCACCACGCCTGGAACTTAAACCTGCCAAAATCTCGAATGAGATGAACCATTGCTTGCAGAACACCATTATTTTTGACTTGATAATCGAATGTTCACTGTCTGGAGTTGAGTAACTTAAGAGTAACTCCTTAGCTCCTCTCAAATGTGAACGCCAATCCAGGTTCAGAATGGATGCATTCGACGATACCAAAAATAAGATTGTTAAAAGAACGGCTTCAATCTTGCTATTAACCAAGTTCTTATCTTGCCTGGCTTTTATTAATGCTGGTTCGAGGAGCTTGGAGCATGTTACCAAGTACTTGTAAGATGCCTCATCGTCTTCTTGGAGGTGATGTTTTTTGAAGCTCATTTTTGCACCTTGAGCCATGATTGCTGATAGTAGAAATGACTCTCTGGAAGCTGTCTCTAAAAGAATGTCTCGAGCAGGGCAAAAGTAGCCTATCTTCTCATCATAGGAGTGGAAAGGTTGAATGATGGTTGCAAAGTTATTGTAAAATTCCTCAAGGTAGATACTCTCTTGATTTTTGCACACTTTGATATACTCAAACGGTATGTTTTTTGGTAAATCATTTGCATGGCTCATTGGCTCGGTACCACCGTACGTGTCGGTAAGTTCAGTGGCACTGGCATTCTCAATAGTGGCACTGCTAACATTATGATCCACCACCATCATGTCGTTTACTATTTTGTTCAAGTCAGAAACCAAAGAACTGAGGTTGCGCTCGCCAATTTCTAGAGAGTCTCCAACAAAATTGGCTATTGAGGAGGTATCGTTCAAATTTTGCGGTTTTGGTTCAGTACCGAAAATAGCGATACCATCCTCCCTGTTAGGAACTGGAATCTCTTCACCAAATGTCTCGGTTATTTCTCCTCGTCTACCATCGACTTGATCCTGCCAGCCGGATTCTGTCAATCTCCTCTCGACAATATTCCTTCTGGACTTTTTCCTCGCACTTTGCTTGCCACCACCTATTTCATCGTTAGACAACTCTGGATACAGACAACTTTTCCGAAGCCTCAGGCATTGCCAGCATTCTGGCTTTTGTTCATCACACTTTACTCTTCGAGATTTGCATTGAAAACAACCACTTCTGCTGTAACTCCCTCTCTTCTTTCTTTCCTTGTTACCGGAACCATCTACCATATTGCGAGTAAAAAATCCAATATTCTCGTGTGTCCCGAAAAGGAAGTATCGTTATCAAGATCTTTGCACCAGATTCCTCGCAAATTATTATTTAGATAAGAAGCCTTGCAGTAGTCACATGGGCACGACAAGCTATCTCAACTTGACATGAGGTTGCTTTTTCCTCTTGCAATAAGTGACGTTCTTCATTGTTAGTCAAGCAATACCATTTAGGCAAGTAGACTCATTTTGTTAACATGTAGTTGAGAGTTAAATGTTCCACAAAAATGTCTGGACATAAGATATTACCGAGTAAGTAGGGATTATCCAAACTGGCCCAGTGATTGAGGTATTCAATCCAAGTCCGCAGAAACGACTGCGGTATCTCTTGTTGTTGCCGATATAAGTGCTGGAGAGGCGTACAACCCCAAACCAATGCCAAATCGAATCCTGGTCCTATGTTGGCCAGTGATTGAACTTTGATTTGAACGGACTCATGGCGACCGCAAAACTTCCAAGTGTTTTGAGGAAGTGGAGAGGGGTGAAGGTTAGCCCATGGAGTAGTAGTGAGGAGATGAGCGAAAGGAATTGCTGGCTTCGGAAGTGAGCCCCGATTAGGACAGCCGCATGCCAAGACGGACTAAGCCGCAAAATTCAAGTAATTGATAGCAAATAGTTAGCAAATTAATAGCAAAAACCACAAAAAAGGGTAGAAAACAGTAAAGTGAAGTGAATGGATCTACTCCTCTTTCTCACTGATAATATGGGGCAATTTGCTCTTCGGTCCACTCGTTAAGCTTTTTAGCGGTTCCATCCTTCAACCCCTGTTTAATAAAGCCACAATACTCTTCAATTTGTCCCCAAGGTCTCACGAAACAGCCGCTATTTTCCACTGTGATATCGGGGCTCAACGCCGCATAGAGCTCCGTATACGAACCATACACCGGATCCTTCAACAACAGCCGTGCCAACCACTGTTCGAAAGCCAGAGTGTTTCTTTGTAAATCTGTTTTTAACCCGCCTGGATTGAGGGCAGCAGTGATGATCTTTCCTTTGTACTTTTCCGCATAAATCAAAGCGTTGTAATTAAGCGCCACTTTGGACTGACCATAAAGTGCGAATAACGTACTTTTTCCATCCTTGTCGTTGATCTCCTCATAAGGAAGCAAGCCCCTTGGTCCAGGAGCAAAAAGGTACGAGTTGGAGGACACCCAAATCACCCGCGGCACAAATTGGTCAGTTTTAGCAGCTAAAACTACTGGGTCAAGGTACTTTTGAAGCAAGTAAGGTGCCAAAGCATTGACGCCCAATTGCAAGTCGTAGTCCTGTTTGGTGACAGATCCACGAGGAGGAAGCATCACACCGGCATTGTGAATGACAATATGGATTTCAGATTGTTTTTCCACAATGTTTTTACCACATTTTCCAATAGAGGCCAAGTCGCTGAAATCACCCTCAAAAATTTCCAATCTTGAAGTTTCAGCACCCTCCAGTTTCAATTTGTCCTCAGCAGCCTTCATTTTTTCCAAACTTCTCACAACTACCAACACTTGGGCACCAGCTTCCAAGAGAAGTTTGGTGGTTTCGTAGCCAATTCCCGCATTTGCACCTGTTACAAGTACAGTTTTACCTGTTAAATCAGGATAGTCCTCTGGTAAGAATTTAGGTTTGGACGGACAAAGATTGTTGTTGTAGAGATTGCCGAATTTTTCTGTGAAACTAGCCATGGTTAATTAGGAAGAAAGATGGATTTGCCACAAGAAACGCCGCAGGGAAAGTAGGGGGACCCTGCATGGTGGCTTGGACATGGCTGGAAATTGGTGCACTGGTGAATTGGCTGCGAAAGAAATAAACTTTGATGGCTGCGAAAAATAAGCTTTGGAATTTGAAATTGACTTTGGGTTTGAGTTCCCACTAGCGTTTCTCCGAGGCTGTCTCGAGTGAGGGAACACTTCACATTCCAACTGTAGTTATATGAACTAAATTGAATATTGCTTTATTCATCGAGTTAAACTTTCAGACTATATTCTGAGAGATTGCGTCCTAAGCACTACCAAACTATAACAATTCGTCTCTTTGATTAATTTGAGGAAGCCTGTCTTGAATACCTGCTAAGATTTTCATTGAAAATTATTTTTCGCTTATTTTCGCACAATATATAATTTCAGCCATTCGTGCTACGACCAAGCGAACTCACCATGTATTGTTCACCTCAAATGAAGTCAGAGTATGCGAATTAGCTAGCTTGAATATCAGCTTCCGCAACATCATCATGTTTTTTTAAACTATGAGAGAACTGTAAAATAGCTGACAATTTGACCTTATTTTGAGAACTGGGATAACTTGAAATGGTTGATCTATCTTAGGAAGAACAGTTAACCTTCTCAACTTTTAACTTTCTAAGTTTTCACTTTTCACTTTTTCAATCCATTCTAATTTTCATCGACTTCACTCCAAATTCGCGAAATCTCGGATTTAAACTTCGTAAATTGATTAATCATGCAGGCACTTCTTGGCATTCCCATATAAACAATGCAGCCCCACAAACCAAACAAATGACTCAGGAGCCGCCAGCGTATACAGAAGCAACTTCACAGCCTCAGAATGGCTTCACAACATTCTCCCACTATACCCACACCACCACTCAAATAATAAGAAAGTCTCTGAAAAATGTGCAAAGAAATCAAAAAGTGAGTCGATCAGGGTGGTTTTTTCCAATAATATATTCCATTTTCATCGTGATAGCTCTTCTCATGGTGACTCTTGGATCAGTTTCGTATGGCGTAAAGGACATCTATATAGTTCGGTTCGACATTGGATACACTCAATTCCAGGTTACAGAAAACATGACCAACGAAAGTTCACAAAAACCAATTTTCATGGGGTCAAACGGTGCTCTTCCAGACGACTACGAATATGTCTCTGGCTACAATCTTGGCTTCCATGAATATTACCAAGTGGGCATCTTCAATTGGCTCCAGTACTATTTGCAGCCAACGAAAACCACCAAGATTTCCAATCTGGAAGGCATAAATCTTCCCAAAACTCTTAATGAAAACTCCGAGAAACACATTAATGTGCCAGGATTCAATTATAAACCAAAATCTCATCCCAAACTTAATTCCATGAATAATGCCTTCAAGGTACTTCAACCAATAAGTATCATGGCACTAGTCGGGTTTGTAGTTTGTTGGTTCAGTGTTATTGCCGACGCTTCAGGAAGGTTCAAATACGTTCCGTGTGGATGTCTTGCATGGTTTCTGCTAATATGTCATCTTATATATGCAATCTGCTATACTATTGCAGCCATTGGATATGCCAACGAAATTCGCAGCCAAGTCAGATCTACCCTGGTTCGTTCTGGAACCACAGGCATGGGTCTCTTGTGGGCATCCTTCGTTTTTCAGATAATTGCAGGTGTTTTTCATAATGCCAAAAACATACCACTTTCTCAACTGGGCACTGACGTACCCCACCATGTCCACCATCTGCAGGATTGACACACCAGCTGCACACCTCGGAGTTACCAGTCGCGTGCAGGAAGAATAGCATGCTCTTTCCAGTGCCGCGGATGCACAAAGCGGAGGTGTACGGATGTACTCACCAGTGACCCGAGGAAAAATTCAGAAAAATTCAGAAAGAGTTGCTATAAAATACAAAATATGAATCGGACATACATTCCAAAAGACAATTAATAGCTTTTGGTACAAATTTTACCCTCTCTTTCTTCTTTCTTTTTCGCTCTCGGTATTCCACGTCAACCTCGGACCCACGCCCAGACACCCCCGAAGTTCACATGATCGCATGTGCATCTTACCCCCGCAATTTGCATGTTATAAAGCTGGATTTTGTCACAAATATCTAAATTACACTATGGAAGTAAAAAACACGATTCAAAGTGGTAATATCCCTACTCCAGCTTTGGCCATTCAGGCGGAGCGTGCCAAGGCTACCTTTGATCCTGAACTCATGAATCATTTCTTGGAAGGCTCCAAAGAAAAGTCCGATGAAATTAAGCAGATGATTCAACAGATGGAAAGAGACCCAATTTTACAAGTTTCTTCCAAAGTTTATGACATGACCAAAGCCGAACACAGATTGGAGACAGCACGCAAAATAGCAAGACTTGCACTGTACATTGAGCTGGAAAACTTTTCGTCTTTTGAAAACAGAATGTCGTTGGTCAGTTTGATGGATCCTCAACTCCATACCAGAATTGGTGTCCATTTGGGATTGTTTTTGGGATGTATTCGTGGTAACGGAACGTCGGAGCAGATGTACTACTGGGTTTTGAACAAAGAAGCTGCCTATGTCAAACAAATCTACGGATGTTTCGCCATGACAGAATTGGCCCATGGTTCCAATGTTGCTGGTTTGGAGACTACCGCCACCTACGACGTGGAAAACGAGCAGTTTGTCATCAACACTCCTCACATTGGTGCCACCAAGTGGTGGATTGGAGGTGCTGCTCACTCGGCTACCCATACTACTGTGTACGCCAGATTGATCGTCAAGGGCAAAGATTATGGTGTCAAGACTTTTGTGGTGCCTCTCCGTGACTCCAACCACAACTTGAACCCCGGTGTTGTTGTGGGAGACATTGGAGCCAAAATGGGAAGGGATGGTATTGACAATGGTTGGATCCAATTTTCCAACGTGAGAATTCCTCGCTACAATATGTTGCAAAAATACTGTAAGGTTTCCGCCGACGGTGAAGTTACCGAGCCTCCAAACAACCAATTGTCTTATTCGGCCTTGTTGGGCGGAAGAGTGGTGATGGTGAAGGATTCGTTCAGATGGAGTGCCAAGGTGGTAACCATCGCTATCAGATACGCCATTGCCAGACGTCAATTCAAGGCATCTAAAGCTGGCGAAAACGACGGGGAGAACCAGATTATGAACTATCCTTTGCATCAGCGTCGTTTGATCCCCTTGTTGGCCACAGCCTATGCATTTTCCAACGGTGCCAATGTCTTGGACCAACTCTCCAAGAAGACGATGGACAGTTTGGACCATGCCGTTTCGCAAGATGACAAGGCTGGTATTGACAAGGGAATTGAGGAGATGAAGTCGTTGTTTGTGGCTTCTGGCTCGTTGAAATCCACTTGTACCTGGTCTACTTTGAACACCATTGAGCAGTGTAGACAAGCTTGTGGTGGACATGGTTACTCTTCATACTCTGGATTCGGAAAGACTTACAACGACTGGGCAGTCCAATGTACCTGGGAGGGAGACAACAACATTCTTGGTATGTCGATTGGAAAGCAATTGGTCAAAAACATCAGTGGAGTTATCAAGGATGGAAACAAGGCCACTGGTATTCTTGACTTTTTGAACAACACTAAGCAATACTTGAACAACGAAATTGTGTTGAAGAAAGACCAGCTTGAATCTTTAGAACAGGTGTTGAAGGCTGTGGAAGTTGCACTTATCAGAACCGCCAACCAGGCGTTGGCAGACTTGGACAAGAATGGTGAGGACTGGGACTACATTGGTGCCAGATTGGTGGAATTGTCTAAGATGTTGGCCCATTTCTTCATGTTGAAGTCGTTCCTTGAGAAGTTCAATACCCTTGAGGAAGGGCCAATGAAGCTGGTCTTGAAACAGTTGGCTCAATTATACTCATCGTCCGTCATTTTGGAAGGATTCTCCGGTATCTTTTTGACTTTCAAGGTTTTGGATTCCGACACCGTTTCGTACTTGTCTTCTGAGTACATCCAGAAATTGTGTGCTGACTTGAGGCCCCATGTCATTCCATTGACTGATGCTTTCAACTTGTCTGATATGATCATCAACTCCTCGTTGGGTAACTACGATGGTAATGTCTACGAAAACTTTTTCAAGATTGTTAAGGACAGAAACCCTGCTCCAGGAAGTTACACTGCTCCATACGAAGAAGAGTTCCGTGCTCACTTGAACAGACCATCGTTGGAAGACAGACAGAGAAACGAGATCAATGAGGATAACGAGGAGTTGGTGTAGATGAAAATAAATTATTATAGTTCAACGGTGTTGAGCAGTAGAATAAACTGATTAGCTTTTAAGATGTAGTTTCTGGAATAAGTAATCGTTGTTGATTTATTTTTTAGTGGAAGTTATTTTAATCGTATTTTTAAAATGAGTCTATTTTTGAATGAAGTTGAATTAGAGATCTTGAAAAGGTTGTACTATTGAATTCGCTTATATAGTTCATTAGGTCCTGAAAGTGTCTTGACTTTATTCAAATTTGTAACTCTATTTTCTATTCATATTTTACTCTATTCTATACATATCTTATCTCTTTTTTAGTCCTCACACACAGTCCACTTGACCTCGGGGATGTCGTTAAAGTTGTAGAAAATGTGCCTCACCTCGATCATACCAGTTTCAGCAACATACTCCAACCAATGGTTAATCATCTCTTGAAGTTTTTCTGGCTCATCTTTGGCCAAGTCGGTGGTTTCTCCAGGATCATCTCTAATATTGTATAGCTCCCACTCACCAGACCCATAAGGAGCAGGAATGTTCAAAGCTTTGTATGGGTCCTTTCGAACCGCCTGTTGGCCAAATAGCTCCCATCCTGTAACCGTACCATCAGGATGAACTTTTTCGTCTTTTCCAGCCAAATGCGATACCCACGATTTTCCTTTTGGAATTGCTACTTTTCTGCCCTTGTAAGTCGATCCAGGATGCTCCACTCCAGCTAATTCAAGAACAGTGGGCAAGATATCCATCACGGTTGTGAATGTGTTGTAGATTTTTTTCTCTGGTGATGGCTGCAAAATTTGAGGATGATGAACAATTAACGGACATCTGATTCCACCTTCCGACGCCCACGCTTTATATTTGTACCATGGGGCGGTAGCGGCTTGAGCCCATTGGTCACCATAAAAGACAAATGAGTCCTTTTTGCCAATATTCTCGTAGGAATTATTGTAGTAAGTGTTGATATAATTTTGGATAGGTGCAGCTCCCAATGGAAGTGCCTCTCTCGTCATTCCTTCTGCACCATTATCTGACATAAATGCAATGAAAGTATTGTCCAATTCTCCCCTTTCTTCCAAAACCTTCACCACTTTTCCAACATTTTCGTCCAAAATATCCACCATCGCAGCGTACGTCTCCATGATTCTTGCTTGGTAGCGACGGTCTTCGTCGCTCAAATCTTTCCATCTGTCTTTTTTGAGCGATGTCATGACATGAGGCTTGATATTTTCAGGGACAATACCCAATTTAATTGCTGCTTCCAATCTGGTCTTCCTCAAGTTTTCAGGACCATTATCATATTTTCCTCGGTATTTTTGCACCCGTTCTTCAGGTGCCTGATAGGGCCAATGCGGAGCGGTATAAGTGAGACAGCCAAAGAATGGTCTTCCTTTTCTCAAAGACTCGTCCACAATATACTCAATTCCTTTGTCTGTATAATAGTCAGTGGAGTAGAAATTTTCTGGAAGAGTTTCAGGATTAAAATCCTTGTCGTCTTCACAGAATAAAGGTGGTAAAAATTTGAAATTGGTATCACCCAAACCAGGAAAGTACTTGTAATGATTTCCAGCACCAGGCAACAAGGTGAAGACTTTTTCAAATCCTCTTTTCACAGGCCAATATTCAGGTAATAAACCCAAATGCCATTTCCCAGAAATCCAAGTAAAGTAGCCGTCGTCTTGAAGAATTTCAGGAAGTGGTGCGACCCTATCATTCAAGTAACCTTCATAACCTGGTTTGTCTTTAAACGCATCTGGGTCACTTCTCATGAATTCTGCCATCTGACCTAACCCAGCAATGTGGTTATCGGTTCCAGAAAAAAGCATTGATCTTGTAGGAGAACATGTTGGAGCGGTATGAAAGTCGGTAACTAATGCTCCAGTTCCTGGAGTATTCCAGCCTTTACTCAATCTGTCCAAATTTGGAGTATCGATCTCCCCTCCATAAGGAGTCAAGTCTGTGAACCCCAAGTCGTCAGCAACAATGATGAGAAAGTTTGGTCTCGATTTTGTCATTGGGTACGATTTTGGTGCGATCTGCACTTATATAGACGCAGCCACAGTGTGGCATCTGCGCGAAATTGCAACCTGTCCCAAAGAGGAAATACGATCGATTGCAAAAAAAGGTGCCACATTACGCAAGGGCAGACTGAATAAAGTTTGGAATATGAACTGAAAACGTGAGATGGGTAGGTTGTAGGATTGTGGAAAGGTGGTGAATAGATTGAAAAGTGTAAAAAGATTGAAAGGAATTGATTTATTATAACTTTCTACATTTTAGTTTTTGATTCATTTTATCAAGATATTCTAGTTTTTTGTAGACTCAAAATTAGAGGCGCTGAATAGATCGAGGAATTGCATAAATTGAATATGGAATTGAATAAAGGAAAGAAATTGCATAAACGGAAAGCTAAGATTTGGATAAATTGAAAAGTAACTAGTTTGGACAATTGACCATTTCAAATGGTTTTTAATTTCCATTGGAACTTCCATTCGCATGTCCATTCGCATGTCCATTGGCATGTCCATTCGCATGTCCATTGGCATGTCCATTGGCATGTCCATTAGAGTGTCCATTTTCATGTCCATTTTGTCCATTTTGTCCATTTTCCTTCTCTTCCTTAGTTTCCCTGTCCAAATATGGCTTCTCGCCAAGAACAGTAATCCTAAAGTGGTGACGGTGACCAGTCTTGTGACGCAAAAAGTCGGCAATGGCAGTGTGCAACACAATACGATTATCCCAGGCAATCACAGTGGCTCCCAGAGTTCCACGGTGTTGGGCTCTTACCTGGAAGTCGGTGCTGTTAATATGAGCATCCAAAAAGTTGAGTATAGCACTCGACTCGGGTCCTTTAAGACCCTTGATTGACTTGACAAATCCTTTTGAAAAGAAGAGCGATTTTTCACCTGTAACAGGATGGGTTCTGACCAAGGGGTGCTCGGTAAAGTAGTCCTTTTTGACTCTAGCGACCCCTCCGGTTAACGCAGAAAACTTGTTTTGGTAGTAATTGGTGTGGATGGCAGTAAGCCCTTCAAGCAACTTTTGAAACTCGGGCGAAAGTCTTCTATAAGCTTCTCGAGTATCAGCATAAACGGTATCACCGCCGGATTCGGGAGCTTCAAGCGCAACGAAAAACGAAAAAGAAGATGGGTATTCTTCAAAACTGATATCGGAGTGCCAACCCACCAGAGTTGTCCTGCTAGCAAATTCTCCCTCGTACCGTTCTGGACCACCTTCCTTTCTGAAAGTCACCAAAAGTTCAGGGTACCCATCAATTGAGTAGGCAACAGGATGGATATGAAGCGGTCCAAAATATCTACCAAATTCTCTCGCAAATTCTGGTCCCTTGTCTCTGAAATCCTGGTCATGGAACACAGCTAAACCACGAGTAGCCAAGTAAAGTGCCAAGTCGTTCTTTCCTGCATCGTCGAGCTTGCTCAATTGAATCCCATCGATCTCAGTTCCAAAGTTAGGAGAGAGATCAAATGTCTTTGCGTCCTTGTTGTAGAACAAGTTTTTGAAACTAGGATCTCCCAAATGGCCCTTATCGTTCTTGGCGCCATCAGGATTGGCAAAAGCATTGTATTTACCTTCATCCTCAAGCTTAAAAGGTGACAAATATTCGGGATACTTGACATGTTGCCTTACTTCCTCGAGGTCCACGGCCCTGGCAACCTTGCCTAATTTCAAAGCCTTTTTGAACTCTTCAATGAACAAAGGGTCGTCAAGCTCTGCACCGTTTTGTCTGTAGCTGTAACTCATTTCAAGGGTGCAATATAGTTTCAAATATTAAGTTTATATATACCCCATGGAGCCCCACTTCTGAGCCACATTTTGCAGCCACACGGATAACGGTGCCACAGCACCTAATTACCCGCTAGCGCCGTAATTTCGCCTCTATTCACGTTTTAGATCAGCGTATTACTCATCGTGGCATTTCAGGTTCCCCGATCTGGAACAAAGCAGCCACCCCATACTTCCCCATCGATTGGCATAAAATATTCCTATCCGATTACGTCAGCGGAACCCTCTCCAGCTCTCTAGAACTGCAAAATGAAAAATGAAAAATGCCAAGACCAGTGCGAAAATTCCCGAGTGACATCTGATTTTTTTCAGTTATGGTCCCTTGCACCCCAGGTTTCCTGTAATGTGCAACTTGCTATTTGCCCGGCTGGACGAGATCACCCTGGATGTGAGGCGATATACTGAACATGAGGCTCTAGTAAGTCGCACCTTGTCGATTGTATCGTCGTCGTTGTCGTTGATTTCTGGACTAATTTCGTTGTACTTTTTTTGGCGACTCAGCCGCAACAGAAAACTCATCTTTAGGCACCAGTTGATTCTTTTCTTAGTATCGTATGACTTCATCAAGGCGTTGTTTCTATTAATGTATCCCGCACGAGTGATTGCAAGAAGTTCGGTTTATTATGATGTTCCGTTTTGCAAAGTGGTGGGATTTTTCACCGCCATGTCCATTGAGGGCTCAGACTTGGCTATTGTCAGCTTTGCTGTCCATGTGGCACTCCTCATCTATCGTCCAAATGTCAAGGTGAACACTGGTTCTGCCACAGAAGGTGGCTTGTATCCGTACCGAAATTACGTCTATATTGTGTCCATTGTCATCCCCATTCTTTTGGCTTCCTTGGCTTTTGCCAGTCCTATCAGCTACACCCCATTGACTAATTGGTGCTACTTGTCCACGGAGGCAGTTTGGTGCCGATTGGCGTTGAGTTGGGTGCCTCGCTACATCATCATAGTTGCAATATTTGTCATTTACGGATGCGTTTATCGCCACGTTACTAAACAATATAGTGTCGTGGCTCGAAGGTTGCGGGGGGGCAAAAAAGGTGAACGGTTATGGAAACGGTCCTTGAAAATGTTAACTTTTTATTTTATTTTCCAATGTGGAATTGGCTAGCGACGTCAGTAGTGAGGTTTCCGGACCACAAAAATTCGGGCTAAACGACGCCTATAACAGCTTCAAGACTCGTCGCACCATCGCAGAACGCCAGATGAAGTTGATTTTCATATATCCAATATCATATGTGTTTTTGTGGATAGCACCTTTGGTCGTCCATGCCATGGACTTGAAGTACGGTACCAGTCGACGTCCAGTAATGTGGATCACCTTCATAGCCGCGTTCATGCAACCTTTCAATTGCACCGTGGATACGCTAGTTTTCCTCTTACGAGAAAAACCGTGGAAAAATGAAGTGAATACCGGTTTCGAGTTCACTCCGCCAGCGCAAAATCAACCCGCCGTGAAAAATCAAGAACCCGACCACGCCTCTACTTCAGGCTCGGAAATGGATTTCATGGATTTTCTAAATACCTGAGTCTATGTCTCGTTCAAAAACTTGGGAGGTGCCAACGGTTCGTACCCGGCATTGTATAGCATGTCTGGAGGTGCGGTTCTATTGTGCAAACTTCTCAAGTCCAAAAGCTCTGGCGTCAAGTCACTGAGTTTACTGACCCCAAGCAACTTCATATCAAGAAGAAGCTCGCGCTTGAGCAACTGGATGGCTCTCGTGACACCTTGTTCACCATAGGTGGAATTGGCGTAGAGGAATGGCCGGCCCAATCCCACGCCTTTTGCACCTCAAGCATAATGCCTTTAATACATCGGTTCCACGACGGATCCCTCCATCAATATACACTTCGATTTTCTCTTCCAACTTCTTTTCCTTGAGAACCGGCATCACATCCGCCAAAACCTCGACGGGAGCACGAGAAAAATCGAGCTGCCGTCCGCCGTGGTTCGACAATACTACTGCGTCTACCCCATGGTCAATGGCTAGCAACACGTCTTGAACCCGCTGGACGCCTTTTATTACAATAGGAAGCTTCGTCATCGACTTGAACTTATCAATGTCTTCCCAGGTCAACCGCACGTCTTTAAAGTTCATGAGTGGATCGTCAGCATGCGATTCGGTTGAGCTAACCTCGTCTTCATCGTCAAACAACCTAAACTTCAAGTCCTTTTCTCTCCGACGAAGCATAGCAGTGTCCACCGTCACAAAAATTGCCTTGAGCCCGAGCTTTTCACATTGCTTGATAGTGTTATAAGAAATGTCTCTGTCTTCATTGACATACAATTGGAACCATTGAGGCTGGTTTTTTCTGGCTGCCTCGACGATTTCCCCCAACGAGTACGACGCAGTCGACGAAATCATCTGGATAATGCCCTCGTTTCCACATCCCCGAGCAATAGAAAGTTCTCCATCCTCGTTACCCATACGAGCTTGGGCCGCGGCTGAACAGTAGAATGGAGCAGAGGATTTTACTCCCAAAAATTCAGTACTAATGTCCACATCAGAAACATCTGTGAGCACCTTGGGGTTGAAGAAAATACGACTAAAGGCATAGTGGTTTTCTCTCAATGTGATCTCGTCGTCGGCTGCGCTGGAATAGTAGGCCCATGCATGCGGAGTAAGAATCCGTTTGGAAAGGTACTCAAAGTCGGAAATGTTGAAAACTTTGGACAATTTGGGCAATTGTCCTCGGAGTTGCTCCCGCTCTTCATCTTCTTCGCTCGCAGTAATGTCCTCGGCGGGTTCCAAATCTCCCACAAGAGGACCCAAGCATTTCTCCGGATCGAGAAATTTGGTGAAAACGTCCTTGGCATGAAACTTGTTGAAAATTGTAGAGGCGTTCTTACCAGCATAGTGAAGAATGATTTTGGCTCCTCCTGGGTGCATTGGTAGAAAGTCTGTCAAGTCATAGACAAGTCCATTGATACATACCCATACACCGTCCTCTTCATTGTTATGTTTCTGTAATTCATCAACGGTGATTTCTCTTCCCTGTTGGGGCCGTATCCAACCTAATAAAGTCTTTTTCGCCTGCAATTGCCGCAAAAGCCAAAGAACCGGCGATAATAGCACCAGCTGTAAAATGAGCATTGGGCAACTTGGGCCACATTCTAGGTGCCCCAGCTCTCCAATGGAGCCCGCGCGACCCCCATCTCGACCCAATTCGTAAACCTGACCTCGGAAATCTCATGAAAAATAATCAGCCAATCCCACACACCGGGTTTTAAGCGGCATAATTACAGTGAATAATCTCCCGATATGCACGTGACCGCATGTCCACCGACAAATACGTCAAATGCGGAGTCGCCTGTTTCGGACACTCGGACCGAGATTCTCGCATCGCGACCAATGCATCCGCCTTGTTGCACCGTTGCAGTTTTGGGACCGGAATAATGTGCCAAAAAAGTGCCCACAGCACCAGAACCACTTCCACATGCTGGATCCTCCGGTACTCCATAAAAAGGTGCCAAATTGCGAAGTTCCAATTGTCCATCTTGGTACCATCCAAAAATGCCCACCCCAGTCCAGCCGTATTTTTCCGAAATTTTTGAAAGTTCCGCCATATCTGGCCTGACTTTCTTGACCTGCTCACCATCTTGCAATTGTAGAGTGAGCCATTTGGGTCCATCATCCACCGAAATGGGCTCTTCGACAAAAGTGTCAATTTGCAAAACCCGCTTGAGATCGGCAATTTCTTCGTCTCCTACCGGGCTTACTTTATGGTACGGCAACTTGAGCCAGAGCTTCGATTCCGCTAAGGTTTCACACTCGTCAATAGTGATTTCCACTAATCCAGCTCCGCATTGTTGCACAATCCGACCATCGTGCGGCTTAATAAGTCCACCTTCAAGTAACGCAAAGCAAGTTCCGAGCGTGGGGTGTCCGGCAAACGGAAGTTCGCTGGTTGGTGTGAAGATTCTCACGTTGTAATCAGCACTTTTTTCGGTTGGTTTCAAAATAAATGTTGTCTCGGATAAATTGGTCCACCGGGCAATTGTCTGCATTTGGTCCAGATTCAAGTTGTCGGCATCGAAAAAGACCGCAACGGGGTTGCCAAAGTACTTTTTGTTGGTAAAAACGTCAACTTGCTTAAACTTCATCTTGGTTAATGAGAGCAAGTCTGACTCATGAAGATCATATAATTTCAGTACTGCATAATGCCCCATATTTCTCCACACTTTCAAAAGGCATCATTTTCATACGGGCATTCCAGTGCTACGTGGCCGTCTTGTTCGCAGAGCCCGCACCAATTGTCTCTCCCCGTGCTCGGGTCGGTTTGCTTTTTGGGCTCGTAAATTGGAAGTTGGTTGTTATTAAGTGAGGTATGGGCCATTTTCGTCAGAATATCATCCAACGCTTTTCTATCGTTTTTGTTCTTTTCGGCTTCGAGTTGCTTCTCTAGCGTTTCAACCCGACTCTGTGATGCTTCGAGCTTGCGTTGGAGCTCGTCAATCTCTTTTTCGTGGAGTTTTTTCAATGCCTCGATGTTGGCACCTCCCTCCAATTCTTTCAATTTTTCTTCGTAAAAAAGTTCCGTTTCTTGCTGAGTCGAAGACATCAAGTCCATGCTTTCACGCCAGTTTTCCCGAGCTCGTTCAAACTCGGCTCTTTGTTTGGCCAATTTTTTGTCTCGTTCTTGAAGGTCTCTCTCGTACTCTTCAAGCAACGGTTCGAGTTCAGCCACTGTTCTTTGAAGTTCTGTAAGAATTGCTGATTTTTTCTCCGTTTCTTCCTTCAACGTCTCGTACTGTTGTTTGTAAAACAACGCTTCTTGCCTGGAATCTCGGTTTTTCTCGGGTGTAGACTGGGTGCTTCTCTTCGGTATATGCAATTGGCGTCCATTTCCGCTACTTTGGCGACTTATACGACCACTCGTGTCGTTGTCCAACTGGGGGTTCGAACTCCTGAGCCTTTCCCACGGAATAAATAACCCAGTTTGGGGAATCTTGACATCAAAATATTGTACACCATCAACATTTCCTGAGTTTTTTCCGCGGGAAGTTGCCAAAGGACCTATCAATTCTATGCCCCCGAATACTCCAGCTTTGCCGTCGATAGGTCCGTAATATCGAAGTATACCATGTCCTCGTGATCCGGGAACCGTCACCTGTGTGCCTACAAGATCCATAAAGAACGAGCGCGATGCGAGAATAAATAGACGGCCTGCACGAAAACAATGAGCAGACAAGTGCACACTCAGTAGACAAACCCGAAAATAGGGATCTGGGAATATTGCGTGAATACATAGGTTAATGTTTGAAATGTGTTATGTGAAGAGCGGATCATGTAGGAAACTTGTAGAAAATTTGTATATAAGTAGTACGCAAATTGTATATATTCGCAGGTATTACTGAACTTATGAACTAATGATTAGCTATGGTGGTCTATTTGGCAACTTAGGTGTATGCGATTATGAAGAACTTTTTGTAGCCCGCTCGAGCTACAACTCACTGTAATAATCATGCCACTTTCTTCGTATATCGTAGGTGGATAAAGGCTTGGTTTCGATCATTCTTGGCTCGCCAAGGTTCATGGCTTGGATATCTTTTGTCAATTTGTTCACTTCGGCTTGCTTGGTATTTATACGCCGACTCAACTGCACCACCGCTCGTTCCAAATTCTTCACAGTGTCTCGCGAAGTACCAGCTTGTGCCTTTAATGGCATAAGCAACATCAAGGCTTCGTTATATGATTTCTGAACATTCTTGACCTTTCTTCTTAGTTCGTCTCTCATCATTTCACTTCTTGAATCGAGTGGTCGATTTTTCGCTGAAAATGATTCGAGATTCTCGGTCAACAGCTTTAGCTGTGCAAGCTGCTTTTCAAGAGGAATACGCAGCTTTTGCGATGCTCGAACCTGGTTTTGTAAGTTGGTGAGACGCTCGTCTAGACTACCAAACTTAGCTCGGTTTGTAGCTGTGATTTCTGGAACATCAGCCATTTTCTCCTTCAATGCTGAGGCCAGACCAAGTGTCCATTGAGTTGGTTCTTCGAGCGATACGTCCTCATTTCTGTAACTGTGAGCATCAATAAAGTCTCCCAAAATTGCTTCATTCTCACGCAAGATCTCCAAATGTCCACTCGTCTCCTGGTATATCTTACTCACCATACCTGCAATACTCTGCTCTGATCCAACATTACTCGTAAGTCCGCCGTAAGAAAGAAGCTCCACTTCAACAGGTACATTTATGTAGCCCTCAGCTTCCGCCTTGTCCACGATTTCGTATTCATTTATCAAGTCTTCATCTTTAGCCTCGTCTTCTTTATCATCAACCTCTTCCTCCTCTTCATCTTCACCTTCTTTATCATCAAAATCTTCTTCCTCTTCTTCATCTTCATCATCTCCACTGACTTCAGATCTGTTCTCTGGCGTCTCTACTGTTTCCCATTCTTCGTCATTTTCGTCATCTTTATGAAGCGAGGTTTGGTCCTTCTCTGCAGTTAAGGACCCACGCTCTTCATCATTTCCACCAACCTGAAACTTTCGAGAGGAGTTCACAGATATAGGATTGAGACCTGCCAGTCTTGGTTGCTCGCTTGTATCAAGATCACTTTCTTGCTCGTCACTCTGGTCAGATTCAGAGGTTGCCGGCTCCGAACTCCGAACCACAGACTTATCAGCATCAAACAAAAAAGCAGGCTTGGATTCTGACTGTTGTCGATTATGGAAACCTTTGCCAAAAGGAGACAGAGTTCCTTCTTTCTTAGAGTCAACTGAGAGTGATGAAAGTTCAGGAAAAGGAGAGCTCTCTTTACCTAGGTTGGTTGTTCCTGGCGTATCTTTCTTGTCATTCAACCTTGCAATTAAACTTTCTTCCTTCTTTTCTCCACTCTTTGTCTGTCCTAATTGTGCGAACGGACTTGGTGCCTTTGGTTTTTCCAGTGATTCTAAACTCAAACGATCAAGAGACTGGCCGGAAATTGGGGAGTCTTTGGTGGATTCACCAGCTATGTCATCGACTTTCCTTTCTTCTGTGGCCGTTTCCAGTCCCAATTTTTGATCAGAGGAAAGCAGCTTGTTCTGTTCTTGATTTTCAACAGATTCTCCAACGAGTTTCTTCTCTTGATTTTCAGTAGGTTCTCCAATCAGCTTCTCCTCTTGAATTTCAGTAGGTTTTCCGATCAGTTTCTTGTCTTGATTTTCAGTAGGTTCTCCAATTGGCTTCTTCTCGTCTTGGTTTTCACTAGCTTCTCCAATCAGTTTCTTCTCTTCCTGGTTCACCGGAGGTGCTCCAAAAATCAGCTTTTGAGGCTCCGTTTTACCAAACAACAGTTTCGTTTCATCCAACTTTTTGTCTCCAAATAACGGCTTCACCTCTCCTTGTTGGGCCCCAAATATCAGCTTCTGATCGCCGCCAAATATCAGGTTGGTGGAATTGGTGCTGCCGAAAGGTGACGCCTTGGTAGCGAACTTGCCAAAATTGGACGATACAGTTGATGTAGATCCAGAAGTGGCATCACTGGTTTTCTTTGATGAAAATGACAGTTGCCCAAAGCCGGATGCTGATGCTTGCAGAGAGCCAAAGCCTGTGCTCCCAAAGCCTGTGCTTCCAAACCCTGTGCTTCCAAACCCTCCTGCAGTAGCTGTACCACCAAAACCTGTATTACCAAAGCCTGAACTTCCAAATCCTCCTCCAGTAACTGTACTTCCAGTGCCTTTACCTCCAAAACCTGCACCACCAAAGCCTGAACCTCCAAATGCGGGTTGTGCATTTTGGAACGAAGGTGCAGCTGTAGATGGTTTTTGATGCTCTTCAGAAGACACAGGGTTAGCAGCCTCAGGGATATTTTTGGAAGGTTCCGAAACAGTGGCATCAGTAGGTTTCAAACTTAGCGACAATTGCACAATAGCCTTTTGAGCACGCTGCAAGCTCAAACTGTTCTCCTTCACCTCATGAGCAGCAAATACCCACCAAGCAACAAGAGTTCCCATACTAGTTAGACACCAGAGCTTCGGCAAGACGCCAATTGCCTCTTCTACTGAAGTTGACACTTCCAAAACCTTTGTTTTATCGTGAGACAAATCAACCGCAAGTCCTACAGCCGTGGCATCCTCACCTTCGTCGTCCAAGGGCATTTGGGCTCGTTCAGTTTCGTTGATCTGTTCCACCAAAGATGCCTTCAGGTCGTCGTGAACAATGGTATCGATAGCAGTCGCCTTGGAAGAAATTACAAAGGTTATGCTCTTATTGGGAATCCACTGCTGGACCAGTTTCGAGTAGTATACGCTTCTGCGGTTGGTGTCTGCGTACGCTGGTGAAATATCCACTGGTTTAAAGCTCTGGGACGTTACGTCCAAAGCGAAAGATTCGAGATCCTCTTCTTGATTCGAGAATGATGCTAGTATTTTCTTGTCTCCAAGACTTATAACAGATACAGCTTCGAGACCATCATCGGCTTGTTTCGAGTCGGAAACTTTGCCATCGGGGCTCACAAAGCTTATAGTGTTGCCATTTGCTGTAATCAATTTGTCTTCAGGACTTGACCATGAAAAAGCACTTACACCACTTGAAACTTTTTGTTGATGCTTGTCCTGTAAAATGTATAATTCTTTGTCGTTAGTTAGCACCAAAATGCCATTATGTTGCCGTGAGGGTCTTATAGAATTGATATTTTCAAGTTCCAGTTGGCGGTGAAAATTATCTCGTGTTGGGGTCTCAAAGTTATCACTTGACATCGCCAATAAAATACCATCGTCCACAACAAATAATTGCGATTGATCGTAACTAAAAGCGACCTGGGTCACTTTTGTAAACCCGCTCAAAATTTTGGGCTTTTCTTGTTGTTCAATCGTCAGAATCTTATCCAAAACAACATCCTTCGTATTGGAACAAACCACATAACCAGATGAAGAAAGGTCCAAAAGGTCTAGATAGTCACTTTCTAATTCACTAAAATCCAAAGCATCGTCAAATACCTTGATTCCTTCTTCTTCCGTGGCAAGCTTGTACCCAAAATTTTCTGTTTCGAGCAGATCCATGCTACACTAGTTTGAAGAACGAGAGAACCAAAAGGTGAGATGGGCCACATGCAGTACCCTAAGGTCGAGAGACAGGAGGGGAAAGTGCATGTAAAACTACAAACAAATAGACGAAAAGAGCCCAAACTTTCCAATCCTCCTCAATTCAACATCCACATTCAAACTACCCTCACCACTTACTTCCACCTTCAATTTCCGCCATTTTACCTAAACCGTTCTCTCTCCACTTTGTCACGTGACCACTCGTCACAAATTCTCAAATTCAAAAATCGTTGGTTCCCTTTTTCCCATATAGTCCACCATGTATGGGGCTCCGTTCTCGAGACCTTCCCTGCAATCGTCCACACCTTCCCACTTCAAGGACTCGGCTAGAAATGCCATTTACCAGCAACTTTCTCCCTTGGTGGTAACTTCAAATAGTGCCGGATCCATCAGGTCTGCTCCCTCCCAATATCAAATTTATAAAAATCCACCGCCAATTCCGCTGCACCGATCTCAGGCATCGAGTGTCTTTTCTGTGAACAGATCGGTACGGTCGGCTCCTTCGATATATTCGAGTTCCACAGCAACAATTCCCGAGGATGCGGAACCTGCTTCCACCACTGTTGATCAGCTCATTAACGATATTTCTTTGCATGAGGAATTCTGTTTCCGTAAGAGACAAGAACTGCTTCAGAACGGAGTGGTGGCCCCTGAAAGCGCTGACGATGAGGTGGAGTTCTACAAGATTTCCTTGGGTTCCGAACTTCAATATCAGCATCCTGAATCGTTGATCGACTGGAATTTGAATGTTACCCGGTGTAAACTATTTCTAATCCACCTTCCAATCGTTTCCTCAACTCCCAACTTTACCTATTCCAACACCACGTTGCCATTGCTCGTTGGAGACCTTGCCAAAACTTGTCATATTGTGTTGCTTCAACCTCATATATCCGACAAGGAACTCATATATACCCTATTTTCATCTAATATCTACCAGGAACACAACTTGGACTACAATTTCAAAAAGTCGGTGGCTGAAATATCCGTCAAGCAATCTCGGCTTCTTCAAATCAATTCGCTGCTGCTGTCTCTGCCTATAAAATCCACCGAATCATTCCTCAAGTCCAAATTCAAAGAAACTGCGGTTCGCAACTACCTCATCAACCTTGCCGCCGCCGCTACCACTGCTCACGAGTACAAGCTCAAAAGTGAAGAGATTAAGAAATTGGCCAAAACCGACCCTACCCGTAAGAAAAAACTCTCCAAACAAGAAAAAAAATACTTATGGGATCAAGTGCGTCTGGACGTATTTAAACGGGCTGGTTTAGAGTGATGACTTACGATATGTAATAATATGCTTAAATATGTAGCGGGATATCTCAATACCGTTTCCTTCTTTCCTTCACCGCCTTATAATGTGCTTTTCTTCCGCTGGTTTTTTGCTGCTGTATTTCAGCATACTTTCTCTTAAAGAACTTATTGGCATCTCCATCGTTCAAGATTTCTTCCGCAAGCGTTTGTCCTCGTGAACGTCTCAGCATTCGTGACGAATAAAACTCTGTGTTTCCTTGTATGATTGTCCCAGTAGCAAAATACTTGGGTATTTGCCATTTTTCCTTTTTATAGTGACGTTTAGGGTCTAATGCACTTCTTTGCTGGATGATTGCCAAGTCCCGCTTGATCTGTGGAGTTAGTTCAGGTCTGGACAAACCAAACCAATTGGCGCCAGCTGAATCGTCCTCTTTTTTGGTGTGTTTAATGACGATAGGATCATTTATCTTTGTGATATCTCGAGTCTTTGTTGGACCTTCTTCTTGTTGCTCCAAAGCCGATTGGAGCTTGGGGAGCTTCGAAAGCTGATTCTGGATCTTTCTGAATTCATCCTTCTCCTCTGTGGTCTCGCCGGATGTGGCTTGGCGTAGCTCCAAGAACAAATCGTCTAAGCTTTTTTCCTGGGACATGGTGGTAATTTTTGTTAAACAGCGCAAAACCGATGAGCAGTGCGAAGGTGTGTCTTGTATGCAGTCCCTAAGATAATTTCGATTCCAAGATGAACTCGTCGGTGGAGTCTGGTTTGACCGGAGGTGAGAGACCAAGTTTTACGTTGGCGTCGATGAGGATCTGGTTGGCAATCCATAGTTTTCTTTTTTCTTTTTTGTAGTGGTCGAGTTCTCGGCCGAGAATGGTTGACACTTTAGTTGCAACATTCAAGCGTCTTTCGAGAACTTCATGAGATTTTTGGAGCTGTTCAATATTGGAGGTAAAATCAGACTCTTCCGTGGTGGGGTCGGGGCCCACTTGGTGGCGGTACCTCTCGACGGCTGCCCTATACTTTTTTTCATTTATAGGAGAATCGAGTAAATCGTTCCAGTGAACCGGTTTTTCTTTATCTCTCAAGGTATCTACAAATAGCAGGGAATACCACCAAGGAGTCCTCAATTCGTCGTCTAGTTCGATGGGAGTAATGTCGTCGTCTTCACCTTCCTCCTTATGATCAACTTTTAATCGTTTGACCCGATCTCTATTAAGCACCAAGCCTTCTTTGGTAGCATGGAGTTCATGAGCCGCTTTGATATGTCTAGCCAACACGTCCTGCTTACCAAAAAACTTGGCACATTCGGGAATGGGACAGAAATACCGTTTTTCTCCCGTGTGGATCCGAAGATGATTGGTCAATCCTGGTTTCGTGAATTTGGGAACGCCGTAATCTCCACATCCTGCCCAATGGCATGCGATCGACTTTGTTTCCTCCATTGAGTAAGACCGCAAGTGTCTTTCGGCAATATGAGACACGAGCGCCGGTTGGGACGGCTGCAGAGGCCATGAACATCCCACCCACTTACAGGTAGTTTCTTGGGAGCCGTTTTTCGTGCCGTTGTCTTCTATAGGTGGAGCTTGAAAAATGGGTTCTGAGTCCTCTGGACTGCGATTTTTTGCGGGTTCTATGTGTTCCATAGTTGTGGATGGTGCCAAACAAAAAGCGAAAGCGACTTGGTATGAGAGAAATGAACTGCGACCGTCTGATTCAGATTGAAGAGTGGTGAGAATCGGGCCACCGGTGCACCAGGCTGGGAAAAGAACGGAGTGGAGGAATTATGCAGTTGCGAGAGCTAATGAGTGTTAAGCAGACACTGTTATAGAGTATCAAGTAGTACTTTAAAGTGTCTATTGGTGACTATTGGTATCTATTAGTATTCATTATTATCAATGGGATCAATTAGTGTCTACTAGTTACTTCATTAGTATCAATTAGATTTTCTTGGAATTCATTAGTATCAATTAGTATCAATTAGTATCTGTTGGTGTCTATTGGTATCTACTAGTATCTGTTACTATCTATTAGAACTTTTCGACAAGTACCACTGTCTTCCCAGTATCTAGCCAGTATCAACTGGTATGTTGAAAGCTTACAGTTTTCATTTACAGTATCGTAACCATTACTACCTTACTAGTATTTAATACTTTAGCTTTAGTTGTATCTATTAGTACCTACGCCACCTACCAGCCAGTGCTACTGTCTTGACCACTATCTACATCAAGGAGTAATACTCTCTAGAAATATAACCTTTAGCTTAACTAGTCTAATCACTTTTATTAAGTTACTATCTTCTGTCCACCATCATTATGCTATATTACACCAAAGCCTCGTCTAATCTAGCAGCCGGGTTTGTCTCTATAAAGTCCAACGACACCTTGTGTCCCAACAATTCTCTAATATTGGAAACGCCATACTTGATCATGGTTGGTCTCTCTAATGACAATCCCCAGCCTAGCACCCGCATGTTCTTGGGCAATCCCATGGCTTCGAGCATTTCTGGTCTGAACATACCCGAGTTTCCAATTTCAACCCACTTGCCCAATCCTTTATGATAGGCGAAAATTTCCAATGAAGGTTCTGTGTATGGATTGTAGGCGGCCTTGAATCTCAATTGGTTAACACCCATCTTGCCGAAAAAGTCATCCATGAATCCAATCAAGTCTCCCAACGTGATATCGTACCCAGCTATAACTCCCTCCACTTGATGGAACTCAGCCAAATGGGTAGCATCCACAGCTTCATTACGGAACACTCTGTCTATCGAGAACAATCTGGTGGGCTTTGGATCTTTCGCCAACTGATGCAACATGGCAGAAGAGATGGCGGTGGTATGAGTTCTCAAAACCATACGCAACGACTCTTCGGCTTTCCATGGGTATCTGTATCCAATGGAACCGTATTTTCCGTCCTGGTGAACCTGCTTAATATTTTCCCAGTACTCACGGTCGGTAGGTTCTTTGGCAACTTTGGGGTCTTTCAAGTAGAAAGTGTCTTGAAGATCACGAGCAGGATGTTGTTGGGGAACAAATAAGGTGTCAAAGTTCCAGAAACCAGACTCTACGTATTGGTTCGAGGGCATTTCAGTGAATCCCAAAGAGAAAAAAATTTGTCTGAATTCTTCACGAACCTTGTTCAAAGGATGCAAAGCACCAGAATGAGGGAATGCACCTTCGGAATTGAAGTTGTACGGTTTGAATTCGGCATTCTTCCAGCTACCATTGACAATCATATCGGAAGTAATGTCGGTTTCCAAAGTCTTGATTTCCAATCCGAAATTCTTGCCCTTTTCTATCTTGTATCCAACAATCTTAGTCAACGAAATTAACTTTCTCTTCTTCAATTCCTGAAGTTCTTTCTTATCCGATAACGAACCACTCGACTGAATTGTCTTCAACTGGGTCACAGTGACATCTTCAGGCAAAGAATCCACCTTGGCAACAAGTTTATCACCATCTTTGGCAATCCAGCCATTCTTGAATGCTTTTCCCTGTCCCAACTTACCAGCATTACCCAAGGTAGAATTGACGTCAGCAATCTTCAATCCGTCCAATGACTTCATAACCTCATTGAGAACGCGAAATTCGTGAGATCCAGCCGTCAAAAACTCCTCGGCCTCTTTTGTCAAAATCCACTTGTCGGTTTCGATTTTATCAAACGATATCATTTCCTTCGCCCACAAAGAAGTAAGGTTGGAATGGAGCGTATTGGGGTCATACTTGGCGAGCACGTCGTCCTCAAGCGTGGACTTAACCCCGCCGGTGGCATCGACCCTCTGGAGTATCTGGAGCTGTATTTCAGACATGGGTGGTGACTGATCGATGGAAATTTTCGCGGATATAGCACCCGCACACCAGAATCATAAGACAGATTCGGAATTTTTTTGGTGTGTGGCTGTCTTTTCTGGATGACGTCGTGCGCGCCCACGGTAGCATGGGGGAATGCTAAGCCTTAGATTCCAGGTGTTCATTGCGATCGTGCGCGGAGTTCAGGCGCTAACTTACATAAGTATGATTTTTCGCAGGGTTGCTCATCAATGATGCATCTGGTCAGGCACACAGGACGTTTGCGCGGCTGAGCAATCAAGATTGAGACTATAAAAACAAACAGAGTTGCACATTTTAAACTAAAAAAAATGGCATTGACCTGTACCGATATCTTTAAATTATTCTTCGCTATCATCTTACCACCTTTGGGTGTGTTTATGGAAAGAGGATGTTCTAGTTCGTTGTTTATTAATATCCTTTTGACGTGTTTGGGTTATATTCCTGGAATCATCCACGCAGTGTATATTATAATGCGGTACTGAAGAGCGACGAAGTCGCGATGAATGATGAAATCGTGATAAAGTGATGAGTGATGAAATGAATCGCGAAAAAGTCAGATCTTAAATGTGTATTGGTATATATTACAATGTATGTGATACATTACTTTAACCACTTATTCTACTCAATTCCCATTCTACAATTTCTATTCTTTCTCTCTCATTAGAGTTTCTGCTTCGATTTCCTTTTCGGTTTCTTTTGTGTTGCTCGTTTAGCCAGACTGCATTCTATACATCTTACATGAATGACTACTCACTTAATGTAGTATTCTACTAAAAGTTGATGGGCTTGTCAAAAGTAGCCAATGCTGCCTCCTTGAATGCTTCCGACAATGTTGGGTGAGCATGGCAAGTTCTGGCAATATCCTCGGTGGATGCACCATATTCCAAAGCAAGTCCTGCTTCGGCAATCATCTCACCAGCGTTAGGTCCGATAATGTGGACTCCCAAAACCCTTTGGGTCTCGGCATCGGCAAGAAACTTGACAAATCCATCGGTGTCCAAGTTGGTCTTGGCTCTGGAATTGGCAACAAATGGGAACTTACCCACCTTGTATTTGATACCTTGTTCTTTCAACTGCTCCTCATTGGCTCCAGTCCATGCAACTTCTGGGTGGGTGTACATAACAGCAGGAATGTTAGCATAATTGACATGTCCATGGCCATTTTTGATGTATTCAGCAGCAGCAATACCTTCTTCTTCGGCCTTGTGTGCTAACATAGGACCAAAAGTCACATCTCCAATGACTCTAATGTGAGGAACCTTGGTTCTGAATTCGGAATCAATCACCAATCTACCCTTGTTATCCTTCTCCAAACCAACGGCTTCCAAATTTAAGCCAGTGGTGTGTGGTCTTCTACCAATAGCCACCAACAACACATCCGCTTCCAACTCCTCCTTCTTACCCGACTTTGCATCTTCAACCTCAACTTTAACAACTTCTCCTTCACGAACACCCTTGGTGACCTTTGTACCAAGCTTGAATTTCAAGCCTTGCTTAGCCAATAATTTTTGGGTTTGCTTGGCAACTTCACCGTCCATACCAGCACCAATGGCGTTCTGGAACTCGATGATGGTGACCTCTGAGCCCAATCTCAGCCATACCGATGCCATTTCCAATCCAATAATACCACCACCAATAATTGCCAATCTCTTGGGTACCTCTTTCAACTCCAATGCTCCAGTAGATGACACAATTCTTTCCTCGTCGATTTCAATACCAGGGAATGGAGTCACCTCGGATCCGGTGGCAATAATGATGTTCTTGGCATTAAGTTTGACCTCTTCTGATCCATCAATGGGTTTGACATTGACGGTATGTTCATCCACAAATGAACCCTCACCTTTGAAATAAGCAACCTTGTTCTTCTTGAACAACATCTCTACTCCTCCAGTCAATCCTTTAACAGCCTTTTCCTTAGCAGCTTGCAAACTAGCCATATCTACACCAACCTCTCCATTGATCGAGATACCTCTGGTCTTGGCCTCGTGCTTAATTTGATGGTACAAATGCGAATTGTTCAACAAGGACTTGGATGGAATACATCCCACGTTCAAACAAGTTCCTCCCAAAGAACCTCTCTTTTCAATACAAGCAGTATTCAAACCAAGCTGAGCATTCTTGATTGCCGAAACGTAACCTCCTGGACCTCCACCAATCACCACCACATCGAAATCCTTGGTGGATGCAAATCTGACAAGCTGGGGAGCCTTGAAGCTGCGGACGAACGAGCGCACACCACTAGTTCTCAACATGATAATTTATGAATATTTGTCACCGGAGCTCGAATAAATTCAAAAAACCTCCGGGGTCGTGTCCGGGATCCACGGGTGTGCATCACCCGTGCACCAGCCCGAGTCAGAAATGAAAAACGAGAGGAGGAAGAAGGGAGTCTGAAAAGACACTAGTAATTGTAGAAGTATACTTTTGTTGGAAAACTGGCAATTGAACAGTTGTAGGTTGACGGTTGAATTTGTGCACCCGTGCACCATACAGCAACACTTTCTGTCCGCGTTCCGAGAGTGTGGCACCCAACCACCACCACCACCATCGCCACGGACTTCAAGTGCCGATCTTTTGGTCCTGCATCCAGACCACTTCCCTGCCGCTGCGCTGGTAATTCCACCTTACGCGCTCCGCAGCCAGAGCCACTATATGGCGCGAGCGAGACGGCGAAAAATCAGACAAAACAAGAAAAAAACGAGGCAAGAGCGAGACGAATTGCGAGACGAGATGGGGCGGGGAGCGAGTCATTATAGCAATAACTTTTTCTCTTTCCCTTTCCCTCTGCCCTTCAGCTCGATCTATCGTATTCGTGTCTATCGTAATCGTACTGTCAAACCTTATATCTCGGTAGCTAAAATTTGCACCCACCACGAACCCTGCTTCGAGCGGCGACATCCTGCATCGGCACCCTCACTATCGCAATTGTGAAACGATCAGCCACCTGGTCTGGACTTCGCGAAAGCTATCTATAGCAAGTGCCAAGCCGGGTTCGGAGCACCAATACCGATAGTGAGATAGATGCCGATAGTATGGTGAATTATTGTGGTCATTGTAAACAAGTGTAGACGATTATTAAAGAATAGATTACTGGCTAAACCTTGATTGCTACTTTTGATTATTTTTCGATCAATCTAACCAAAACCCCAAATGCTTATTCCGCCTGCCGCTTTCGTCATTCTCACGTTACAACACCGAGGTAATCAGAAGCGGAATAATTTACCTGCGAATAAAAAATTCGCACAGAAAAAAAAAAGGACAAAGAGGGAGACAAAGGGCCGCTTATAAACGACAAACTGCCGCAATTGATACCCCAATCAAAGCCTCAGGCAATATTACCAATAGACTGAAGAATCATTCTCAAGTTGGAGTTTTTCGGCCAAGGTTCATCTCATCACAAGACGCCCGATGGTTCATAACCAAAGGCGCCGTTAACTCATGCCTGAACTAGCTTCCAGAATTTGGTCTGGGTAGACGCACATTGTCAAACCTGCCTGCAGGACGGCGACAGGAGGACAATAGGGGACAATGCTACTATTATGATAATAGAACATGTTTGTTACACACCACCTAGCAACCATTGTCTAGGTTTAGATTAGTCTAGACTAACTTAGTAGGCACGTTGAACCCTTTGGAACCTACAAACTTCAATTTCTCATCGCCGAGGCTGGTTATGAAAGGGGGATAATATACCCGATCCCACCTCGACGTGCTGCAGCAATTATTCCGATTCGGGACTGATCTGATGGGCTGGTGTACGGATGCGCCCTATTTTCCACCCGACTAAGAATTTGAATGTGCATTTGGCATCGTAAAAGTATATGCACCTTTGGTAAGGAGTTAGCGGGGACTGTGGTGGTTTTTGTGTCAAGGCGTCATATTTATAGGGACAATTATCCTGTTTCATTCGTTGTCTTTTCGGCCTTGCATTTTAATTCTGGTTCCTTAATTAATGAATATCGAGCAATTTCTTGACGACTTCGAACCTCGTTATATGGAATCTTACCATCAATGTGAGCAATGTCCCTCGTTGAAAACTTCTCATTCTCAATTAACTTTGAGCTCTCCTTTATTAGAGTCAGAACCAACCTTCCCAATCTTCCCGCAGCGGGCTGCGGATCTTGCATCTTCAATATATTCTGACTCTTGTTCTCCACCATTACAACCAACAAAATTGTTGTTGGAGTCCATAGAAACCTCGCTGTCACGTTTGTTGCATCGCAGACACACTTCCAAACTGAAAAAGTCCACCGTTGGGAACCCATATTATAGACCATCCACTCGGTCGGCTTCTTCAATTCCTACTTTAGCGTCCTTAGATACCGAATATCACCATATAAAAAGGAGAAACGTATCTGTGGGCACGGATCTGGGTTCTGATTATGAACTGCAAGCGTCGTTTTCGTCGATCGAATCATTCTTGTCGTTAGATTGTGAAGCCCAGTCGTTTCAAGACGATGAAAAGCTGGAATAGGATCATAGACAGAGTATCCATAGACTGGAATACACACATACAACATACAGAAACTAACTCTACAATATTTCAGATTTTCTACAATTTTTCACATCTTACTCCATTGAATGCTAATATCCATATACTCTACCATAGTCTTATGACTATACCACTTCTCTCTCTCTGTCTCTTTCTCTCACCTATCGTTCCGATAGTTGACCTATTAATGGCTCCAATGCCAATGGAAGAAGCTCGGCTGCATCGCCATGAAAGCCCCAAGTATCCTTCTGTTTTCCCTGCAAAATATCCTCTTCGATATCTGTATTGAATATCGCAACCTTTCCGCCCTGTAAACGTACTCGTTCAACGTAGCTGTTGGCAGGATATACTGTTCCGCTAGTACCAATTACTAGTATCAAATCGACCTTTCCCTGTTGAAGAAAATTATCAATTGTATCGATGGTTATCAATGGAAGTGATTCTCCAAACCATACTACTCCAGGTCGAAGCAATTCTCCGCACACTGGACAACATGGAAGATCTTTTTCGGAAAGTTGTTTCACTGGAGTAAATTCTGGTGAACCATCACTACTCTCTTTTTCTTGTTCGGTTCCTGCCAATTGTGGGGTAAGAGGATGGTTAAAGTTTTCGTGGTCGATGTAATTGCAGGTGAACCCCGTACATTTGAGTTCAAAGAGTGATCCATGCAATTCCAATAGTCGTTCGGGATTATGGTTGGCTCGAGCCAGCAAGCCATCGACATTTTGAGTAATTGTAATGAAGTCTTTGTGAACATGAGAAAGCTTTGCTAATGCCCTGTGACCATTATTGGGTTGTGCTTCAAGTGCTAGTTGTCGTCTCCACGAATAAAATTGCCAAACCAACCCGGGATCTATATAAAACGAATCCGGAGTCGCCAAGTCGATCATATTGAAATTTTTCCAAAGTCCTTGAGTTCCTCGAAATGTCGGTAGACCAGAAGATGCCGATAGTCCAGCTCCCACAAGCGCTATGATTCGCTTCAGAGCCCGAAGATGGTCGTGGAACTCGGCAAACATGTTCGACATCGGCGGAGTGAATGCAATGAGATTCGCGCCTGTCAAAGTTGCATGAAGCTGCAAAGCGAGCATTATCTGATTAGATTGCAGAATTGCAATATTACATTCATTATTGATTATCTCATCTATATTTTGGTTTCTACGTTCGTCTTCTGTGCCTTCCATGCCAAATATTGCGCTGAATGCCCAAGGTTTACACCATTGGCCGTGATAATTCGCTGACCAACCATCAATGGCGGAGATCTATACCACACAATGTCTCGAGTTTCCTCGGCTTCGGCGTCGCCAAACTCACCAGGAGCCACTTTTCTCTTCTTGGTGTTGACAGATCCCGCTACGCTTGCAAGCGAATTGTCCTCGTCGTTCATAGCGTAACTTAGCACTCCTCCAGAGAGCAAGTTTGAGTAAGCCGGACTGGCATTATGAACCGAAAGAGTCGATTGCAGCGGACCTGGAAAAGCACTAGTGGTAGCTACCGCTGGCCGTCTAACATCTCCGGTTCCAATACGGTGAACCGTCCGTTGCTGTGTTTGGAGCATGTGACTTTGCTGCTGAATGTTCTGATTGTACCGTGAAACACTGGAACTGTACGACCGATCCATGTCGTTGTAGTCGTGGCTCACAGGTACCGGGGTGCTGATACCACTATTGGACTGAGTTGGGTATGCGCCGCCGGTCATTTTCATCTGCAGAACTGGGGTAAAAAGATACGCTTTTCTACCATCGACATCGTATTCTGGTGCCTCGGCAACATTAGGACTAGTAGAATATTGTCCAAGCTCGTCGTCTTCGACTGGTTCACGCAAGAAAACCAGACCCATAATAGGTGGTGCATTCGCATCGGGACCAGGCGTAGGCTCAGGAATGGCCATGTTTGGAGTTGCATCGGACGGCAACGTATTCTTGATGGGTGATTCAAACTTGATAAGCTTTCGAGGCTCGTTGAGAGGAATCAACGGTATTTCCGGTTGGTCTCTAATTTCGTCTGGCAAGCATGCTTTCCAGGTTCTGATTCTGTTAAAAACATGGGAGTTTTCGTTGTATCTGAACTCGCAGATAAACCACGGCATACCTTCGGGCACCACCGACGCAGGCAAGTCGCCCTTTTGGTGACGAGTCAAGAAAATAACGTAGCATGGCCCCAAAATCTCCGACGCCAAGTGGTCGCGGTACTGACCGGTTTTGCAAACTTCGTTTTCAAAAAAAAGGCGATCGTGCCTATGGCAGGTTTGCTCCGGCCGGTAGTACCAGCACACATTGGTATACTTGGTTCCATCCTCTGTTGACCAGAGCCGGAAAATCTGGCCCACTGTTGGTTTTAACGGTTCTGTGGGGTTATTCATGAGAACCCAATCGCCGATTTTGTAGGTTTGGCCATTGATATCGATGGAGTCCAAAGGCACACGAATGATTCCGTCACCGCCCGGAGTATTAGACACCAAGAGGTCCTTTTCTGGTCTCATGAGCTCGGCATTGATGATGTTATTAGCTTCAGCTTCCAAAAGTAGACAGTCCTGATACACGGGGGAAAGCTGGTTACTCGTATAGTAGAACTTGACATTTTGGAACATGAGCGACAAGTCGGCAAGAAACTCATCTACATTGTGATACTTTCTTGTTCTGACCTTGGCTCGGATATCATTCAAGCAAATGGGGTTCTTGATCATCAGGTAGTAGTTTGGTTCCATACGAGGATCAGGCAATTTTTCGAGGTGTGTCGTCAACGGATGGTTTGGATCGTTCGGGTGACGCAATTTTTTAAAGTGTTTCAAAATAAGTTTGATTCTGGTCTCGTATGGACGGTCGATGATTGGAGGTCTGCCTCGTCTTATTCCAGATTCGAGTTTCTTGTTGCCAACTCCGCCGTAACTGCTTGTTCTGCTGACCATATGGTTACGGTTCAGGCGTTGTGGTGGGGTATTGATGGCTGAATAGTCGTCGTAGTCATCGTCTTCGTCTTCTTCTTCGTCGTCACTTTTCATTGGAGTAGACAACTTTCCAACTCCTTCCATTGGATAATCATCGTCCTCCGGAAGCGGACCCAAATCCGGGTAGAAAACCTCCACCAGTTTCTCGGCATTTAATTTGGGAATTACCTTGTCCAAAATATACTCATTCAATATCATTGCGTGTTGATAGATTTTCGATCCTTTCATGTTGTACAACCTAGCATTCCACGATATTTGCGCGAGCTGGCTCACAAACTCCTGTGCTGACTTGTAGGTACTGTTTTTTATCGATCTTCCAACACCATGAAGAGACACTGGATTCAAGATAATCTTGTAGTAGTCAGTTCCGGTTCTCAAAGGAAGTCTTTGAAACGTTTCCAGAATCTGAATCCCCTCATCGTCCTTCAACAAATAAATGCCATCGAAGATCGGCTGAAGTCGATGACTCAATTTGCGCCGTTCTCGTTCTGCCGACATGGTTGTTTTGTACGCGAACTCGAAGATGAAAAATGGTGAGAGGCAGGTGCAGGAGTGCGAAGTGTGAAAAGCTCAATACTTTAAGTTGGTTGCAAATTACAACATTCATTATTTTACATGGTATAACATCTATCAGGCATTAGGGTCTCCGTAGATTCCCCAGTACTTCTCCACTCCGTATGCACCACCATCCTTCCAGTAGTCGTTGAAAGTGGTGAACATAAATACCTGGTCTGCCAACACACTATTGATACTTTTAATGGCAGCGAGTTGGTTGGAGACGGAAGGTTGACACTGGCCATAATTAGATCCCTCGGTGGGCCAGCCAGTCTCGGTAATAAGAATACTCTTGGAGTTACCGCAAGCATTTTTCAAGTTGGATATTTGGTTCTGAAGCCATGGACCCGAGTTGGAAGGTTGCACACCTCCATCCCAGTATGGGTGGGAATTTACAGCCAAGTAGTCGGAAACATCACAAAGAGCAGGGTTGGCAACAACAGCAACGAGGGTATCGACAGTCACAACGTAACCATTGTAACTTGGAGCATTTTGTTTGAGCCAAGTACGAGCAGTTTGGACTCCTGTACTCACCTGTTGAACAGTTCCTTGGCCCGAATTCACCTGTTCGTTTCCAATAGCAATGGTGTGCACGGCACTCCAGCCTCTTGATGACGTCTGGACTTGTTGCTTGGCACTTTGCAAATCGGATTGCACCGAGCTCAGGTCAATGGGCCACACACCCAAGAACAACTTTTGCGACGAGGACATGGCAGCAAGTACATTCTGGATACCGCTGCAGTCGACACTGTATAATCTAATGATTGAAAAAGGAGACAACTCGGCAATATCGCTTTTCACTTCAGCGGCAGTTTTACAGGCTCCACTCTTGGTGTATGGAGAGTACGAGATACCCTTGGCTGAAGATGCAGCTTTGACATTGGCAATTCTGGATCCAGTGTAGCTAGCTTCTGTGGGAGATGAACTGGGATCACTGTCAAATCCAGGAAGATTGGTATAGGCCCCCGAAACGGTGGAGCCAGCGGTGCTAGTGCCAAGAACAGCAGAAGCAGCAGCCGAAGCAGATGCAACAGCGGCAGGAACTTGAACGGACGAAACTGCGACTGAACTAGCGACTGAACTAGCCACTACAGGAGCACTGGCTGTTGGTGTGGTTGAGGTGGAACTACTGCTTTCGCCAAAAAGATTGGAAAAGAAGCCCAAAATACCACCAGAACTGGATGATGCCTTGGCAGCAGGTGCAGCAGCGGCAGCCGGAGATGCAACAGAAGATGCAGTTGGAGCAGCAGCTGGAGCAGTCGAAGCCGTTGTGGTGGACGAGCTTCCGCCAAAAAGTCCGGAAAGAAACTTGCCAAATCCACCACTGGATGCAGAAGTAGTCGCAGGAGCAGCGACAGGAGCAACTGATGCAACTGGTGCCGGTGCAACTTGCGCAGCAACGGTAGTAGCTGCTGGAGCTGGGGCGGCTGCGGCCAGGGAATCGTCATCAACCAAGTTCAGAATCCAGCTGAACAAACCTCTACGATCGAGGTCGACGGTAGGAAATTCAACAGCCAAATCTTGCTGTCTCTTTTCAACAGAGTCTCTGTCAACAGGATATGCCGACGACGGTCCCGGTATGCTGAGGACCACAGCAACTAAAACATAAGGGGAAAGCTTCATTTTTTAAACCCCACGAAATGAAGGCACGAAATTGCCGTATAATTCAAGCAGGAAGGAATGATGTGGATCAACGAAAAAACCGAAAACTCCAGGGAGTAGAAAATACAAATGGTAGAACTAAAACTTGATTTACCATTTGATTTCATCTCTCATGGATTATATACTAACAGTGTCAAACCAAGCCTTTGCAGCCATGACACTGTGCATGCAATAACATTGCCTAATTAGGCACTTTTGTTCATTGAGCCGCACCAACCACGACGAATCGCCTGCCTGATTAGGAAGTCAGTAAAAGCTACCTTTTACTTATCCCCTCCGAAGTACCCGTTGTGTTGCTCCATTGGGTAAATAGTAGTTGGTCCGAAACGTGCAGAATCCTCGTTTACTGGTTAAGGATGAAAGGCGGAGATTTGGCCTGGACAACGAAGGCTGATGCTCGTTGCGGACTTACATGTGCCGAGCCAGTGTATCATAGCCATGAGCCATGAGCCATATGATCTCGATGAACAGATAGTATTCTCGATGCACTATAGTACTGTCAATGTCAGTTGAGGACAATGACAAAGTTTCTATTTGTGCTGCGAAAAACTCGCTCAACTGTCAGGTGACTTGTATCTGCAATACCCCTTCTTTTAGCACTTGCGGCTCATGAAATCAGTAGTCTAAGCCTATAGTGGAGAAGCGGCGTCAGAATGCATCACCTGAGCCACTTCAAAATGTACCAAAAGCATACGAAAAGCAATACCACTCCGGCCCAAAAGATCCACTTGTCTTGCCTAGCACGTTTTTCAATGGTGCGAATGGTACCCCTACTGACTCCAAGCGTTACCAAACTGTCTTCGAATTTTGCCTTGACTCGTTGTAACGTTTCATTTTGACCCACAATATCTTCAAATGCCTGTTGTCCCATTTCCAAAATTTGATCCAATTGCTGGCTTCCTCTTTGCAACGAAGAATGTTCCTTAGCCAATCCTTCATGATACATCATTGGCAGCTGGACGTTTTCTGCTGCCTCGTATGGATTCTCGGAAGTGTTACCGGCATGTCGGCGTCCCATAAGTTCTTGGGTGTTGGCTTCATGACGTAAGTTTTCTCGTTGAAGTTTCAAATTGTCGAATTTCTGAGTAAATTCTTGTAGGTCTTTGTTGAACTTTTCAAGCCTGGCTTCATGCTTTGTTAAGTGGTCATCAGAAGGCGCTTGTGCTACCAAATCACCATATTCTTTGATAGTTTTTCGGAACGCAGTCAATGACGTTGTGATCGAGCCTTGTAAAGACAATGGCGAAGTGGAGATGTTGGATTCAAAAGTAGCCAATTCTTTTGATAAGAGCTTCGTCTGCTTGATGCCATGGTTGTAGAGTGAATTCATGATCAGTGAAAGCTGGGAAAGTTATTGGACGTTACACGAAGACACGAAGGTGAAAACGCGGTGCCTGCAGAGAATAGCGAGAAGAGAGTAGTAGCGAGAAATAGCAAAAGTAACAGATAGCAATTAGTAGCAGTAGCAAATAGTAGCAATCGTAATGTGGTTGTGGTAATCCTGGAGTGGTATGTAGCAGTCTTAAATAGTAGCAATTGTGGTAATGTAGTAATCTTAGTGGTAATGTAGCAATTGAGCAGGTCATCCAAAAAACCGAACAAACGCCAATAATAATGCAAACGTACCCGATGACACTCCGATAAGCCATTGCATCACCTGGGTTTTCACAGACTTGATTTGCATTTGCATGTTGGCAATCTCCTCGTCAATTCTGGTATATGTATCTTCGATTTTCAGTTCATGAATCGAACTCTCTTCTCTTATTCTCCCCTTTTCCAAATTCAAGTCGAGACGAACACCCGCTTGACTTCGGGTGATTTCTTCCTTTAATCTGTTCTTTAAATTGGTCAAATCGGTTCGTAGATTCTCTTGTTCTTTCTTCAAATTGTTAAATTCTGATTTGTCCATGGTCTGTAATTCTCCCTTGAGCTTGGCAAAGTCGACTTTTTGCTGGTACGCCGTCGACGATAACGTTTCCTTGTTCACAAGGTTCTTTGTGATGGCATATATGCCGTCATTGACGGCACGATTAACGATATTTACAGCTGTTTCAGCTTGTTCAGGTGTAAATCCGCCGTTCTTGAGTGATACTACAAACTTCTTGGTGTCGAATTTGGTAATGCTGGACAACAGTCTCACACCTGGTCGCCACATCTAGCAAAAATAAGGACTCTGTACTAATCATTCGCGACACTAAGTCATGATAGTAAGCTGGTGTACGGGTGTGTTGCTCCCCATCTTTAGTTCTAAAATTTACTGATCTGTTTCCAATAGCTATGCGGTTAGTGGTTTATGGAGCACGTAGAGCGTTCTTGCGTGGCTTGCACCGCACCACTACCAATCTCCATAGGTCAGACATAGATCTGTTCAACAAAAGCAAAAAAGAGTACCTGTTTGGACATAATTTCAGCAGTGTGGATGAGATTGCCGGAGCTGAAAGGCCAACTTTGGAGTCTAATACGAACGATTTGCACGAACGCTTGGGCGATATACACGCTCAAGTTGCTAGGGATCCACGCTTGAAGGATATGGACCCGAATTCAGCGGATTACAAGTACCAATTCCTGTTGATTGCTCGAGAAGAACAGGAGAAATTAATAAATCGAAACAAAAAACTGTTTGAATTCAATGAGAGAATGAAGGGAGTGGGTTTGGGTATAGCATTGCTCGTTTTAGCGATAGGGGGTCATCAGGTGTTCATGAATTATGAGTATTTGAAAAATAGTTTGTTGCATGGCTACTGGTACGATATTGAAGAGAAAGTTGGTCAGGAGCCTCCAAACAGAAAAAGCACAAAATACTTGACAGAAAAGGTTCAGCAGCAGCTCACAGATGAGTTTGTGGCTGGAATTAAGCCTTCGAGTGAGCCTGGCATCTACATCTTTGGAGCCATTAATAACCGTCGATTACCCACCAGGATACTATACTTCGACGGGATGAAAGTAGACGATGTCTCAGTAGCCAGGGATTATGCGGTGGTGATCAGCAATGGAAAACTTTATCAATGGAGTCCAAAAATGGATACTCCACAATCGACAAGGATGCCCTTTAAGGCAACAAAATGTCACGTTTCAGACAATTTCATCTACTTTTTAACCACCAAGGGACAGGTTGCTTACACGCCACGAGCAGATACCCGAGTTGAGTTCCAGCCACAAGCCACAAGAAACTGGTTGGGATTGACGGTGAAGCAGAATTTCAATTATCTCTCGTTCGACTCGCTCGCCAGTGGTGAAAAAATTGCAGATGTATCTTTCGGCAAGTCTCATTTACTTGCTCTTACGAACAAAGGTAGGTTGTATGTTGGAGCTACCGAATCGGTTGCCAATTATGGTCAATTTGGACTTCCATCTCTCTCACCATTTGCCAAAGACAAGGCCAACCTCGCCCTTTTCGAGACAAAAGAGATGCCTCTCTTAAACAACGAGGTTATACACAAGAAGAAAAAGGCCGTTTTGAGTCCCCGTCGCTTCACAAGCATTGCTACTGGAGATTTCCACAATGTTGCGGTCGATTCAACTGGCACCATATGGGCATGGGGCAAGAATAACCACGGCCAGTGCGGTAAGGAGACCTCATATCAGTCTGAGCTTCAGCCCATACCTTCGCCAATAGGTTTTTCAAAGTCCATGTTGAAAGGAGGAAAGGTGACCAAAGTGTTTGCCGATGGAAGTACTTCTTTTGCTCAGGTCAATGGTGATGGAAATGTCCATTTATTGGCGTTTGGAGATGGAGTCAAAGGTCAGCTCGGTATCAATCGGTTCATGCATATTTGCTCGGTTCCACAGTCGGTTAAAGTGGTAGGAACCTTGACGGAATTTGACGAGACGGAGAACGAGGTGGTGGGAATCGGCATCAAAGATGTCAGTGTTGGTGCTTCTCATACATTTGTGACTTTGGACAATATCGGAGACAAGAAAGATGTGTTGGCTTTTGGAGATAACGAGTTTGGTCAGCTTGGAAATGGAAAAAGAATCAGGTCTAGCAAGCCTATAAATTTACCGCTGTTGATTGAGCCAGAAGAAGTGAACGGAGACAACAGAAAAAGCCAAGCCGAGGCACTAGCCAAGCGGTTCAGCGAACTCACCACCAAAAGGTTGCAACTACAAGTTGGCCAGGCCATCCGCGCCGGCGAGGAAAGCAGTGCTATTTTCACCAAGCGGTGAGTGGAAATGAGACTGAACAGAAAAGACTACTGAGTATGAAAATTGTAGTCTGAAGATTACTACTTCGAAACTTACTTGTTGTACTATGGAGAAAGACACTGTATTTAGTTGAGGTTGTTCTGAACCTATCTTCTGAGACTATTATCGATGAGATTGAACATCCTAATGTATATACCTACAAGTTGAACAACTCGGTCAAGATCTTGATGGTGTCGTCTGGGCTCTTGACGGCATGACCAATGGTTCTCTTGTCGTTGTAGATCTCGTAGTCATTACCTCCCTCGTAAGACTTGTCACCGAAAAAGTGGATCTCGGTGAATCCTTCGTCTTCAACATGCTGCAAGCAGTAGGTCTTGTCCCATCCGGTTGGGAAAACATCAAACGAAATTTGACCTCCAATGGAATAAGTCAATCCCAAGTCAGGGAATTCTTTCTTCAACGCGTTGACCATGGTGGAACGAATGTTGTGGATCTTGTCGTACGCCTCGAAATCGTTTCTTTCTTGGGTAGACGCGTTTCTTCCCACGGGTGAAACGTTGATCATACCGTTTCTAAACTCGATGAAAGTTCCTCTTCTAACAGGAAGATCGATATCACTCAAATATCTCAAGATGAACTTGGCCAACTTGTTGTATTTTTCCTCTCCAATCCAGTTGATGAAAGATTGAGAAGCCAACTTCTCGCCGAGCTTGTAGGCGGTCAATCCATTCTCCGAGAAACAGTAGTCGAATTCGGTCAAAATATTAGGACCCAATTGTTCAACTTGCTTGGAAAAGTCCGAACCACCGACGAAACCAACCACCACTTTACTTCTCAATTTTTCCAAGGTTTTCTTCATTTCTTCAGAAATGGTCAATCTGGCGGGGGTTAATGTTCCGTCGACATCGAACAAAACGAGAGTTTTTGGGTTTTCTTTATTGGAGAATGACATTGATGAAGAAAGAATTTGACAACGCGACACGAAACCACGAGGGATCCGGTGTGCACACAAGCCAGGCACCGTGCGAAGACGAAGACGAGCCGCTTCTTTATTTGACGCTTCATCTAGCCTCCTCTCCTTTCCGTCTACATTCTTTCAAGTACCATTGATTACTATCTAACCTAAGCCTCGTAGTGGTAGTTAGGGAACTGTCTCAAGTTCTCCTCCAATGGACCCTTCTTAGTCAAAAACTTGACGTAGGCACCATCGTCCTTCACCTCACCGTTGGTCTTCTTGGCAATGTACTCATCTCTGTTAAGAGGAGTGAAACCCCACTTCTTGGAGATAATAATCTTTTGTTGACCTGGGAACTTGTATCTGGCTCTTCTCAAACCTTCGATAACAACATCCTTGTTGGAGTCCTTGGTTCTGGCAGACATGATAATTTGACCAATGGCAACTCTGGCAGCCAAACCATGGGGCTTACCCCAGGCTCCTCTCATACCTTGTTGCAATCTATCAGCACCGGCACACGACAACATCTTGTTGATACGCAAAACGTGGAAGGGGTGGACTCTGACTCTCAAGTGGAAAGAATCTCTACCAGAAACCTTGGTAACGTACTTGTTAGCACAGATACGGGCAGCTTCCAAAGCCTCGGAGGACAACTGTTCCAACTCGTTAGAAACCAAGTGGATACACAATGGGAACTCATCGACAGAAGCCTTCTTACGACCCAAATCGTAGATTCTGATCTTGGCGTCTGGGACAGCTCTGTTGTATCTGGACTTTGGGTATGGTTTGTTCTTACAGTATCTGTAACATCTAGCTGGTCTTCTAGCCATTTTTCTGAATGTTAGTATAAAATTTGGGGAATGAGAAAATGTGCGCCTTTTATAGTGATTACTAATTGACACTATTGCCACCAATTAGTCAGGAAAATAGCAAACAAAAATTTGAAACCAGAATTGTATTCAGCGTATTCACTTGTCTATGTTTCCAGCTTATTTTCTCTGTAAAAGTCCATTTTGTGTTGTTTTTAACATACCCTTGATGTAGTTCGTAACTAGTTAGCGCACTTTTTTGAAGGAAAAGTTTGTCATGCGAAAGGTGACACAAAACAGAGCGTCACGTGTGCCGTGACCGTGAAATTCTTTTGTGCTTGTGGTTGTATGCAGTTGCCGCGATTTAGGCGATGCTCATCGCATCGCAGTATTCTCCATCATGGGTCGCTACAGTGTTAAAAGGTATAAAACCAAGCGGAGAACGAGAGATCTCGATCTTATATACAATGACCTTTCGTCCGCAGACTCTATAAGGAGATTAAAAAAACCAACCTTTGGACGAAACTAAGCCAGGTTTGGGGCAATATTATTGCATAGAATGCGCGAAATATTGTGAGACTCAACCAGCATTGGATCGCCATACCAAGAGTAAAGTCCACAAGCGTCGAGCAAAGGAGCTCCGTAATAGGCCGTACACCAATTTGGAAGCCGAGGCAGCTGCGGGACTTAATATGGAAAAGTTTACCGAGTCGGTGGAAAAATACAAGCAATTGGAGGCAGCAAATAAGGAAAATGCTGCGGAATTGGATGCTTTGAAAGCACAGAAGAACAAGTCATTGGATGAAATTCTCACTGTACATCCCGCGGACGAAATGGAGGAGTAGGGAGAGAACAGAAGGAGAAAGAAAGGAGACAAGGGAAAGATAGAAAGTGGAGAAAAGAAAGAAATGAGGAACGAGTCAAAGAATTGTAAGTTTGAATGAAGAATTCAATTGAGGTTTGTTCTTCTTGTGTGATTTCGACTTCGGTTGATCATCTTTCCTTTTGTTTTCTTCTTTTTGTCTGTTCTTATTCCGTCGCTCCTGTACATACTCCCGCATCTTCATTTCTCATTACTCAGGCATGAGACTTCGAGTACGATCAAGTTCTGGAAACGACATTATAAACCTAGATAATGACTCCGTGGATGTTGCAGGGTTGTTGAGGGCCATCAAGAAGTCAGAAAAACTTAATTTTTCCCCACAAAATGATGTAGTTTCGATCAAACAAGGTTTCCCTCCGAAACTGGTGGATCACACCAACCATGACTTGTCGCTCGAAAAGGCTGGTATAAAGAACGGCGACCTGTTGCTCGTTAGTTTTGGTACCACAAAGGAATCTGGGGCAAAAATCACGAACGAACCTATGGCAAAAATGGACACGAATTCAAGTTCTGTTGGCACTGCCTCCACCTCCAGTTTTCAGTCGGAAACAATTCCGTCGGTATTTTTGTCGCCAGAGCATCTCATACTACGCAACATTCCTGACGACAACTCTTGTATGTTCAATGCATTGGCTTATTGCATTTATGGACCTGATTCCTATAAACCCAATGGCACTTGTCCTCCGTCAAAATTACGAAAAATCATTGCTGCCGCATTAACTGCTGACCCATTTCAGTACGATGAACTAGTACTAGGCCGTCCCGTCGAGAAATACATCGAATGGATCCAAACTAAAAATGCTTGGGGTGGAGCCATCGAACTAGGCATTCTTGCTAAACATTTTCAAATAAGGATCAATTGCATAGATATTGAACTGGGCAGTATCATTCGGTTCCAGGATGAATCTGACGGAGCGTTGAAGGCTGAGTGTTCGATTTACTTAGTTTACCTGGGTGTGCACTATGACGTTATTGCTTTGAACAAAGTGCTTAGTCTGCAACATCGACCCGATGATGTTTGCAAATTTGCAATTGACTCTCCAGTAGAGCAAAAGGTCGAAACTGGAGTTCATGAGTTGTGTAAGAAGCTCCAAACTCAAAATTACACCACCAATACGACAACTTTTAGAGTGCGATGTTTGGAATGTTATAAGATTCTGGTGGGTGAAACCGGTGCTTCTCGGCACGCCAACGAGACTGGTCATTATCTGTTCGGGGAGGTCGATAAATAGTCATAAACATAGATACTAAAACCATCTTTTCATACTTTTCATCTTTGGCAGACCACTGCACCGGTCACGTGCGTCTGTCGACGGTTTTTTTCTCTGCAAAGCCATTGCCGTTAAAAGAACGATAAAGATGTCTGCCAGCACGCAGTTTTTTTGTAAGTATTAGAGAAGGTAGCGGGACTTCTATACACCTACCAAGTCTACTTCTTGGTAAATCTGGTTTGTGTGCAACGTAAAAGAGATTTGCTTAATTATCGTGGATTGCAAAGCAACTTTTGCAGACGATTCTACCGCCGGTTTTTCGTGTTAAAAGTTGGTTCCGAACGCGATTAAGCAAATCCAAGCATCCACTCACGGTCTGAGTTACTGTGGTATGGTGGTTTTGGCTTTAAGTTGTGTTTTGAATAAGTACCGTCCCCGACCACCATATTCATCAATACTAACCCAGGTCGCCAACCGCGGTCAATTGACTTAATACAAGACTACCAGGAGATAACGACGTTTCCCAAGCCCACCGTTGAGTGTCGGTGTGCCTTGTACTCTGGGAATGGAGAATATTTTGCTTACACACAACCCCATGAGGTGGTGGTGGTGAAAACTACAGTTGAAGCACCCCTTCAAACTAGAATAAACATTGCAGAAACGTTTGATTTGCATTTCTCCCCCAACGGAACGTATTTATGTCTCTGGACGAAGCCGGTTTTGCTTGATCGTGATAGTGGAGTATGGACTAAAAATGTCAAGGTGTTTAGCATCAAAGCTAACAAGTTTGTTTGTGAGTGGTCCAATAAGAACCAGGCGGGATGGAAGCCCCAATTCACACAAGATGAGCATTTGTTTGCCAAAAACGTGAACAACAAGGAAATTTTTTTGTTCGATGTTTCCAACGTGGATGCCGAAATTAACGTCAACCAGCCAACTTACAAGTACAAGGTTGCGGACCCTAGTAGTCCATTCCAAAATTTCCAGATCAGTCCTGGATTGAACCCTTCGATTGCAATCTTCATTCCTGAAAAATCTGGCAAACCAGCTAATGTATCCATCTACAATATTCCAAATTTTGGCCAGCCGATATGCCAGAAAAATTTCTTCAAGGCCGAGAGATGCCAGCTCAAATGGAACTCTCTTGGTACCGCATTACTAGCATTGGCATCTACAGACCATGATACTTCAAATCAGTCTTATTATGGTGAAACTAACTTGTACTTACTCGGAATTGCTGGATCTTACGATTCGAGAATTGACTTGAAAAGAGAAGGACCTATTCATGACATTACCTGGTCCCCCTCGGCACGAGAATTCGCCGTGATATATGGTTACATGCCCGCTGAGACCACATTTTTCGATGCAAGGGGAAATGCCATCCATTCGTTGCCCACTGCTCCTCGTAATACCATCTTGTACAGTCCTCATGCCCGATTTGTTCTTGTGGCTGGATTTGGAAATTTGCAAGGAACCGTCGATGTTTATGACCGTCAGAACAAGTTTAAGAAGATTTCACTGTTTGAAGCATCTAACACATCTGTATGTGAATGGTCGCCCTGTGGAAGATTTATTCTTACTGCGACTACATCGCCAAGATTGAGAGTTGATAATGGGTGCAAGGTTTGGCATGCAAGTGGAAAATTGATCTATTTGAGCGAGTATCAAGAACTCCTTTCTATTTCTTGGAAACCTCAAAAAATTGAAAGTTTCCCAGCTTTACGTCAATTGGAAGAAGCACCTCCCGCGCACGAATCCACTAAAGAGTATACTGCGAAAAAGGCTGCCCAACTAGCCCAGGCTGCTGCCAAGCCAGCAGGTGCTTACAGACCTCCACATGCTAGAAACTCGGGTAGTTCTACGTTGAGAACGACCTTGTATCAGAAGGAAATGGAGTCTTCGTTTGGCTCTGGTGCGAGAAGAAATGTTCCCGGAGCTCCACCAGGACTCGTTCCCGGAGCCCCAGCACCTGCTCAACCGGAAAGCAAGAGTGCTGCCAAGAACAGAAAGAAGAGAGAGGCCAAGAAACAGCAGCAAGATGAAAAATCAGCTACCCCAGAATCGACGCCGGCTCCATCTCCGGCTCCAACTCAAACAAACGGTACTGAGATTGGGGGAGGCACCGTTGTTGGAGGTGTAACGTCACTTGAGGAGAAGAAAATCAGGTCTTTGCTTAAAAAGTTGAGAGCTATTGAGACCTTGAAGATGAAGCAGGCGGTGGGAGAGCCATTGGAAGATACACAAGTGTCAAAAATAAAGAAGGAGGATGAGATCAGAAAGGAGTTGAATCAATTAGGATGGACTGATTAGTGAATGTATTGAGGCGATAAGTACCAAGAGATAACCAAGAGACAACCAAGTAGATAAACGTATGCCAAGCGTGAAAATTGCGAAATTGGAGAAAAATGTAAAATTGAAATAAGAGAAGAATAATTGAAATTTTGTTTGGCAATTGCTTACTGATGCACCTTCTTGACACTATTGTACACTATTTCACTCTTCTACACTCTTTTACTCTCTTGTACGTCTTTTACTGTGGCCTATCTGTTTCAGCTTCTTAGTCAGTTCCAAATCAGGAAGTCTAATGGACTGCAGGAGCGCGTAACCGTGCCGATTGCACACGCTGCATACACACTAGGCTGGCTACCTGCACACAACCTATTTTTTCGGGACGTCCTGCAGGATACGCCCCTTTGTTATCCGGAAAGGCGCAGCGCCATGTGCAACAATAACCACCAAAACCCCAATTGAAACCCCCAAAAACTCCATATCCACTCATACATACCCTAGACAACACCCACCTTTTCCTGGCTTTTCAAATAACCCCAAACCCTGAAAACTCGTTTGACATATTTTTCAGGACCACAGCCTCACCTTCCTAATCCGAACCCCCCTAGTCTAGAATCGCGTCGCACGCACAACCTGTCGTGTCTTTCGCGTTGAAATTTTTTCGATCGGAGGCAGGGTGTGCGGTGTGCGAAAACCCATACGGGTGATATCTGTTATTTTCTTCTTTGTGATTTCGTTGATTTTGAGTTGTACTGACTTGTTCGTTCGTTTAACACAGTTGTGACTTTAGACTGTTATAGTACTGCAACGTAAGTATCCTTCTATTACTACAGACCATCCTGTTTATTGTTTCCGTTTCTGATTGATGATCCATCACTGCTCCGCCATATCCGCCTTTCGTAAAAATTGCCAGAAAACGCCAGAAAACGCTTTAAATGTGTTATAACTACGCTTTACATGCTAGCTTGAAGTCTTGAAGCTCGTTTTGATCAGTTTGTGTGAATCTCGCCTCCCCCTTTTCTCTGACTTCAGCTGACTTCAGGGGTCGATTCGCGCAGATCATTCCGCAGAAATGCCCAAAAAGACAACCACCAACTTTAAGAACATCATTTGGTACGTTTCGTGGTATTCTACTGATTATGATTCTACGCTCCGTTGGCACATGTCTCGTGGCACGGGACCAACTGATTTTAAGCGCCTCAGAATTCCCAAATTGTTCGGTTGCTGTCTTAGTTTGATCGCATTTTTTTTTCTTTTTCTGTGCGGATTCTATTTTGGGCGAGATATAAGGTTTTCTCTTTCGCGAAAAGCGTGTCCTACTTAAGGGGAGCAAGTGCCAAATTCACCGACGGCATCACAACCAAAAACACCTCCCTCCTTCGTTACTAACTCAGATGTCGTACGATAATAATCACAACTATTATGACCCGAATCAGCCGATGGGTAATGATGGTTATTATCAACAACAACCTTATGATGATATGAACCAACAACCACATCAGGAATACTATGACCCTAACATGCAATATCAACAACAGCCTTATGACATGGACGGGTACCAAGATCCCAACTATCAGGGTCAACAGATTCCTCAACAAGGATATAACGCTGATCCTGAAGCGTTTTCTGATTTCAGTTACGGGGGTCAAACTCCAGGTACTCCTGGTTACGACCAATACGGTACCCAGTTTACTCCTTCTCAGATGAGTTATGGTGGTCCCAGATCGTCTGGTGCTTCTACGCCCATCTACGGTGGAGCAGGTGGAAACTACGATCCAACCCAATTTCAAATTTCTTCCAGCATGCCTTACCCTGCTTGGTCTGCCGATGCGCAAGCACCAGTTAAAGTAGAGCATATTGAGGATATTTTCATCGACTTGGCCAACAAGTTTGGTTTCCAAAGAGATTCGATGAGAAATATGTTCGACTACTTTATGACCTTATTGGACTCTAGATCCTCGCGTATGTCTCCCGCCCAAGCCTTATTGAGTTTACACGCGGATTACATTGGAGGTGAAAACGCCAACTACAAAAAGTGGTATTTTGCTTCGCAACAGGACTTGGATGAATCAATTGGTTTTGCCAACATGAAAATGGGAAAGGTTGGTAAGAAAGCTAGAAAGGCATCCAAGAAGTCCAAGAAGGCAAGAAAGGCAGTCGAGGAACATGGCCAGGACATTGACGCTTTGGCTAATGAATTAGAAGGCGACTACTCTTTGGAAGCCGCAGAAATTAGATGGAAAGCCAAGATGAACTCTTTGTCTCCTGAAGAGAGAATTAGAGACATTGCTTTGTATTTGTTGTTGTGGGGTGAAGCCAATCAAGTTAGATTTACTCCTGAAGCAATTTGTTACATCTACAAAACGGCATTCGATTACTTGATGTCTCCTCAATGTCAACAAAGACAAGAACCTGTTCCAGAAGGTGATTACTTGAATCGTGTCATCACACCTTTGTACCGATTCTTTAGATCTCAAGTTTACGAAATCTACGAGGGCCGTTTGGTCAAGCGTGAAAAGGATCACAACAAGGTGATTGGTTACGATGATGTTAACCAGTTGTTCTGGTACCCAGAAGGTATTTCAAGAATTATCTTTGAAGATGGTACTAGATTGATTGACGTTCCACCTGAAGAGCGTTACTTGAGATTTGGTGAGGTCGAATGGCACAATGTCTTCTTTAAGACTTACAAGGAAATTAGAACTTGGTTGCATCTTATCACTAACTTCAACAGAATCTGGATCATCCACGGTACTGTCTACTGGATGTATACTGCTTACAACTCCCCAACGTTGTACACCCTCCATTATGTTCAAACTGTTAACAATCAGCCTCTTGCTTCATCGAGATGGGCGGCCGCTGCTATCGCTGGTGTATTGGCTGCGTTCATTCAAATTGCTGCAACGGTGTGTGAGTGGATGTTCGTTCCCAGAGAATGGGCTGGTGCTCAACATTTGACTCGTCGTTTGATGTTCCTCATTATTATCTTCGTGGTTAACTTGGCCCCAATTGTTTTCACATTCTACTACGCTGGCTTGGCTGCAAAGTCAAAAGCAGCGCTAGTGGTTTCGATTGTTGGGTTCTTCATTGGTATTGCCACGATTGTATTCTTTGCCGTTATGCCTTTGGGTGGTTTGTTCACAAGTTATATGAACAGAAGATCAAGAAGATATTTGGCTTCTCAAACCTTCACTGCTAACTTCAACAAGTTGACTGGCTTAGACATGTGGTTATCTTATTTAATGTGGGTTCTTGTGTTCTTTGCCAAGTACATCGAGTCTTATTTCTTTATGGCTTTGTCCTTGAGAGATCCTATCAGAAACTTGTCTACCGCTAACATGAGATGTGTCGGTGAAGTCTGGTTCGGTGACAAATTGTGTAAACACCAAGCTAAGGTTGTTTTGGGTTTGATGTACCTTGTGGACTTGTTATTGTTCTTTTTGGATACCTACATGTGGTACATTATTTGTAACTGTGTGTTTTCCATTGGACGTTCATTCTATTTGGGTATTTCTATCTTGACACCTTGGAGAAACATTTTCACAAGACTTCCAAAGAGAATCTACTCTAAGATTTTGGCTACCACTGAGATGGAGATTAAGTACAAACCAAAGGTTTTGATCTCTCAAATCTGGAATGCTATTGTGATTTCCATGTACAGAGAACATTTGTTGGCTATTGATCACGTTCAAAAGTTGTTGTACCACCAAGTTCCATCTGAAATTGAGGGTAAGAGAACTTTGAGAGCTCCAACTTTCTTCGTTTCTCAGGATGACAATAACTTCGAGACGGAGTTCTTCCCAAGAAACTCTGAAGCTGAGAGACGTATCTCTTTCTTTGCTCAATCCTTGGCTACACCAATCTTGGAACCATTGCCAGTTGACAACATGCCTACCTTTACTGTGTTTACTCCTCACTACTCTGAAAGAATTTTATTGTCTTTAAGAGAGATTATTAGAGAGGATGACCAATTCTCCCGTGTTACCTTGTTAGAATATTTGAAACAATTGCACCCAGTTGAATGGGACTGTTTTGTCAAGGACACCAAAATTTTGGCGGAAGAAACTGCTGCTTTCGAAGGTGAAGGTGTCGACAAAGAGTCTGAAGATGGCCTCAAATCTAAGATTGATGATTTGCCATTCTACTGTATTGGTTTCAAGTCTGCTGCTCCTGAGTATACATTGAGAACCCGTATTTGGGCTTCCTTGAGATCCCAAACCTTGTACCGTACCGTTTCCGGTTTCATGAACTATGCCAGAGCCATCAAATTGTTGTACCGTGTTGAGAATCCAGAATTGGTTCAATATTTCGGTGGAGACCCAGAGGGCCTTGAACTCGCATTGGAGAGAATGGCAAGAAGAAAATTCAAGTTTGTTGTTTCAATGCAAAGATTGGCCAAGTTTGAAGACTGGGAGATGGAGAATGCTGAATTTTTGTTACGTGCTTACCCTGACTTGCAAATCGCTTACTTAGACGAAGAGCCTGCCTTATCCGAAGAGGAAGATCCAAGAATCTATTCCGCTTTGATTGATGGTCACTGTGAAATTTTGGAGAATGGTAGACGTCGTCCTAAGTTTAGAGTGCAATTGTCTGGTAACCCAATTTTGGGTGATGGTAAGTCTGATAACCAAAATCATGCTTTGATTTTCCACCGTGGTGAGTACATTCAATTGATTGATGCCAATCAAGACAACTACTTGGAAGAATGTTTGAAGATCAGATCTGTGTTGGCCGAATTCGAAGAATTGAACGTTGAACAAATTAACCCATATGCTCCCAACTTGAAGACTGATGTCAAAACTGGAAACAATGCCCCTGTTGCTATCTTGGGTGCTCGTGAATACATTTTCTCAGAGAACTCTGGTGTCTTGGGTGATGTCGCTGCTGGTAAGGAACAAACATTCGGTACCCTTTTCGCAAGAACTTTGGCACAAATTGGTGGTAAATTGCATTATGGACATCCTGATTTCTTGAATGCCACTTATATGTTCACCAGAGGAGGTGTTTCTAAGGGACAAAAAGGATTGCATTTGAACGAAGATATTTATGCTGGTATGACTGCTATGTTAAGAGGTGGTAGAATCAAGCACTGTGAATACTACCAGTGTGGTAAGGGTAGAGATATGGGTTTCGGATCCATTTTGAATTTCACAACCAAGATTGGTGCTGGTATGGGAGAACAGATGTTGTCTCGTGAATATTACTACTTGTCGACTCAGCTTCCTTTGGACAGATTTTTGTCCTTCTTCTACGGTCATCCAGGTTTCCATATTAACAACTTGTTCATTCAATTATCTTTGCAAGTTTTCATGTTGGTGTTGGCTAACTTGAACGCATTGGCTCACGAATCCATTATCTGTTCCTACAACAGAAACACCCCTATCACCGATGTGTTATATCCTTACGGTTGTTACAACTTTGCCCCCGCGGTTGACTGGATTAGACGTTACACATTGTCTATTTTCATTGTGTTCTTCATTGCGTTCATCCCATTGGTGGTTCAAGAATTGATTGAAAGAGGTGTTTTGAAGGCAGCTCAAAGATTCTGTCGCCATCTTATCTCGTTGTCGCCAATGTTCGAAGTGTTCGTTGCTCAAATCTACTCGACTTCATTGATTACTGATTTGACTGTTGGTGGTGCCAGATATATCTCCACTGGTAGAGGTTTCGCCACTTCTCGTATTCCATTCTCCATATTGTACTCCCGTTTTGCTGATTCATCGATTTACATGGGTTCAAGATCTATGTTGATTTTGTTGTTCGGAACTGTTTCCCACTGGCAAGCTCCATTGTTGTGGTTCTGGGCATCGTTGTCATCATTGATGTTCTCACCATTTATCTTCAACCCTCATCAATTTTCTTGGGAAGATTTCTTCATCGATTACCGTGACTTTATCAGATGGTTATCCCGTGGTAACTCCAAGTGGCATAGAAACTCTTGGATTGGTTACGCTCGTCTTTCCAGATCTCGTGTCACTGGTTTCAAGAGAAAGTTGACTGGCGATGTATCGGAGAAGGGTGCTGGTGATGCTTCCAGAGCACACAGATCCAACGTTTTCTTTGCCGACTTTTTGCCCACTTTGATCTACACTGCCGGTCTTTTCGTTGCCTACACTTTCATCAACGCTCAGACTGGTGTAAGAAGGGGACCAAATGGTGAGGGTAGTCCTACTGAGGTCAACTCTGTGTTGAGAGTTGTGATTTGTTCTTTGGCTCCTGTCGTTATTGATCTCGGTGTTTTGGCAGGATGTCTTGGTCTCGCTTGTTGCGCAGGTCCATTATTGGGATTGTGCTGCAAGAAGACTGGTTCTGTGATTGCCGGTGTTGCTCATGGTATTGCCGTTGTTGTGCACTTGGTCTTTTTCATTGTCATGTGGGTCTTGGAAGGCTTCAACTTTGCTAGAATGTTGTTGGGTCTTTGTACCATGGTTTACATCCAAAGATTGTTGTTCAAGTTCTTGACGATTTGCTTCTTGACCAGAGAGTTCAAGAACGATAAATCTAACCAAGCTTTCTGGACCGGTAAATGGTACGGATCTGGTTTGGGATGGATGGCCTTCACACAACCAGCTCGTGAATTCTGTGCCAAGGTTATTGAAATGTCGGAGTTTGCCGGAGACTTTATTTTGGCACACATCATCTTGTTTGTGCAATTGCCTATCATCTGTATTCCATTGATTGACAGATGGCATTCGACCATGTTGTTCTGGTTGAAACCTTCCAGATTGATCAGACCCCCAATCTACTCATTGAAGCAGGCCAAGTTGAGAAAGAGAATGGTGAGAAGATACTGTACTCTTTACTTTTTGATTTTGGTTATCTTTGTTGCACTTATTGCTGCACCTGCTGCTATTGGTAACACCACTCTTGTACCAGAAGACTTGGGTAAATCGTTGAAGGGTACTTTTGCTGGATTGTTCCAACCAAGACACGTTGAAAACAATGACACTGGTACTACTGTGGGCAAGGCTTACATGAGTCTGCACACGTTCTGGACCAACACTCCTACTCACAAGAGCACTAAATATACCACCAAGCCATAAGCTTGGTGGCTTTTTGTATTGATATTCGGGTTTCGCCTTGTTTCATATATATGTTATAAATTTTCGTACCAAGAGTTACTCAAAATAAGCCTTCTCGCGCCTAAATTCACCGCGCGAAAGTATCCGCAGTTACGGTGTTTGACCCATTGAAAAACCATGGCGTTTTTGATCAAGTCTAATATGTTTGCCAAGTCGACCAAGGTGTTGCTTGGCACCCTCTATGCTGTGTGTCTCACCATATTGTTGTTAAAAATGCAAAGATATCGTGGCGGGGGAGAAACTGAAAGCTTCCATGACATTCAAATACCCTACATGCAATTGATACCACGGTACACTGTGATCTATCCATGGGTAATATGTACGTCTATCTTTGCTGAGATCACCATAACAAGTCTTATCATATCGACAATTGTACTATATGTATCGACTAAGTATGTGGAGAAGTTTTGGGGGTTTCGAGAGGTGATAAAATTTGTGTTACTCATTGGTTCAATTACCAATTTGATCACGGTGTTGACTACTATAGTGTTCAACTTGGTGAGAGGAGACGTCAGTGGCATGGACAAGCCGTTGGGAGGAGGCATCTCATACTATTTTGGATTTCTCGTCGTGTTGAAACAATTGATACCCGAACACAATATCATACTTTTCCAAGGACTTATCAACTTTAGAGCCAAACACTTGCCCTTTGTGCTTTTGGTGGCGGTGCTGTTTTGGTCTATAGTCGTCAGCAGATCGCTCTACCCTTCATTGCCTTCATTGGGAAGCTTTTTCACTTCCTACATTTACCTTCGGTTTTTCCAAAGATTTTCCATGGATCCATTGTTGCCTGTCACCATGGCCAATGGCGGACAAGACAGTGTCAATTCGTCGGTGTTGAAAGGAGATGCCTCGGATACCTTCCTGCTTAGCGAATTTTTCCCTTCAGTGATAAAACCTTACGTTTCGGTGGTGTTTGCCAGCATCTACGACGTCAGTTGTTTCCTAGGAATCATAACTCCATTCACCGAAGACTCCATAGAACAGAGTAACTTGCGGGCACAAAAACGCCAAGAACAAGCAAACCAAGTACAAAAATCGGTTGCCAATTCTGTGGCAGAACGTCGCCGTCAAGTAGCCTTACAAGTCATTGAGGATCGCATCAGCAGAAACGAGGACCATAACTAGTTATGTCATTAATAGACACCTCAAAATACCATAAGCTAGTTATTTATCTGTACTACCAAGCTATCTACATCCCCCTACATACAGTATACTTGGTACTCCCATACAGTATATTTCACTTCTACCGTTTCTCCCTAAAATTTCATGCAGATCATCCTGACACCCGATTTTATCGCGAAACGGTTTCTTCACCTCCAACACTCCTTCACCATATGTTTGGCAAAGAGGGCACCTTCAGGCCCCGGTACGGCAAGAAGCGCTCCATCTTGCCGTTGTCGACAACATTCCATAATATAAACCGTCAGAAATGGGCAAAACTCGCCGCTACAATTCTCACGTTTGTTCTCTTGTTGTCGTTTCTTAATCCATTGCCCACGTTAACTCGACTTGTTAAACGCAAAAATGCTCACAGCTATCCACCAGCTCACCCGCTAACCAGCACGAATGCCATAGAGACAAATTCAAGGTATATTTTCCCTCCTGTGGAGCATGCACTGGCACTCAAACAAATCGATATCAACGAATTGTTCAAAATTTACCAAGTACGTGACGCCAACACCCCAGATATCGAAAAGACGATTATAGAGTCGCTCAACAAGCTCGACAACCCGGACCCAGCGGTTCAAAAGGCCAAAGAAGACGAGGAAAACAAGGGTTCTGAAAAAGCTAAAATCATCAATGCTTTCAAAAACCACGACAAAATCGTGTATCGCCCCAAGTCCAAGACGGGGTATCCCAAGGTGGTGGTTGTGACGTCCATTGACTTCCAGAAGTACTCACAAGAAACCTTGGTGTCTCTTGTCCAGAACAGAGTCGACTATGCTCATGCTCAGAACTACGGAGTTTATGTCCGATGGCATCAGGAATTCTTGCCGGTGCTCAGCTCTTTAAGCTACCTCCAGACCCATGAAAAGGCCAAATGGGTTCGCTTGTATTGTATGAGGGCGGCTATGCTAGCATTTCCCCATGCAGAATGGTTCTGGTATTTGGACCAGGATGGACTCGTGATGAAACAGAGCATTGATCTTCTTCAATACGTATTGAATACCGAGTCTTTGGATCCAATAATGATGCGGGAGACCCCCCTTGTTCCTCCAGACGGTGCTATCAAAACCTACCGTAATTCTAAGGCATCCACGGTCAGATTGATAGCTACACAATCCAACAAGAAACTCGAAACCTACTCGTTCATCGTAAAAAACGATGACATCGGGAGAGCAATCGTGAACATGTGGGGAGACCCATTGTACTTGAACTATCCCAACTTTCATTTCGGATTGGATTCTGCACTTACCCACATTCTCCAATGGCATCCATTTGTATTGAGTAAAACTGCTATAATACCTGCCAGAACCATTGGTGCTAGGTATGTGAATGACAAGTCCAAAGACGATAAGACCAGCTATTTCAAGAATGATTTTGTTGCACAGTGGGCTGATTGTGAAAACCCTGTAACTTGTGAGGCTAGCTTTCAGGCAGCATTCAAGGAACACCAGCGCTAGCCTACGTTTCAACTTGAAGATATAGAATAATAAACCCTCATTTTAGAAGCTATTCAAATCTAACGACTCGATCTTTTGAAGAAGACCTTTACCTAGTTTCATATCCAGTTGCCGGTCTCGTTTTATCGTCCGTATGTCTTCCCATTGTGCAATTATATCGTCCATCCTCTTGATACTCCATTCATTATGAGTGTTCACAGTTGGAATTATCTTGCCAATGTTAAAAAAAATGCCAAAGTACGAAAGTTCTCTAAACGATGAATGTTCACTGTAGGGCAAGCTGTAGATATTGTAGGGAGCTTTGTTTGTCTTGGAGGGTGCAACGTCTGTAAATGCATATGGCGGTTGTTCAAGCATGATGTCAGCAATGGTGTTGATGGCATGAGCTCGGGGCATGTTAATTGTCGTTTCCCAATCTCCGTAATCTTCAAGAACTTCGTCATTATTAACGCCCTCAGTTTTCTTTTCTTGGAACGACCAACCGGTTGGCCTAAGTCCCACACATTGTTCAAAAGTGTCGTAGTATTTGTTGTGAGTAAAGTAGTTGGATATTTCTCCTTTGGACCCGACTATATTCATGGGCACCAAATGAACCACACACTGGCATTTTTCATCTCCACGATCTTCATTGGTGACATATTTGCTCAAATATTCATTGTCGTAAGTTCGAATAATATCGAGTTTGTCGCTTCTACTGTTGATGCACAGCACATAAATGGGACAGTTTCGAAGTTTCTTCAGAATCGCAATTGCGAGATTCTCTTTGCCAATAAGATAAGTACCCACAAGAATCAAAAACTTTTTCTTTTTGGTCTTCCCAGAAGACATGAAATCGGTTATTCGAGACTGCTTTAGGATTCCAAGCCAATTGGAAAGTGGCTTTGTCTCTGACGCATGAGCGTACACCAATCTATGAAACATATTGGCAACGGTCTCACACACTAATTCTTGCTTGGGGAAATTGTATTTTGGGTCCATGTATGTTGTGTCGAGATAGACCTTATCCAAGGCCCTAGAGCCACCCACGGCGTGAAAAGGAGTGAGTAGCGGATGCTGAAGTATGACGTTGCTGACTCGAAAATCACCACAATGGAGTATTCGATACACCTTCAAGTCTCGCGAGATAGACTCAAAGAGGAATATAGCAGCACCCGGACAATGATTGGCGGTTATTGGTGTCACGTAGAGACCCGGGACACTGTCATTAGACTCATATCCGCCATCTTGTACATCAACTGGACTTCCAGAGTCGTCATAAAATTTCACGCAATAACGTGTATCGAATTTGAGATCCTTAATGAATCGTGGATCTATGCCAAACCTAAGAGTGAGAAGTCGACTGGTCACTTCTGAAGCGTATATGATTCGTCGAAACTTGGTTTCATCTTCGTATTCTTCAAGAGAGGAGAACACACGATTGTAGCTCCACTTTTTTGTGATGCCTCCATAGTGGTCCGCATGGAAATGAGTCAAGAAGTACTGTGATATGGATTCATGAGGAGCAAAACTGAAAGCATCAACCAGGACTTTGTAGGTTGAATTCTCAACTACCGGAAAGTCCATTATTTTCAACTGAGGAATGGGAGTACGGGTTCGCTCTCCATGAGATGTGGGATGTTTTATGACTTTGGGCCCATCCGAATACTTTGTCTTTTTGTTCTTATATCGTTCTCTCGGGTCTGGGTTCTTTTGGGTTCTTTTCTTAGTATCCACTTCTTCTTTCTTGGGAGTTACCAAGCACATTTCTACATGCTGGACACGAGTGTTGAGTTCGAGAAAACCAAGATCTCGGTTGCAAACGGGGCAAAGTATGGGTACGGAGCCCTCTACTTTGAGGAAAAATTCCTGTTTGATTTTGGGCAAAGGTTGGGAACCTTTGTCTTCGGGATCTTTTAGATTGTCACTGTCAGAATTAAAAAGATTGCCAGCAATTTTGCCATCAATTTTGCCATCAATTTTGCCATCAATCCTGTCATCAATCTTGCCATCATTTTGACCAAAATCTTCCATCTTTATGTCTTCCGTCTTTATATGTTCCCGGTCTTTCAGCTCTGAAGCGTCCTCTGTACTCTTAGGCTTATCCTTGACTAAATCAGCGGTTTTAGTGACATCTAGCTCGTCTTCAACTTCGTGCTTCACCAACTCCACATCGTCTTCAACGGTTAGATCTATGTAGCTAGTAGTCTCCAAACGTACCAGACGCCGCGAACAGGTTTCTCGATAGTCAAAGATGGACGTTTGGCGTTTTTTCATGATTTAGCGCCTGCGCTTAATACTCTCACTTGATTTAAATTGCGGGGGATATTTGTGCGATGAGAAGATTGAAAATTAGATTTGATCTCAGTGCAACTTGCATAAAATTTGATGGGTCTCTTGAGCATCATCAGAAAACAAAAGATCAAGGACCATGAAATACGGGTGTTGGTTTTGGGACTCGATAACTCGGGTAAAACCTCCATTATCAAACGCTGGAAACACGAAGACTGGTCTACGATATCTCCCACTATGGGGTTTGAAATCAGCACGCTTCAATACCAGGACTTCACATTGAACTTGTGGGACATTGGCGGGCAAACAAGTCTTCGTACCTTCTGGGGTAACTACTTTGATAAGACAAATGTGGTGGTTTGGGTTGTAGATTGTATGAGTATGGAGCGCATTCAAGAATCCTACGAAGAGTTACGAGACAAAGTGATACAACAAGATAGACTAGTTGCAGTGTCACTTCTCATATTAATGAACAAAATTGACATGCTACAAACGAATAAAGTGGAGGAAACCAAGAAACAAATCGTGGGTCTTCTCGAGCTCGAGTCGCAGCTTCCACTGGAAAAGTGGCAAATAATCGCAGTGAGCGCTGTCACGGGACAGGGAGCGGAGACGGCCCTTGAGTGGATTATCGGTCAAGAATACGAGCCATAAAGAAATAGCCGACAACTAAAGAGACTGCATTATGATGGAATATCAGGATATCATTACTGCTTGTGGCCCTTCATCGAAAAATCAAACAGAAGATTCATGTTTCGTCACCTTAACCACACATACCCTTTAGTCTCTTCATCGAGAAACCAATGTCGGAGAAGCCAAAATTGAAGGCTATATTCATCAACAAAGAAATTCCTTTGTGAGCAGAAACATCTTCCATACAAAGTACGAGCCACGACATCAAGAGAGAGAACGAAATACCCCATAATTCATGCGCCATGCCATTACTCGCGCAAAACTAAAAAAAGCTTATTGTACCTTCACAGATTTACGAAATGATACGAGAAATAAATTACATGCATCTTTGATGCAACTGCACCGTGCCTACAAGGAGAAAGATTAGGCGGTAGAAGAAGCGAATCCAAAAATAAAATAAAAGCAAAGAAAAAAGGAGAAAAAACTCCTCACTTGCCATACGAATGCTATTCATCTACTTCACTACAAACTCAATTGCATTGCAACTCAATTGCAACAGTTATTCCATTCATTCGTCTCCAATTTCGCGCCAAAACTCCGATCCCTGCACTCCAGCGCAACGCGCTGCGCGCACATACACAGTCGCGACGCGAATCCCAAACAGGTAAAATGGAGATGAGCCCAGCCAGCTTGAATTGAAAAGCAAACGAACTACTTAACCTATCGTTGCGACAAATTCACCCGTATCCTATCCACCACAACCCCTAATTTACGGCTGACTCACTGTTTTCTCATATACGTTTCCTCGTATAATTGTCTTCGTGCTAGGTTCATTCGCTAAACTACACTCTTTTTGTGTCCTAATATCACTCAATGACAGTCGACCAAAGCTCTCCAATGTCAAGAGGAGTCCTAATTGACCAATTGTTTGCGTCAGAAACAGGAGAAAACAATGATCTCATCACCATTCTAGGTTCGGTCAAACCTACCAGGTCGTCAAAGTCGTCACTTGTTTCCATCTTACGAGGTCTTTATACCAAGAACACGAAACTTCTTCAACTTTTGAACAATTATCGCAATAATGTCCAGGAACCAGACTACGAGGTGGAACAGTTCAAGTCGTTTGTAAACGAATTCATCATTTGGATGGACAATGGGGGAATTGTGTTGTACGAAAAGTTTTTAGCATGCTTCTTAGATAAAAACCTGGTGCTTCATGAGGACGTGCACAAGTATTCCAAACCCATTCGCAATGCTACCGCGTATATCAGCTTCATGTCGGCAGCAAAAGCGTACATACGAAACCCGTTCGTGATGGAAAAGCTCCAACTTTTAAGCACTCGATTTGAGTCGATTCTCAAGAATTACCAAGAATTTCAAATGACCAATTCTCTCTGCAACATTAGCTTTTCGAACGTGGCGGCGTTTCCATGGCACTCTACTTCCACCAAAGTAGCCAGTTACTTTGTCGCTGAACAGATCGTCGATCGCTCTTTCGGCCAAGAATTCATCCTTGAAAATCACCAAGGACAAGTGGAAATTGCTTTACTCAATCTTTCCAATTCGAAAACACCGAGGTCTTTCGATGCAATGGCACTTTTAAGTGTCGATTCTACAACCTCGACCACCAATCCAGGGTCCAGAAGTTTGCTCTATCCTCCATGTCGCTACAACGAACTTTTTGTTGAACTTGAAGACGATTGTATCACATTGCGCCCGATCAATTTCTCTACCGATGAGCTCTCTGTCTCAGAAATGAGTCTTCGTATCAAGGGTAAAAAAGACCAAGCTCAAAAATGGTTTTCAAAACTAGCAACTATTTTTCCCAGCAAGCACGGCGAGTGCCTCCCAATAGGACCAGATACCAACTGCTCGCTTGCTGGATTGGGGATTAATATCCATCTGTCTTCAGGTAGCGAATCGCCAGAATTTGAGGCTAGTTCAGGCACACCCAGTTTCAAAGAGCTCCTTGATTCTCCAACCGGCCCCAAAGAGATGGTGAAACCTCCACATATCAAGACCTCGTCTCACCTGTCCCATTCGTCCATATCTTCGGTAAATTCGGTCGAATCTGCAAGAAACCAGTACGATAGGTCTCTCAACATAATCCACAAGACTTTGTCTGGACCCCATGAAAACCACGAGAGTGTAATGAAGTACATTTCCAGGAAAACCCTCTCTCCAGAGGATGAAATGAACGTTTGTTCGAATGGTCGTCCACGCTCTGAGCAAGCCGAAGTAGCATACGATACACCCGAGAGTAAATCCAACAATGAACCGGTGGATCTTTCTGACATCCCATTGTCATCTTCATATCTGGCTGGCAACGAAATGAAGTTCAAGTCTGCACCCGAAATAGGAAAACAAACTTCTTCTGAGGGTCTTTTCAAGCTATCAAATGGTTCAGCAATTGATATATCCAATTTTGGCAGAACCCACCAACCATCTTTCAGCGTTGCTCATGGCCTTTCGGATATCTCCCAGCTGACCGAGAGCCTTAGTCTTGACAAAACGAAAAAGAAACGCAAGAGCATACTAGGATTGTTCAAAAAGCGCAACATGGAGACTGCTGTTAGAAGCGAAGAAAATACAGAACCCAAATCGAAAACCAAAGCAGAACCAAAAGAAGAGAAAGAATATCCCAATGAACCGGAAACAAACGAAAGTAAAGCAAATCGCAACGTCAAAGACCTCAGTATCACCACAGACATTCCTCGAAACATTGACCTTGCCCAGCCATTGTCCACCATCTCGGAGAGATCTGGTTCGCCTGGACCTCGTTCTGCCCTTCCTTCGCCATTTGCTCTTCCTTCATCGACCTCAACATACTTCTTTAAGCCGTACATCAACGGGTCCAGTGTCAGTCTTGCGCTGCAAGATGTTGCCGAGGAAACCATTAGCATTCCCCAGCACCTCAAGGATATCATCAATGACGATCTGTCGATAGACTTTTACATATCTCCGTCGTCGCCAAAGACATTGAAGGTTTCCAGATGGAAGGAGAAGTATGGCAAGTGGGAAATGCTCACCACCAACGATATGCTATTCTTGAAGATTGTGGTGAACTACGAATCCAACAAAGCGTGGTTGATTGTCTTTAAAGAGGAATATGATGAAGGGGAAGAGGATATCGTTGACAAGCCATTGCTCTTGCTCAACATCAATTCCACTCAAACTGAAGTGAGACAATCGTCTGCTTTGGACGCTCAAATCTCCACCGTAAATGCCATTACAAATGACAGAATCAAGATACTTCTTCGTTGTTCAAAGGGTAATTTGGCCCATGCAATCTTTACAAATTTGAGCAATATTCTCGGCGTACTCGCTTCGAATAAGAGCAAGGACATGAGATCTCAGGCTTCGTCGAGTACGCTAACTTCGTCAGTGATGGAAGGAATGACGAGCAAGTCTACCACCATCTCAAGTGTCAGTTCAATGATCACAGATGCCAAACAACCACCAAAAAGTGTTCTTAAAGAGAGTTCTTTGCAGACATGCAATTCCGATGAAATTACTAGAGCACATATTTTGAGCAATCCTGAGAACTCAAAGTTGATGGTGGTGAACAGAATGACGGTTCGGCTTCAGAAACTGACCGAAGGCTACGAGCGAGTAAAATATTCCTCGTCGTGGAAAATTATTTCCATGTATGCTCTCACCGTATACATAATTTCTGACCATTTCACCGATGCCAATTATTACCATTTGGTGCTTGATAACTTGGACGATAATGACAAGGAAAATTTCAACTGGTTATTCAAAGAGGATTCGAAACTCTCGATTATAGAAAAGGTGGGCAAAGCAGGCTTGCTAGTCAAGCTTGCACCTGAGGAGTTGTACATGGTGGAATGCCGGGGAAAGAAAGAGCTCAAGTCATTGATTGAAATATTTTGAGTCCAGCGCCTAAACTACCACAACCTTCTATTTGTCACTTAATACGGACGTTCATTCCACTTCATCTGTCCGGCGCAGTTAATATGCCTATGATATTCATTATATACACTTACTCCTTCTTAGGACCCCACTTCAACCCCAAGAACCCTCCACTGGAACCAGGTTTTGGTACATAGTTTTTCGCCTGGTACTTGGGCTCAACGATATACACTCGTTTAGCACCGGGAACATCCAAGGCTATATATGCAAATTCTGAACTCCAGAACGAAAGGTCAATTTGCTCCAAACTGACAGTACCATGTCTGCCGCTTGAGGAATCGACGTAGAACTTCATGACGAGACGATCCTTGCCATCTTTTCCCTTGGTTCTAATGCTGTGAGCCGGACGATTTCTTACCCATCTGTCACCATTGGATCCACCATGAGCCTTAAGTCTGTGGCCTGGTTCGAAATTGAGCAACTTCTGAGCTTCAGGGTTCTGTTCTACCAACTTGACGGCTTTGTTGAACGTTCGAGTATCTCCAGATGGAAGAAACAATTCTGAGAGAATCAAGTAAACTACTAGTAACGCTACTCCAGCAGCACCGACAACAATAACTGATGAGAGCGAGAAAGTAAACGCCCTTGTTATTCTGTTCAATAATACCTTACCCTTGGCGTTTTTGTCTGCTGGCGGTGGAGGTGGAGGTGGAGGAGGAGCCGTTTTCGTGGAATACTTGCTTTGAAAAATTATTGAGGTTAATGGATACGATGGACCCACGGTACATTTGAGTAAATGTGTATGTCTAACAGCATGACTTGCACCTCTGTAGATCAATGGACTAGCCATAAATGACTTTCCGAGCCCAACGAGTCTAGATCTCATCATCTTAGCAGGTTGTTCTCCACTTTTTCGGAGCCAAAATGAATCGCCGAGCAAGACGACCTGCACAATGGCTCTAGGTAACCTTATCAAAATAAGAATGGTAATGGGTAAAAGTATAGTTTTGTGATACAGGATCGTAATGAGACGCCTGAAATAGCTAAATAATGTTACAACTGGGATAAAGTAGAAGGAAGTTGGTGTCTAATTATGTTGCTCTGGATGGTGTACCATAGGTAGTACATGGGGCTCTATAGTATCGAAATTAGCCCTTGTGGCCTAATTGGTTAAGGTGTTATCCTCCGGAGATAATGATTGCGGGTTCGAGTCCTGCCGAGGGCTATTTCTTTTTGCCTCGAAAAAGGACGACAAAACAAAACATAAAAGTGAATACCAAACTACTTTTATCGGTACATTGCCAAGAAGACGATCTACGGCGCTAAAACACTTTTGTCTCAACCTTCTTTATCACTCTTCTACCTCGTCCAAGTCGGCTAATGTTCGTATCACGTGCACTCCTTTAGGGCGCAGCCCATGTCGCGCCTTTTTGTGGCATGTCGCAACTCCGCGAGATTTTTTCGTTCTCAACTAGGCTGAAAAATTTGAATACATTACATTCATAGCATCGAGATGGCTAAGATCAGTAAAGGTAATTATTTTCGTTGATATTTAAGATCGACGTGTGAACTGCAGTCGTAGAGAGCCCTGACTACTTGTTTTTGTGTGCCAGGCGTGGCCATTAATGCCCTGAGGAATTCGGAATTTATCATTGAACTACCAACTATAACCCTAAGATTGAAGATACCATCATGAATTCACAAATACCACACTCTTCGACTGCTACACATTCATCTTATTCGTTACAAACCATACTAACTCAGACGTTTCCTCTTCTCGTTCGAAGGCCAGAAAGGCTTACTTCACCTCTTCTTCCGTTGAAAGAAGAGCTTTGATGGCTGCTCCTCTCTCCAAGGAGTTGAGAGAACAATACAACATCAAGACCTTGCCAATCAGACAAAATGACGAAGTCATTGTTGCCAGAGGCTCCAAGAAGGGATCCGAAGGTAAGGTGAACTCTGTATACAGATTGAAGTTTGCTGTTCAAATCGAGAAATTGCAAAAGGAGAAGTCCAACGGTGCTTCTGTTCCCCTCAACATCCACCCATCCAAGGTTGTCATTACCAAGTTGCACTTGGACAAGGACAGAAAGGCATTGATTGAGAGAAAGGGCGGAAAGATCGAGTAATTTGTTGTATAAATAAACGACTGAAACTGAGATATGTAGCGGGGGTGAGAGTTGTGTAATTGAGACTGTCAGAAAACTGTTGTAGAGTGTTGCTAGTTCTGATCTTTTTGATTTTGTCTCGCTTCCTCTCCTGCACCTACCCCAGTCGTGCGGTTCCAATCGCCGGGGCGTCTCTTGCTAACACCAACTACACAATCTTTCCTATGACTGACGAAGGAGAGATTTTTAACGGGTTTGGTTCGTCACCTTTGGAGCGCAATCCGTCGCAATCTGGAAAAAGAACAAAGAAAAGGTGGTCTTTCCACAATAATAATAAGCCAAATTTGGTCGATCTTCTTTCGTCCAAAGGCAGAGGCCAGCGAAGAATGAGTGATGTTACCGGGGTCGATGGTGTCCACAAGGAAATCGATCCCTACCACATATCTCCAGCTCAGTTGTACTCCACGGAATCTGGCCGGTTGTTTCATGCTGGAAAAATCTGTATTGCATTGGCAGGATTACCAGGTCGGGGTAAGACCCATTTGTCTGTTTCGTTAACAAGATATTTGAGATGGCTCGGCGTCAAGACCCATTCGTTCCATTTGGGTGACTACCGTCGTGCCAGTGCGGTTCTGGACCTCCATCATGAACTATTTATGCCAGAACCAGAAGAACGAGAGGCTAACGAAATGCGCAATAGAATTGTGGATGAATGTGTAAACGATATGCTTAATTTTTTCGAAAAAGATAAGGGCCAAGTTGCCATCTACGACGCTGTCAATGCCCTTCCGGAAGACCGACTCAAATTGAGCCAGAAATTTCTGTCGGCAAACATCCAGGTTTTATTTATTGAATCATCGGTAACCGACGACTCCATCATCATGAGAAATATGGAATCGGCAGCACGCTCGTCTCCCGACTATGTCAATTGGGATTATGAAAAGGCATACAAAGATTACAGTGATCGCATCAAATTTCTAACTCCATACTACCAGGAAATGGGTACTAAAGACGCTGAAAATAGCTTATCTTACATCAAATTCATCAACTTTGGTGACCGCATTGAACTCCACAACTCCAACTATGGCTATTTGATCAACAAAGTGGTGTTTTTCCTTATGAACTCGCGCATCAAACTGGGATCGGTATTCTTCGCCAGATGCTACAAGAACTCTCTTGAATATACCCAAGATCCTCCGCTTGACGACGAGGGAGACAAGTACGCCCGAAACTTAACCAAGACATTGTTGAATCATTTGGCTAAAGAGGGTAAGGCATATGCCAAGCACCTCAATCAAACCAGCACTGAACGTCCCAAAGTTCAGAGAGAGTACTCGGTGGAAGAAAGACATCCAGCTGCTGGTGTAGATGGAGTCGATGAAAACTCGCTCGTGGTGTGGACTTCTGTCAAAAAACGTACCATGGAGACCACCAAGTACTTTACTGAAAAAGGTGTGAATATAAGGCACCGGATACAGCTTTCACAAAAAAACCCAGGAGTGGTGGGAGGAATGAATGAAGCAGAGATCGAAAAGAAATTTCCTTCAGAATATGCCCTGTTTAAACAAGATCCTTATCACCATCGGTTTTCTCGTGCTGAGCTGTACCATGATCTTGCAATCAAGATTGAGCCATTGATTCTCGAAATGGAAAGAATGAGCGGTGATATATTGATCATAGCAGACGATACCGTATTGAAAGTTTTCTATGGGTACTTGATGTCTTGTTCGTGTTATGACATACCGTCATTGAACTTTTCCACTGACGAGATCATCGAGATCCGGTTCAATGCCTACTCCAATTCCGCCAGAGTGATTCCCATAGAGAGTAATTAGTGATGATAATGACCATTCAGTACAAATGAACGAAATTTATTCTTGTATTCTTGTATTCTTGTATTAGTGTATTCTGTATATTTCGTATTCTGTATATTCTTGTATTCTAAATTTGTAGTCTGATAGCAGCTCGCATCGCGCATCGATAATTATGGTAGCCTCACCCACGGCAGTGTATGTCGCTCCAGACGGTACGCAGAAACAGTTTGACGTAGGAAAGGGACCCCATTCGACCAGTGGAACCAGCACAAAGATATCTGACGTGGTTATCAATGCTGGCGGAGAAGATAGAGACAAGCCATCTGAAGCTAAAGACACCCCATTGGGACATTTACGAGCCGAATTGACCACTTTACAAGACCAAGTCAATGTGTTTTTGACACAAAGAATGAAAGGGGGTGACGAGGATATGGAGAGAAGAGTCTTAGATGGAGGAGATGAGGAGGAGGAGGAGTAAATAGAGGAATGAAAATTATGAATACAACTGGAAAGAAATCAGACAATTTATGGAAATGAATCAGAAAGTTTGAGTAAAGTGAATCAGACAGTTTGCGATCTGGTCAATATGAATACTCATTAATAGAAAAAATGTGGCAGTATGGTATAGTATTTATTGCCAGAAATCGATTCTGAATAATTTATGGTCTATGGTCTTATTAGTTAGTATGGCTGATGGTAACATGATCGAACTCGATCATTTCTTTCCCACCAATTGTGTCATGTTATCGATGGTCTTTTCCAATGTGGTTTCCAAGTACGCTTTCTTCTTTTCCAAACTCAGCTTGGAATCGGTGAATTCCTTCTCGTCAGCCTCGATGGTTTGGAGATAATCTGACACCGGTACTTGAACAAAAGTCTTTCCAACGCCTTCCCACACGCCTTCATTGTTCTTACAGAGCCCACTAAGGTCCTTTTGTGTCTTTTGGATGATATTCAAGTTGGTTACTGTCCTCTCCAACTGAAGATTACACATGGAGAGTTCAGCTCTAGACTTGTTGAGCTGGCTGTCCATCTCCATGAGAAGCTTTTGTAGTGCCTGGGGATTGACCGACATGATGCTATGATTTAGAATGCCTTAATTTATACTCAAACCACTCAAAGTCAATCGATTTTCACCAGATCAGTTCTCGCGCGAAATTCATCTTTCTTCACCAACTTCTCACTATGCTATTACGAGGTCTTGGCAGACGTGCCACGCCCATGTTGCTGAAATCCAGTGCCGTGGCTGGTACTCGCCTCTTCAGTGCGTCCACGCGTTTCAGGGCCACTCTGACTCCTGTAGGACCCGAGGTGGCCATCGAATCCAATGTCAAGTCAGAGACCAATCGATTGGAAAAGACACTTCTGCGGTTCTGGGAAAAGGTAGATGCGAAATACAACGATGCCACCAACTCCTACGAAGTCCAGCTTGACGGAAAAACCCTCAAAACTCCATTGGGTTACAAATTGGCCGTTCCTGCTACCAAGAAACAGTTGGCACATTTGATCGCTCATGAGTGGGCCAACGTTCCAGAACTCAAAATCAAACATGGTTCGCTTCCGTTGACGTCGTTGGCGTCTCGAGCAATAGACTTGCAAAACACAAACGAGGGAGATTCCGATGCAATTGCCAAAGTGGGCCGGTTGGAAGATATAAGACTCAATCTTCTCAAGTACCTCGATACCGATACTTGTCTTATTTTCACCACTTTAGACGAGTACGAAGGCAAGCTTAGAGCCCGGCAAGACGAACTCTACCTACCACTCATCAAAGAATACGAAGATTTTTTCACAAAGTATGCTCATGATAGGAAGCTTCTTCCTCAAGACATGAAAGTCGAATTGAACTCTCTTGATTGTGAAACCGACGGGCTCCGTGGAAACGAACAGTCCATCACCACCCAGAACGTAGTACTGCATTGGCTAGAACTGCTACCCATCTACGACTTGGTAGCACTTGAGAAAGCCATCTTGGCTTCCAAGTCGTTTCTCTGTGGTGCTTCCGTGTTGCGTGCTAGTTGTTCGGACCTCAATATTATGCAAAAGTTGTACCAGGTGAATAAAACCACCAAAGACGATTACTTTATCAAAAGTATCGACGAAATTGTGGAGCTTGGAAATCTTGAAACCATTTTCCAGACTGAGCAATGGGGAGAAGTCGAGGACACTCACGACGTGGATAAGGTTGAATGGTTGCGAAGCTTGACCAGTGCTGCGTTGGTTGTGCACTAATGTAAATAGGTCTTTCATTCCAGAAAAAGTAAATTGGTAACTTATACTAGAATAGATGCAATATAGTGCCATTGATAGCAGGTAGCCTGTACGATAAGTGAAAAATAGCCTGTAGTATGATTAATAGTTTTTGTGCTTGTGCCATTGGTAGCTTACGTGGCTTGTAGGTGCCATAAAAGTATAAACCATCATATCCATCTTACCACCATAAATGCCATTTTCTACAATATTGCAAAATTATACAATACTACTACCACCACAAACCACAATCTAATCCACAATACAACACCCACCAAGTCATATACTGCAACCACCAGCCAAATCTTGCTGTACAAATCTTCTCCCAATTGCACTATTTCCCATCTCATCAGTTTCCATCTTTATCGCGCTCGCCGCCGCGCGCGTGATGTCAAACAGCATATCGTACTTTTCTGACATTGTAATCGAAAATTCACATACCGCTAAAAGCGAGTGGCTGAAACAGACCGATACTTCCCTGGGGCCCTATATCTCAAGTCCGAAGTATACACCTTCCGTATAGCCTACAACTTAATTCCGGACCCCTACAGCACCATTCTCAACACGCCCGGACATATTTGAACTTTCGTTTTAGCGTGTTAATTTCTAGTTACCGAGTATAAAATACACCAAAAGCCGTGTTCCTGGGCAAGAAACATAGTGCCATGTCGAAACCTCGAAGAGTGAAGGTTTATTTGCTCGATGGAGACGACTGGTTGGACCATGGGACAGGTTATTGTGTTGGAGAAATGGAGGAAGACACCAAGAAAGCATACTTTACAGTGCGTAACGAAGTCGATTCTGATGATATAATTCTAAAATCATGTCTTGAGGGTAACATTCAGTACCAGCGACAACAAGAAACTCTCATAGTGTGGACCGATAGTTCAGGCAAAGACCTTGCATTGTCGTTCCAAGAAACAGAAGGTTGTGCTGATCTCTGTGAATTCATTATCCACGCACAACAAGAGAACTATAGTCCGCAAATCAGTCTCTACTATGTCATCCCAAATGTGGAAAGCACTCTGACTTGTGATGTCACAGAGTTAATTACCGGCCCTATATCGTACCCTCCCGACCCCACCCGCACCAACTTGGACGAGTGCCTTGAAGTCATCATCCGTGGCTCTTCCTCGCAATTTTCCCGGTCCAAAATCACAGACTACGTCAAGGAGAAAAATTACTTGAAATTGCTAATCAACCTAATGACTTCCATCGAAGCAGAAATGGACGAGCTGGGGTTCCTGGAAGCCAACGAGAACATCACCGGCCAAACAGAATCCAACGACTCCCATCCATCAAAGGTTTCCATCACAACTACATCCACCTCTATATCTGATACCTCAAAGAGTACTTCCACCGTCACTGACAACACCGAAATAAGCGCTGGATCTGAAGTCGTCGAGCCTCCAGTAGCACAATCTACCTCGAATTCAAACTCAGGAAACACCACCATGACCGAACAAATACTGCCCTTCAAGCTTCTCATTCTAATAGCAGAGATAGTTAAGACTTTAATACTCTACAATGAAGCGGGCATAATAGAGGACTTCACATCATCGGAAGAAAAAATTTATGGGCTCTCAGGTATTCTAGAATATGACTCTGACCCTAAGGCTGACTACCGCGGATTCCTCAGTGATAAAACTAAGCTACAAATGGTTATCGACGTGCCATGTAGTGATGCTCAGCTTGGACTATTTAAGCGAGACTTCTTTCTCAACTTCTTACGAGACGTGGCGTTACAGAGTTGCATTGATGAACAGGCTTTCAACATATTGTCCTCCATAATATATCTCAACCAGGTGGAAATCATACAATTTTTGGTTGACAGTGATAACTTTCTTCCCAAACTTTTCGAGTCGTACAAGGATCCATCGCTGGACGGTGAAATACGACGAAATGGGGTGAAGATGCTACACCAATATGTGATGATAGCCAAATCTCTTCAGACGCACCAAAAGTTGGACTTCTTTTCGGCTTTGGTTAAATCGGGATTATTTTCCATGATTAGGTTTGCCTTAGAAGACGTTGATATTAACATCAGAATACTCGGCACAGAGCTCATTGTGATTATTATCGAGCAAGATGTTTGTTTGGTAAACTCCATAGATAAAGATGAGGCAATAGACTTGTCAGATCCTCCCAGCAATGATTTCGTGGAGGAAAAGGTCATCGAGAAGGAGAACCATACGCGCTTGAAACTAGCGGACGACATGACGCTCATTCATATACTAGTAAGGTTGCTTCTTAGCGATAAGAATGCTGGCTTGAAACTACAAGCTTTAGAGGCATTGAAGATGTTGCTAGATACAAACATTGCCGATAGTGATTCATTTAATGGCACCACTAATGGCGAGAACGCAAACCACATTGGTTCACGGGGTATTCAAAAAGCAGAAAAGTCCAACGGTGAAGCGGCATTTTCAAGATTGGCCTCCAATGGTACACAATCTCCAACTTATAATGGGTCTATCAACACCGCCAACTATTTCTCTGCGTTTTATTCCAAGGCAGCACCAGAACTATTTGGCCCCGTTGTTGACCTCAATCACAAAGCGGATGCCTTTGTCGTCACCAGAGTAAAACTGGACGAACTTTTATATCAGCACTTGTGTGACTTGATAACTTTTTGCTGGCGTGAGCACGAGAGGGCAACATCCGCTGAATTCTTTTTGAGCAACAATGTCATCAATGGTGTTGCTAGATTGATCGGAGCGCCCGTCAAAATAACAGTAAGAGTTGCAGCACTAAGATGTTTGAAAAATATTCTTCTATCCAATGAGCTGGTTCTCTTTCAACATATTATACGAAACAAGATTCTCGACAACTACTTTGAATTTTTCAAAAGTGTTGCCCAAAAAAATAACTTGGCTAACTCCACATGTCTACTGTTTTTGGACACGATACACAAGCAATGTGATCGACGATACAATGCACACGATAGGTCTGGATATAGACTGTTGGCAGTTTACATTGTTGAGAAATATGAGGACTTTATTCTTAGTCTTTCATATTTTGAAGCCGGAAAGGAACTTATCAAGGTGATTAAAAAAGGCACAGAAAACGGGTTTGTGGATACTTCAGAGCCACATACGGAAGTTACGGTCGATTCGGATGTGGAGAACTTGGCTACAGAAAACAACTGTCAATACGCTACTCATTCTAGTCCACCTGAGACTGTGCAAACAAGCATGTTTCAACATATTGAAACGGATATGAGATGTTCTCAAATAGACAAACGTGGAAGAGAATCCGAAGATAAAGAAGAGATACCTACGAAGGAACGCAAGTTGTCTATTGGCGAACTGGTTGCAGTAGGTTCGGGTAGTTCCACGTGATATATGAGGTGCGGCGGTAAGTTGTACCCGCGGTTTACCATAGTGCGGGGGAGACTTTTCTTCATCTTTAACCATGTCTTCGAAAGTTAGTACAGAGGTATGGAAGCCCGACTTGTTCAAGGGAAAGGTAGTGTTTGTCACTGGAGGTGCAGGATCGATTTGCAGAGTGCAAACTGAAGCATTGGTGATTCTCGGTGCCGATGCTGCCATTGTGGGAAGAAACCCAGCCAAGACAGATGCCGCCGCTGTTGAAATTGCAAAGCTTCGTCCAGGAGCAAAGGTAATTCTGTGTTCCAATACCGACGTGAGAGATGTGAAGCTGATTGCCAAAGCGGTTGAAAAAACTGTCAATGAATTGGGACGAATTGATTTCGTGATTGCTGGTGCTGCTGGAAATTTCCTCAGTGATTTCAATCACCTTTCGTCAAATGCATTCAAGTCAGTGGTGGACATTGACTTGTTGGGCTCTTACAACACTGTCAAAGCCACTTTTGAGCAGCTCAGAAAGAACAAAGGTGCGGTTATCTTTGTCAGTGCTACATTGCACTACTATGGTATCCCATTCCAAGTCCATGTTGGTGCAGCCAAGGCTGGAGTGGATGCTCTCTCCAATGCATTGGCTGTCGAATTGGGACCATTGGGTATTCGGTGTAACTGTATTGCTCCAGGAGGCATTGATGGTACCGAGGGAATGCTGAGGTTATTGAAAGACAAGCAAACGTTTATCGATAAGGTTCCACTTCATAGAATGGGGACCACGAAAGACATTGCCGATACTACAGTTTTCTTGTTTTCACCGGCTGCGTCATATATTACAGGAACCGTTCTGGTTGTGGATGGTGGTTCTTGGCACTTGGGAAGCAGTCACGGTGGTGAAGGTTACCCTGTTCTTATCAAACAAAAGAACTCTGAAACAGTAACGAAGCTTTAGGTTAATTATTTCGAGAAAAATGAGATAATACGTGTCAAAAGTGCCGAAATTATGACAACGAAGTGAGTTGAGTGGGAGCTCCAAGATTCGTACTGAGTGTATCTGTGCTAGTTCTTTGTCCATACATCTTTAACTTCCATACCTTGTAGCCGTACGAAATGAGACCCAAACACCAGGCGTTACAGTGTCAACATCTCAAAATTTCAAGATAGCGACGCATCCAAGAATGGGCATAGATCCAGAAACGCGAAGAAAGCTATTGGGGCTCCAAAAAACTGGAGAAAACAAGAAATGCTTTGACTGCGCCGCCCCAAATCCACAGTGGGCCACTCCAAAATTTGGTATTTTTATCTGTCTCGAATGTGCCGGAATCCACAGAGGACTCGGAGTTCATATATCGTTCGTGAGGTCGATAACCATGGACCAATTCAAGCCTGAGGAGGTGCTCAAGTTGGAAAACGGAGGTAATGCCAATCTTCGCGAATATTTTACTGCAAATGGTGTTGACTTGAACCTCCCAGCCAAATTGAAATACGACAATTATGTGGCTGAAGACTACAAAGAGAAGCTTAACTGTGAAATCGAAGGAAGAGAATTCGTGCCTAAGGATCATACGGGAGAAAAGTTGCCCGACATCAACAGCGTTGGCGTATCTGCTGGTATTAATGGTTCATACAAGGACGATGTTTCACAAGATCCTATTCTGAGTCGTCGCAGTACACCGAACCAACCTGGGTTAACTGGTGAGCAAAAAGTCAAAAATGAGGCGTATTTCGCTCAATTGGGCTCAAAGAACAACTCAAGACCGGAAGATGTCCCTCCGTCACAAGGTGGAAAGTACGGTGGATTTGGCAACACTCCAACACCAGCAGCATCCAGTAGAAACGGCGGTACGTTATCACTGTTTGACATGGAAACTTTCCAAAAGGACCCATTGGGCACACTCACGAAAGGATGGGGTTTGTTCTCGAGCACGGTGGCCAAGTCCATGAATGAGGTGCACGAGTCGGTGATCAAGCCTGGCTATACTCAGCTCCAAGAAAGCGATATTGGCGCGGAAGCCAAAAGAGCCATGGCCCAGTTTGGCCAAAAGATGCAAGAAACAGGAAAGTATGGACAGGAGACATTCCAGCTGTTCACCAAGGACCGCCAACCTGTTGACTCCAAGTTTGGTAAATTGTTCGACGGATTGAGTGTTGAAGAGAGTAATGTTCAACCGGCATTTGGATTCGAGAAGCCCAAGGAAAAAACCAAGTTACAAGGAATGGGCAGAAAGCGCCAGGAAGACACCAAGGGCGATGACAAATGGGATGACTTTTAATAATCTACGATTTGGTAAATGTCTTCATAACTCATTTTATTCAACTCTATGCGAGAGGGTTCTTCTCCAGCAAATATAAATTATACTCATCTTTGAACGTGCTGTAGCAATGGAAATAGCTGTCTTTGATGTAAAAATACTTCATGGCCCGCCACGAAAGTACCCAGTCTACCAAACCCACGTCTCTTGCGACCGAAATGAGAACAAAGTAGATCAATCCCAAGAGAGCACCGAACATTACTCCCACAATGACCTGCTGAGGAGTGTGGTAGAGCAAGTAGACCCTTGAACCAGCCACTCCCATGGATACTAATGTCACAATTACACAGCCAATGGCCTTTTGAACAGGTTGAAAATACTCGATTTTGAAAATGAAGATGCATGCAAAATAACTGGCAAAAAACCCCATAAACTGCGAATGTGCCGAGGGCATACCGTATGTCAAGCTGTAGGATCCCGTTCCAAAGTCCTTGTGGAAATCTGGACGTGGTTGTCGTACAACTCGCTTGATAATTTTGTTTGTGATTTCACCAACTAAGTGACCAGCAACGACGATCACCGGTTCGATTTCTCGGGTGAGGAGAAACCAAGAGGTGTAGAACACCATGGTGTATATTGGAAGGAGTGACAAGTGCACAGAAAACAACGCGATGATGTCTTTTGGATCATAAAGAACGTAGGTGTGATCGTAAGGCACCGGTTTGTACTTGTCAAACTTTTCGAATGTTGGCATTTTCAATCCAAAGCAACTTTGTAACTAAATTCTAAACCTCGAGTCACTTGGAAGGAGTACCAGGTCGATGTGGTCGATGGTTAGACCCACTGGAGTGTGCTCTTTATAAACATTTTTCAGGCGAAGAATTTGTCCCAAAACGGTGCATATGCAGGCTGTCTGCAACTCTTTGTTCTAACAATAGGCCACAATAGAGCACGTCGTACTGCGAACAGAAGGAGGTAAAACGCGTGGAAACTTACTGCAGCTAGAGAAAAGAGAGCCAAGAGAAAGTGATAAGAATAAATTTTATATGAGGTGAAATAAGAGTTTGAATAGTGTATGTACTCCTTCAAAGTTATCAAGAGATGCCATATTCGGCGATGCCATTAATTTAATTAATTTGACGAATCCGGTCACTTCTACGGAAAAATAGTACCGGCAAGCGAATATCGGCCTGTACATAATTTTCAATTAATTGACCCAATGAGGTTAAAATTGTGCGTATATGTTGCAGCATCGCGCACAAGGGGGAGATAGCGAAGAATGGCCCAGGAAGGCTTTTTTACGAATAAATCGCGTCCTATTTGCGTGGGCTAGGCAACATGTGGTCTCGGAGCAGAAAAAATTGATAATATATTGATTTATTATATCAATGATTAGTTCAATGTTTTAAGCTATGTAGTCGTAATTAACACTGTCTTCTCAAGATATTTGGCGCTTTTGTTGGTCACGGGCCCATCTAGCGGCATCCTTTGTAGATGCTCCAAATACTGCACTGCTACGAGTACGCTTGATAAAATCGGTAACCCAAGGTGCTTGGTAAGCTTGGGCAAATTCCTTATTGGGGAACATGGCTGCAAGATCTCCTAGTAAACCCACCGCCAGTCTTGCTACCAGTTCAGTTGCAGCCAAGGTGATTTCTTCCGCAACTGCTTTCAAGAACAGGAAAATGTTGGCAACGTAAGGATATATTTGTTGTGGTGCGTCAGACATGCCTCCCACTATTCCAACGTAACAATCCAATACTGCTTCCTTAACACTCAAAACGTACTCCATTGTTTCCAAGGAACCATCTTCAATCTCTATTGATGAAGCTGATGAGCACACTTGCATCACAAACTCCAAATATGGCTGGAATGCTAGACCAATACAAGTTGCAATGTCACCGAAACAAGATAAAATTGCAGGACGAAGCTCACGACGAACCTCCGCATTGTTCAAGTTAGCTCCTAATATAGGCATGAACCCATCGAGGTATGGAACAAGCGACTGACCAAGTGCATGAGCTAAATCAGCCACCAATCCGACTGCCGTAGTACATGCTGGAGAAGCAGGGTTTTGCAATGCACTCGTCAATACAGGACCGAAAGCATCCATATACTTCATGAACTCGGCACCACCAACTGACCCTGCCACTGCGGAAACCGCCAAATACAAATCCTCTTCAATTGCCTTGTTAGTAGTGAGAAGCTTGAGGAACAACTGCATCAAGTTATCGGCAGGTGCACCCGCAACCTGAGGACCCATACGTCGAATTGCAGATGTTATGAGTGCAAGAAGGGAAATTTGAAGATCATCAGCAGGAGCCAACGCCGCGGAAGCATCCTGGGAAGCATTTGATGAGGCACTGGCAGCAGCCTCCAAACGGACCACCGCTTCAGTTGCAATATTTTGCACAGCACCCATGCAATCGTTGGCACTATAAGTCACAAGAGCCGACAATGCTTCGTATGCTGCGCCACGTACACCGTATTCATTCTCTCCGCAAGAAAGTTGCATCAAGATTGGCACCACTCCTTCGTAAAAAGGCAGCAAAGCCGAGGTATTTTGGGATGAAGCGTCGGCACACAATTGCTCTGCCAAATTCATAAGCGTCCAACAGCAGTTTGTAGCCACCTTTGGGTGATCTTGTAAGCCGGCAACGACCGCCTGAATTAACAGAGGAAGCTGCTGAGCATCTATGGCATCAACCACCAAGTCGGCAATACGCCCCAAACACCATGCAACCGTCTCCTTTACGGCGAGAGAAGAATCACCTATAAGCGACAAGATCGGTGGTAATGCTTGTTGAATGAGACCAGCCAACTGCTGGTGGTCAGGACCGTCTAGAATGGACCCAAATGCCATCACTGCAGCTTCTCGTTGACGCCAACCGTCTTCACCTTCAACAGTGATGTTGGATGCAACAAATTGCAAAACTGGCTCAACTACATAACCGGCGCAGTTCTGAGCAAAAAGAGACAAACATGCACCAGCAGCCATGGCCACCGACCAATCGTCATCCTCTGGATCTTCGTTTTGTCGAGTCAACAATGTGAGAAGCGTAGGCAACACATCTCTGAGGGCAACCAAGGCAAAGTTGTAACTCACCATTTCAGGACCCACGGCGTCTGGACCGTACTCATCTCTTTGTATCGCGATTTCTAATTCCTCTTCACATACAGTGGACCAGAATTCCACCGCCATGCATGCAACGTTGTCATCACCACTCTGCATTCCTGACACTGTTAACCCATACAATGCCTTTTCCATGTAAAGCGCCATAAACCTATAGTAGAGCGCCATGATTCTAGCAAGACACCCAAATGCACTGGCTTGGATTTCACGGTTGTTCGCTTGCGTAGCTTCACAAACCACTTGCATAATATAATTGCGTTCACCTTCACGAGCAAAGTTGAATTTGATAAACTCCAACGAGTTCACCAACGCATTCAAAGCAGTAAGACGAACAACAGCAGAAGGTTCGTTGCTTTGAACTCCTTGAACAATTGCTATAAGAATACCATTAGCTTGAGCCACAATTGCCTCGTTGTTAGGGTCAGCGCTTTCGCATATATATCCAATTGTCAACAAAGACGCTTTCTTTACATGGACAGGTTTCTCGGTCTTTGTGTTCTCGATCATAAGCGGTATAAGTTCAGGCCACTCGTTACGGGGCAATTCGATATCAGCAAGCGCTGCTACCAACTGAGCAGCAGATCCTGCTACACGGTCATCTTGCGACCATAAGGCTTTGATAGCCGAATCCTTGATGTTTGTCTTGGCAGAACTGTCTAACGCTATCCACCTTGCTTGTTGTTCCTGCTTGGTCTTTGCTGCCTTGGACGTGAGCTGATTCTTGAGTCCAATACCTGCCAACATACGAACCTCCGTACGGGCTTCTTCGTTGGACAAAGCCTGGGTAAGCAAACTGAGATACTCTACAAAGTGCTCTCTTGCCGCCTGGTTGAGCTGTTCTTCAGCTTCAGCACGTTTAGCTGGATCGGGATTGAGAAGGGCATTCTCAAGGATGTTTAAAATATCCATTATAGTGGTGTGAGTATGCAAGGCCGTATGGGACAAGTGGCTAGTTCTTGTGTGATGAGTATTATATCCGAAAATCAGGTGAAAAACACAGCTTTGGCGTCGTCTAATCTGAAATTAATGTTGTGAAATGACCAAAGCAATCGGCAAAAAGGAATATATCTGGAGCTCCAGTACAAGGTCAAGGATTTTTGTGATATCCAAGAGCGTACAGGTATCTGCGGATGACTCAATGAGATCAATAAGTTGATCTATCGAGATGTGTGCTACGGAAATATAATCCTTTGATTTACCGTACGCTCACTTTCAAAACGACGACGGGTCGTGCGCGACACATACGGACCTGGTGTCTACTAACGAACATACGAAGACGGACAATTACCGCCAAAAGTGGTTTATTGTCTGTTATATAGATAGGTATCTCATTGTATCTTGACGCCAATATTAGCATTCGTCAAGCTTGTACGCTTTTGCTACGATTCACTTATCACTGAATGTAAGTCTGTAATCGTCTCTTCCTTTTTTATAGTTGAACGAGGCACTTCCAGGTTCACGGTTGCATCTTGACTGCCCTCAGGTAGTTGTTCTTGCTGCTGCCTCCTTTCTTTCTCTTGTTCTAATTGCTGTTTCTCCTCTCGTTGTTGCTGAAGAAGTAGTCTACTTTCTTCCTGCTTTTGCTGAAGTATTCTTTCCGCTTCAAGTTGCTTCATCAACAACTTTTCCTTCGCCTTCAATTCAGCTGCCTTCTGCTCCAAGAGGGCAGCACGAGCGGCAAGTTCCTTGGCACTTGCCATCTCCATTTCTTCCAATTTTTGCTGACGTTCAAGTATACGTTCGTGTCGAATCACATACGGCACTGTTTCCGATATTTGCCTCAATTGGTGTCTCTGAGGCCCAATGGACAAGCGCTTGAAAGCGGTATTGTTCAGGTCGAGGTTACGCTCCATTCCAGGTTGTTTCATAGACAAAGATGAAGTGGAGGAATGTAATGAAGCGTTGTCGCGAAGTCGAGGTGAAGGCATTTCATCGACATCGTCCAAGAGCATGGACTTGGATTTTTTGTACTTTGCGTCGGACGAGATAGAGCTGGTTTCGTCTGCATCGTCGGGAATTGCCGAAGAGGACGTCAACTGTGCCAAATTGGAAAGTGATGGTACGGTACCAGCCATCTCTTTACGATCGGGTTGCTGTTCGACGCTGTCATGAAACTCGTCATCCTCTTCAGGAGTGTAGGAAGTACCGGTTACCTTGGTCAATCGTTCTGTTCTGTAGGTTTCGTACAAGAAATCGTGGGTTAAATCCTTCAAGTCCTGGAGATGAGAGCCCAAGAGAACAGATCTGAGGAGAACAAAATCACTGTAGCGGGTGTCTTCTATGTCGACCAAGCCCCATGGATACTTTCTGGCGCGGATGTTTCTGGTGATACCGGTTTTCCTGTCGGTGGTGGAGTATTCGTCTTCGGATGCGATGATAGCAAAAGGTTGTAATTTACTCAACATCTTGCATTCTTCAATCAAGTCACGGTCCTCATCCTCATCGTATTCACTTAAGAAATTGTCGAATTGGAACACAGGTACGTTGAAACGGTTTATATCTGTCTTGATCTGTTTTTTAAAATGTTTGAGTTCTGCCTCGGTGAACGAATCGGCCTTGCTCACCACCGGTATAACATTGACAAACTTGGACAATCGCTTCATGCACGCAATATCTATCTCGCGCAAGCCATGGCCGGTGTTGCTTATAAAGTACAACATTACATGGACACGAGTATCGACAATCTCGGGTTACGTTTGATGCGAGTCTCTTCAGCCAACACGAGATCGAATTGCTGTCTCAAATAATTCTCGATTTCCACAAAGCACATCTCATTATTAAGGTTGTCTCCAAATCCAGGTGTGTCCAAAATGGTCAACAAAAGCTTTCCTCCATCTTCATCTACCATTTCTACACGAGTTTCCGTCAAGGCAATGCCGGGCTCTTCATGTGCCGAATGGGCATTGAACTCATTTCTTGTCAAGGCTGCGGTACTGGGCAACGACACTGACTTTGCTGAAGTGAAAGCAAGGGTTTTAGTCTCAGAAACAACATTGGATTTTTGATAGCGATGCGAAACAACTGGCTTGTTGACGAGAGCATTTATAAACGTAGATTTTCCAGTTCCCGATTCTCCCACAACCATAAAAGTGAATTTCACACCTTTCTTGGCGTCCTTTCTATAGTTGATCATAGGAGAGTGGGTCATGGATGGCGAGTCAAAAGTGTACAGATGATCCATATTGATTTCAGAGCCAACGTCAACACGCTGCCGCGACGTGTGCGCGCGGTGCAGGAGTACTGCAGATAAATACACCGCTATTCAAATCAGTTGATTGCGAAACGGTTCCGTTGATTGATCGAACGATGATCTTGAAAACATTATCTTCTAAAGCGGCCGCCCAGCTCGATGCAGACCTTATGTCCTCGGGAGCATTCTCCTTAGACCAATTGATGGAATTGGCTGGACTTTCAGTGGCAAGTGCTGTTTATAAGCAGTATCCTCCAACCCCAGCCAAGAACAAGTTGTTGGTTCTTGTGGGTCCCGGCAACAATGGCGGTGACGGGTTGGTGGCTAGCAGGCACTTGAAGCTTTGGGGCTATGATCCAGTTCTTTTTTATCCGAAAAAATCTACAAAACAGCCGTTATATCAACGTCTTGTTACCCAGTTGCAGCAACTAAAAGTACCAGAAATCGACCAATTAGACGAGGTGAAGAAATTAGCGGGAGACTCCTCAGTAGTGGCTATCATCGATACACTTTTCGGTTTCTCGTTTAAACCCCCTATTCGACCACCATTTGACGAATTAATTGGGTATTTGGCTTCTTCTGGTGACTCGGTTGCTCCTATCGTCTCGGTAGATATACCTTCTGGTTGGGACGTAGACAGTGGCCCCACAGACAACAACGCTCTTCAACCCAAAATGCTCGTTAGCTTGACCGCTCCCAAACCATGTGCTACCTATTTCAATGCCAAGGATAAAGTGCACTACTTGGGTGGTCGGTTTATCAATGATGAAGTGGCTGCAAAATACGACATTGCAGACTTGATCGATTTATACAAGGGGGACGAACTAATTGTCAAACTATAGCTTGTTTTGTATTGGAATCGTGTCGTTTATGTGGTTCATATGTATGCAAAGCGATTGCAACGCTCGTCTGGTGTGGCTGGTAGCTGCTTGCTGGAGAGCACTCTTTTCCATGGCTCTTGGTACCGCGACGACGACACCAAAAGCATAGTCCGTTTTGTATCTTCAGTCTTGGGCTTGGCTGCAAACTTTGCCAGCTGAAAGTCGGGTGCTGCTGTGACACAGCGGGGCTGAATGGGTGGTCTTTGAAGACCGGTGGCCATGGTTTTTGGTGCAAGCAATGATGCCAGGGGAAACCTTGTACTCTCATAGACTTTTGATGAGTCAAGACAATACTCGAATGGCTTTCGAAGTACAGTGGCTTTGATCTCCGCCTTGGACTCTTGAAGAGAATTGCTGGAGACTCTCGATGCCTTACTTTGAGCGGAAGATAACGACTGGTGATCAGTACATTTGCGAGGCTGTCTTTTTCGCAATTTTAATTGGGGAAGCGGCGCAAGAGGCAATTCAGGTAGACTTTTTTCTGATCTGGTCAGAAGCTGTCGTCCTTGAAGTTCATCGTCGCTGAAAAGACTGTCGGTAGTAACCCCGGATAACGTATAGACATCCGGATCAACGATTCTTTCGTATTTGGATATAATGCTGTCTGAGCTCTCCGAAACATAAGTGTCGACAAACTGGAGGATTCTCAGACTGGTTCCAGACATACTACTGGCATTGGTTCCACTGCTCAATGAAAATTGTGAGTCCGAGTCGTGCGAGCTTAAAGATGCTGCTTTTTGTTTGGGAGGCAACGACATGTGTGGCTCGTTGAATGTTGGAAACGATGGTGATTGTGATGGTAATTGTGACGATGATTGTGGTAATTGTGATGGTACCTGTGGTAATTGTGATGGTAAATGTGGTAATTGTGACGGGACGGGTGCTGGTGATTTTGATGGAACTGGCGGCAATTCAGAAAATACCCGTGCTGGAGTTCCTGAAGGCTTAGGCCTTGAAGTTGGAGACATTAGTGTTGGCTTTTTTGGAACGCTAGGCAATTGTTTGAGATTTGCAGGCATACTCACGGCTCGAGGCTTTGGAGTATGTGTCACAAATCTTGCTAGTCGGCCGTTTTTAAACACTGGAAGTTCGGGAGGTAGATCGCTCATGCTGAGCTGGCCCCCGTGGTAGCTGGATACAGCATGACTCAAGTCGATATTCAAGATATTTGCTGGTACTTGTGCGGGGGTATCGTAACTGCTCAAACGTTGCTTATTGTCTATTTTCATGTTTCAGCAAGAACCGGGTTACGAATATCAAGCTTTGAGGCACTTCTGCACATGGACATTCTTTATACTGTAATCGAAGGCGCTGGTTGTGTTATTCTTAGAACCGAGAAGGCTGGTAACAATACTGGACCTGTATAAAACCTAACTTTATGCACAGAAGGTTGGCCGCTGCCGCGCCGCTTACATAAACATCGCAACCAGTACACCGTCACAAAGCGATCCGTTTTGACTACTTTATGCCACTTGAGCAGGATATCAAACTTCACATATGGAACGGCGCAATTAATATAGTCATTGTCTATAACGAGCAACAATACTTAGTACGTGCTCACCGCAATAGTTACTTGCCATTATACTACGCTGATATAAGTGCTTATTTTGAGCTTTCACAGCCATTATGGCTCGAATATCAAGGTGTACCATTGAAATGGAACCTTCCAGTAGGAGTTCTTCTGGATTTGCTTCGTACACCATCGAAAGAGGCCTGGGAGGTTCAATTGAGGACGGATAATCTACCTTCACATGAGATTATTCCGTACCATTACCATGTCGAAGATAACTCAATTGACTACACACGAGCACTCCGAGAAGTTGTAATAAACCATATTAAACAATCTTGCTATACTTTGAACGGAAATGCCAAAAAAATCATGGGTCTTAGTGAACTGGAACTGAAACGGTTGTGGATATCGATAGCTACTCATAATCTACCAGAGTATCACCAAATCACTTCAAAGATTCTTCCTTCAGATATCCATCGAATACCAGTGAAAGTGTACCTTTCTGGAACAAGTACGGTGTTCAACTTTGCAGTAGACCATTCACATCAAAAACCTACTACTTTACGAAAAGTTTTAGGAGACCTTACCCCCGCATTATTGGATGAGAATTTGGCCACAACTGTTCTAATTCACGGAGTCGACTGTAACCTGCTCATTGATGAACCCATACTCGATGTTTGGCGAACCTTTCGCTACTTGGACAACTTTTTGTATATTATACTCATGCCATAGAATCTGGGGTAATCCCATTACATAATCAAACACATTATGACTAAATCCACCGCTGTCATTTGCGGAGAGCGCGCCGGTGGCGGTCCGGTACCGGCGGACGATCGCCCACAGTGCCGCATCATATAAAGGTGGCCGAAAAAACGCAACAAACATAATGCCTTCTCAAGTCAGAACTCTTTACGACAAGGTTTTCGAGGACCATATTGTCCATAAGGACGACTCTGGATCGTACTTGATATATATTGATCGTCATTTAGTCCATGAGGTCACATCTCCACAAGCTTTCGAAGGTTTAAAAAATGCCGGCAGAAGTGTCAGAAGACCCGACTGTACTTTGGCCACGGTAGACCACAATATTCCTACGATTTCAAGAAAGAACTTTAAGAATGTCGATACTTTTATTGAACAAGATGATTCCAGACTCCAGGTGATGACTTTGGAAGAAAATGTGAAAGACTTTGGTTTGAAGTATTTCGGAATGTCGGATTCCAGACAAGGTATTGTCCATATTGTTGGTCCTGAACAAGGTTTCACCTTGCCAGGAACCACTGTTGTGTGTGGTGACTCACATACTTCAACCCATGGAGCATTTGGTGCATTGGCATTTGGTATTGGTACCTCTGAAGTGGAACATGTTTTGGCTACCCAAAGTCTTATTCAAGCCAAGTCCAAGAACATGAGAATCAGTGTGAACGGCAAGTTGCGTGAGGGTATCACCTCGAAAGATTTGGTGCTTCACGTCATTGGAGTTATTGGAACTGCTGGCGGTACTGGCTGTGTCATAGAATTTGCTGGAGAAGCCATTGAAGCATTATCGATGGAGGCTCGAATGTCCATTTGCAACATGTCCATTGAGGCTGGGGCTCGTGCTGGTATGATTAAACCTGACGAAGTGACCTTTGAGTACATTAAAGGTCGTCCTTTGGCACCATCTGGTGCTGAATGGGACAAGGCTGTTGCTTATTGGAAGACATTACATTCTGATCCTGGTGCCTACTTTGACCATGATATCCAAATTGATGCCGCAGACATAGTTCCTACAATTACCTGGGGTAATTCTCCACAAGATGCCTTACCAATTACTGCCAAGGTACCAGACCCATCCAAAGTCACCGACCCCATTAAGAAAGCTGGAATGGAACGGGCACTTCAATACCAAGGCTTGACCCCCAATACCCCATTAAAAGACATCTCTATCGACAAGGCGTTCATTGGATCTTGTACCAATTCTCGTATTGAAGATTTGAGAGCCGCTGCAAAGGTTGCGAAAGGTCATAAGAAGGCCGACAATGTCAAGTTGGTTTTGGTTGTTCCAGGATCTGGTCTTATCAAGGCCCAGGCCGAAAAGGAAGGTTTGGACAAGATTTTCGAACAAGCAGGTTTCGAATGGAGAGAAGCTGGCTGCTCAATGTGTCTTGGAATGAACCCAGATATCTTGGACCCACAAGAAAGATGTGCTTCTACCTCCAACAGAAACTTCGAAGGTCGTCAAGGTGCTGCCTCAAGAACCCACTTGATGTCTCCTGCTATGGCTGCAGCCGCTGCTATTAAGGGCCATTTCACTGATATTCGTGAGTTCGACTACGACACTACAGAAGAAGCAGCCGTTCCAATTGGCACAGAAGAGGACAAGGCTCTTCAAGATGCCGTATATGCTCACGAAAAGGAGCCTGTTACGGACTCCGCTGAGATGATCAACGATGTTCCAGTCGACACCCAAGAGCCAGAACCAAAAAAATTCAAGGTTTCCGAAAATGCTGAAGACGGTGCTTCGGGAATGCAACAGTTCACTGAACTCACTGGAATTGCTGCTCCTCTCGACAAGGCTAATGTGGATACCGATGCTATTATTCCTAAGCAATTCTTGAAAACCATTAAGAGAACTGGTCTTAAATCGGGATTGTTTTACGAATTGAGATTCACTAAAGACAAAAACGGCAACGATGTGGAAACTGATTTTGCATTGAATGTTGAACCTTACAGAAAAGCCGAGGTGTTGGTGGTTACCGGTGACAACTTTGGTTGTGGTTCGTCCAGAGAACATGCTCCATGGGCCTTGAAAGATTTTGGTATCAAGTGTATGATTGCTCCATCATTTGGTGATATTTTTTACAACAATTCGTGCAAAAATGGATTGCTTCCTATCAGATTGCCAGCTGAAGATATTGCTTCCAAGTTGTACCCTGTGGCTCAGGCTGGTCAGAAGTTGACAATTGACTTACCCAACCAACAAATAAAACATGGTGAAACCGGCGAAGTTTTGATACCTCATTTTGAGATTGAACAGTTCAGAAAGCACTGTTTGGTGAATGGCTTGGATGATATTGGCTTAACTTTGCAGAAAGAAAAGTATATCCAGGAGTACGAGAAGAAGAGAAAAGACAAGTTTTCTTTTATGGAAGGAGGTTCTGATTTGATCAAGCCTATCAAAGGAACCAAGAAGTCCGTCTACGGTAACAAGGCTGTTGAATGGTAAATACTAACTTATGACCCATCATGGAATAATAATACTGCTCGATCTAATGTATTCTATTTGCTCCTAATCTCTACCAATCACTACCAATCGGTACCTAATCAGCCTTGTCGCTCATTACTTGCTTCACCGGCTCGGTATCATTGAAATATAACTTGTGTTCCTGAATATACCTGATGACAGAGTTGGGAAGTAAGTATTGCACAGACATACCTCGCCGTATGAAAAGCCGAATTTTAGTCGATGATATATCGTTGTAGATAAGTTGCTTGATGACAAGAACATTTCTGCGGTGTTCGTACATGATATCATGACTCAACAAAAAACTTCTAACATCGGAACCAGTCCGCTCCACGATAAGACACCCGTACTTCCCAAGAATATGATGCAAATCTTGGTCTGCCCACACATCAGGTTCACCCATTGACTCTATGAGATCACCACCAGCGAGCAACATGATCTTTACACCTCTTCTCTCACCCGACTTGGTCAAAATACCACCTCTCTTGATATTTATCTCCTCGTTGAAATGGTCCAACACCAATGCAGTTCTAGTGTATTTAGGTTGGAGCGATTCCCAGGCATCCACCATAAGCCAAGAAGAGGTTCTTTCGCATGCCAATTCGCACATACGAACCCGATGATGAGCATCGGCCAACCCCTGCTTTTTGTAGTTTGAGCTTACGGGCGAGTAATAGCCCCCAATTACCTCGAACCGGGTTTGTTCAGTTATAGCGTCTAGCGCCATTTCGAACATTCGAAGATGGAGGTAAGTTATGGGCGAGAATGATCCGCATGCTACAATCACCAATGGATATTTGGAGTCGTCTGAGAGACTGGTGGCCAATCTATGGGTGGGGAACTCGTATTCCTCCAAAGTATCCGCCTGTCGTTGGATTCCATGGGGAACTTCTTCCAAGTCTGCAATTTGTGTGGGTTTGACTTCAGTACTAGGAGGAGGAATTGGTGGTGTTTCTATCTCATCATCCGAAGCACTGGGTGAAGACGAAGACCCAGAGTCAAGCAACTCCGTGTGTTTACGAGGAATCTTTGAATGGTGTCTTTTCGACTTATCGTCGTGCGACGGTGTTGGAACTGAAATAGATGGGTGAGGAGCTGGAGCATCTACCGAAGAACCAAGGTCTGCCAAAACGAGTGGCTGAATGGGCATGTTCTTGGGGATCTTGGAAGATGAAGCCGTAGGCTCAATGTCTCGATTTAGTGACGGAGGAATAAAATTGGGGTCGTTGGTGGGGTCCATGATTTCAAGGATGGAAATGTGGATGTGGTAGATTTGGACTTTGGAGTGGATTTAAATGGTAAACAGAGATCAGATATAACTCATCCGATGTGCCCCGCTTTGACTTTAATCCCGTGGATTGCAAACTCCGAAGTGGTTAGCTTGATTGTGAATGACTAATTTAGCGCCGTTTCGCACAAAGAAAATAAAGTTGCCGAGCGCCGGGGAAAAAAAAATGGCGTCACAGACAGGATTCGAACCTGCGCAGGTAAAACCCAACGCCTAAACTGCTAATAGCAGGGCGTCGCCTTAACCACTCGGCCACTGGGACGTTTTGTACTACTTTCCAATGAGAAGGTGATAAGAGAAGAGGGAGAAGCGACTTAAGCGAATATAGCTACCTTGTAATGGCTTTGTAATGGCCATCTCTGAGCACCTTTGACAGCACGGATAATATACTAAACACCATTTACCATTTTCCTTTTTCCTCCATTGCCTTTCAATTTGAGTGTGTGGATTTTCCATCTCTCACGTGAACATCGCAGTACTCTTCACCTTAAAATAAAACAGCTACAAATAATTCCCAATTAATCCACCTTTTAATCACCATGGAAAAAAGGGTTCGTCCTGCTAAACGGCTCATGAATGCTGGTGGACAGTGTTCCAAAGAGGGCTTAGCTTATGGCGAGTGTGTGTTACAGAATTATAGTAACATGCAACACAAAGGATGCGATAAAGAGTTTGTGATGTTCAAGAATTGTGTGAGTAAAGTGATGGGAAAGGGGTGGTAGACCGAGGGAGTGGAGCGCTTGGAAAAATGGAAACGATAATGAAGAGTAGAGACTTGAATGTAAATATGGAATAATGAAGATCCTAATTTCAGAGTAGATCGAAATGGCCAAGGCAGAAGTTTTTATAACTAGTCTAGTTTAATTGCTAGGTTTATCACTAGTTTGATTGATCGAAAGCGAACCGGAATGACTTTTCATCCTACTGGTTTTATCAGTTTGGTTTAAAGTGCTTACTTTTGCTTTTTTCATCAGGTTCAGTCCACTACCACTCTTTGAAAAATTACACTAACACTTAAATCAACAAAAACACACTCCAAACTCAAAATCCCTCAGATTTCACCCTACTTGTCCCACTCATCTCCTGCTCATAATCACTTTTCATTCGAATCTGACCTCCGGTTAGTTTCCCCATCTTCTCTTCTCCTGCACAGTTGTTCCTCGGCTTAATTAGTGTGGGGTCAACGTTCCTCCGAATTCGTTCCGATTTGTTTCTACCACTACGATAAACCAGCAAGACTTTTCGGAATCTGAGTTTTAGCCCCATACTTTGTGTCTCACCATGATAAACTTCTCCAAGCTTGCAAACTATTCAAGGGAGGATATGAGGAATCTCCTACTTCTTCTCCAGGAATTCGTGATCACCTACAAAGACAACAAGGTCAAGATTAATTATCAGTCTAGACCTGTTATGTTGTTCTTGGGTACTTTAGTGTCGACTGCTGGGCTCGGGATCCTACTTACACTTCGAAGCATCATCCATCAAGTTCGAGAAGCTCAGTTAAATCGGAGAAATAATCGTCCAGCGTTGATCCGACAATCTTCAACTATCCTCAAAAATGGTTCAAGAGAAATATTCATACCCTCCGGCAGGAACGGAAGTACCCGTATCATCATTCCCAAGCCCAATCTTGACCAATATGCGGCAGACAAATACCTATACAAGAACTTTCACATCGACCAAAAGTTCAGACTGCAAAATAAACTTTTCAATTCCAAATTTTTGAACCAGTTGCTGATTATGTGGCGTATATTGATCCCACGGTTCTATCACAAGAACACGTCTCTCCTTTTGTCACAGTGCTTCTTTTTGATCTTGAGAACGTGGTTGTCGTTACTTGTGGCTAAACTCGATGGTCAGCTTGTCAAAAACTTGATTGGAGGTAATGGCAAGAAATTTGCCCGTGATTTGATTTATTGGCTCTTAATCGCCTTCCCTGCATCCTATACAAATGCTGCTATCAAGTATTTGACTTCAAGATTATCGTTGAGTTTCCGTACAAACTTGACGAGATACATCCATGACATGTACTTGGATAAAGTTATGACTTACTACAAAATTTCACTCAACAGTGGTCTGATCGAAAATATCGACCAGTACATCACCAACGATGTGGCAAAGTTTTGCGATTCTATCTGTGGTCTCTTCTCTAGTATGGGTAAACCTATGATTGATCTTTTATTTTTTGCGGTTTACTTGCGTGATAATTTGGGAACCGGGGCCATTGTTGGTATTTTTGCCAACTACTTTTTGACGGCAATGGTGTTGAAAATGAACACACCTGCGTTTGGGAAATTGTCAGCTAACAGGACCCACTTGGAGGGTCAATATTATAACCAACATTTGAACTTGATAACAAATTGTGAGGAAATTGGTTTTTACAAGGGTTCAATCATCGAGAAAAATAAGTTGAATGAAGTGTTCCACAAACTTGTGGGTCATATTGACAAGGAAATCAATATATCCTTCTCCTACTCGGTTTTAGAAGACTACATCTTGAAGTATACATGGTCTGCATGGGGTTATGTTTTTGCTGGTCTTCCTGTGTTCTTGGATGATATTTGGCCCAGCACAGCTTCAAAAGAGAAAAACGCTGTTAATGAGAGACAGAATATGAGACAGTTTATCATTAACAAAAGGTTGATGTTGTCGTTGGCAGATGCTGGATCCAGGTTGATGTACTCGATTAAAGATGTATCTGAACTCACGGGATACACCGATAGAGTATTTAACTTGTTGACTAACTTGCATCAAGTGCACCTGCCCACATTCAGCTATAATTCCAAGTTGGGATCTTCTGATATTCATGGAACGATCCAAAAGAACTACCAAAGTGGTATCAGGTTTGAGAATTTCCCAGTAATTATTCCTGGGGCCAATGGCTCAGAGGGAGAAAAATTGATTGATCTGTTGAATGCTCAAATTTCTCAAGGGCAGAATTTGTTAATCTTGGGTTCTAATGGGTGTGGTAAGACTTCCATCGCCAGAATCATTGCTGGTTTATGGCCATTATACTATGGACTTCTTTCCAAACCCAGCGACGAAGATATTTTCTATCTTCCCCAAAAAACCTATTTCACCAACGGCAATCTTCGGGACCAGATCATTTACCCTCACAGCTACGACGAAATGATTGAAATGGGCTACAATGACGACCACTTGTACCATATTTTGCGCGAAGTCAAGTTGGAGTATCTTTTGACCAGAGAGGGAAACTTCAATGCGAAGAAGGACTGGAAAGATGTCTTTAGTGGAGGCGAGAAGCAGAGAATGAGCATTGCGCGGGTTTTATTCAAGAATCCCAAATTTGTGATTTTGGACGAATCCACCAATGCTGTCTCAACCGATGTTGAAGATTATCTTTTCGAGTTGCTCCAAAAAAAGAAGATTACTTTTATCACGTTGTCGCACCGTCCGTTGTTGATGAAGTACCACGACTATTTGCTCACGATAAAGAACGAGAATGGCGATGCTACCAACTGGGAATTTCAAGATTTGACATCGGAGGAAAACTTGCAGAGCATTGATAATGAGATCAAGGAAATTGAGGGCAAGTTATCTCAAGTTGATGAGTGGGAAACCAGAAAGGACGAGATCGAGCGGTACCTTGACGGAAAGTACGACGACATCAAGGACTCAACTATGGAATTGCCGGAGTCATCAATCCCATCGATTGAGTAGCTATTTATGAATCTACGTTACGACAAAGTGTAAAGAGCCAACAGTCATCTTCATTCTTCATTTTTCATTCTTCTTTTCTTCTTTTTTTTTTGTTCCTCTCCCTTTCTCTTCCTCTTATTCTTTCGCATTATGCTTCGCATTATTCCTTTCGCAGCCCGTTCGTGCCCTGCCTAGACGCGATTATTCACGATGAGCGACAATTTATTCCCAACACCATGTCAGCAAGAAACAGGCAGGGAGATATCTCGAAAGCGCCGACTCCCCAGAACACGCCATCGTCGGTAACCACTTCATACTTACGGTCCCAACCCCCAAATGTGTCCACGATTACTGAGGAGGATTCGTCCAAACTTGGTGGCCAGCTCGCCAACAACCCCGCGTTATTATCGATGATTCAAGGTAAGCTTGGAACTTTGGTGGGCAAACAGAGCGGATACATCGACTCGTTGCCCAAAGCCGTCAAGCAAAGGGTTCTTGGGTTGAAAGCGGTGCAACAAAAACAGTTGGCTTTGGAAGCAGAGTTCCAAAAGGAGTTGTTGGAGTTGGAAAAGAAGTATTTTAAGAAGTACGAACCATTGTACGAGAGAAGAAAGAAGTTTGTGAACGGTGATGCCGAACCCACCAAGGAAGAAGTTGAGGAAGGTGAAGCGTTGAACGAAAATGATGAAGACGAAGAAGATGACGAAGAGGAAGAAGAACAAGATGCCGAAGAAGAAGCACCCTCGGGTGTTCCTGGGTTCTGGCTCACGGCGTTGGAAAACCTTCCCACCGTATCGGAGACCATAACCGACAGAGACAGCGACATTCTTCAGAGCTTGGTTGATGTGCGCATGGAGTATTTGGACACTCCCGGTTTCGAATTGATTTTTGAGTTTGCCGACAACGAGTACTTTAGCAACCACATTCTCACCAAGACTTACCACTATCAGGCGGAATTGGGGTACTCGGGAGACTTTGTATACGACCATGCCGATGGGTGCGAAATCAACTGGAAACTGAGAGAAATGAATGTCACCATCAACATCGAGCGGAGAAAGCAACGGAACAAGACCACCAAGCAAACGCGTACCATCGAGAAATTGACTCCAGCCGAAAGCTTCTTCAACTTTTTCGATCCTCCAAAGCCTCCAGCCAAGGATGAGCAAGACGAAGAGGAGGAAGATGAAGAAGACGAAGAAGATGACGATTTGGAAGCACGTTTGGAGTTGGACTACCAGCTTGGAGAGGAGATCAAGGACAGGTTGATTCCAAGAGCAGTAGACTGGTTCACTGGCGATGCGGTGGAATTTGGGTACCCAGATGATTTCGAAGATGTAGAGGAATTCACCGATGAAGAAGAAGATGAAGACAGTGAAGGAGAAGAAGACGACGAGTCCAAGTCGAAGGAACAACCTCCTGAGTGCAAACAGCAATAGTTCTAGATAGTGTTTCAATGGTATTTGCCTGTGAAAATTTTATACAATACAATAGAGTCAGTCTCAATTCAGCCGTGCGATTTTGCAACTTCACATGCCAACACCCTAGCCACAAAAAACGATGAAATGTTGACAGAAACTGCTCTGCCACTAGGTTATTAGCCCGCACAGGTACCGGTAATATCGTGCGGAGACGTTGGCGAAAAGGTACATGGTAATCAATTGCTGTGGTCTGTACAGTCTCCCTGCATCTACAAAGTCTAAATATACTCTAGAATTGTTCTTTTGTTCTTTCTTCAAGCTTCTTCTTTCCACTGTCTTACTTTCTTTCTCTACGTTTTCCTCTACACTTTCTTCTACTCCCTACTTTTTATTTTTCCCTTTCCTTTCCTCTCCCGCACCGGCCGAACCCGGACTCTCCCTAACCCTACTCCGACGATCCGCCTCGGCATCTCGGGCTATGCGCGATGCGGTGGTGCGGATGTGGTGCGGGTAAACTTACGAATAATTGATGGCTAGTAAAGGGTTACCTATGACTACATTGGGAGCACAGTCCGCAAGCATCCACAAGCATCCACATTCCAATTTGAGGAAATTATTTAACAAATGTATTTTCCAAATGCCGACGTCATACATATATTTACTTTGCCCCTTCAATTAAGCTTTAGATTTATTTTTTGTTCATGCACAACCCACCACACAAGTTCCTGCGCCCTAGTTTGTTTTTGCTCAGTTTTAAAATTTTTGTGGACCTTTATTAAACCTTTGCGCGTCTATGACGTAAGCGACAGTCGGGGGGCAATTTCACATGCCAGATGCAACCAGGTCTGTGATGGCCTTCATGCGTCACCTTTCGTACTATAAAAGTTAGTGGTACATCCCATTATTTAAAATTGTCTTACCTACTAGAGACAAACTCAATTGTTCTGGAAATTTTTTAACGTTTGATATTGGTCATTCGTTTCCACAAGTGGTGTCCACATCTACAAATCGAGTATTTTTCTGTGTCGCAAATCTGCTGATAAGAGAAAAAAAAAGCCCTGAGCCGCACCCACGCCCTAGACTTTCAAATTTATTGTGGTTGCTTAAGTTAAGCTTGCCCCATAACCCCTGTTATTTTTATTACAGGTCACTTTCTTATTGTTGCATCATCAGAAATTGGTGCTTCTTTTTCTCTATTGGAGTTTTATACACATAGATCATAATGGCCAAGGAAATTGCCAACAAGCAACTCAGCTCTAAATCCATCGAGCACGTTGTGGGTTATCCCATTATCAAGGATGTTACCGATTACGCCTTGTCTTACAGCTTGGTAAGCTATGTTTATCAACAAGCTTATCTTATAACGGGATTCTTTTTTGCCAATTTCGTGGCTCCTTTCCCCGTGGTTAAAAACAATTTGAACTGGGTCGACTCTCAAGTTGACCTGGTGGTATTGACCAGAGTGGATCAAGTTGTTGATAAGGCTAACAACTTCCATCCTGTCTCCACCGTTGAGAAGAAATATTTGGCTCCTGTCAACTCCTACATCTACAATACCGTAGACAAGTACTTGCCTGGATCGGCTACCGAGAACAAGGCCACATTCAAGTTGGATGACTTGAAGGAGTCGTCAGAGGTTTCCAAGTTCTTCAGGATTCTCAACGAAACATACTCGCGTTCCAAACAATTGGCCACCGCCAAGTCGTCCGAAGTAACCAACTCCGTTACCGATAGCTACAATAAGGAAGTTGCCGCTTTGGAAAATGTTTCTGGAGGTTTGCAAAAGAAGGCAGTTGCCTCATACAACACTTTGATCAAGTTTGTGTCCGACATCAACAACAGTTTCATTCGTCCATTGAAAGATCAAACCCAAGACTACGTTGTCGATGTTGCAACCACCACCCAGAATAAGGCTGATTTTTTCATTGCCGAAGCCAAGAACGGAATCAAGCCAAAGGTGAACGAAGCTGCCGCCAAGGGCCAGGAGCTCTTGAACGGCGCTGCTGAATCGAGCAAGAGCGCTCCAGTGGTCACTGCTTCTGCCTAAGCTTCGCTACATTTGTCTATGCTCACTCTACTCATTGTTTGATTTCTTATTTTGAAGTGAAGATTATGACAAGTTGGTTATTCTTTCTGTCGCTCAATTCTGTATTTATACTAATTAGCAAGTAAATGTTTAGTTAAATCGCTTGATGTAATCGATTCCCCCAACGCATTGAGGAACGGTTAGTTGAGATGGGCCCAAAATCTTGTTCACCTCGATACCAATATTGACGGTTCTCATCACGGCGTCATGCTCTAAAATCAACCCCTGGTTGTTATTAGCTTCACGGAATTTAGCCACATCTCGATAAATTTCCTTCTCGTCTCTGCCATAAGCCAGGTCTAAAAGTTTCCAGTCAAAAGTGTCAAAGTTCCATAATACACTTTGCATGCCAAACTGCCGCACAATTGACCTCACACGGTTATCCACACCTCCATATGGTGGCCGGAACCACTTTGGGATGTGTCCTCCTGTGGCATTCATGGCCCAAATTGACCATTCTATCTGAGCCACAATTTCCTCGTTCGATAATCCAGGAAGAAACTTGTGCGACCAAGTATGGGAACCTATAACATGGCCACGCTCGACAATCTGGCGATAAATACTAGGGTACTGGACCACTTGGACGCCTAGTGTGAAGAAAGTTGACTTGGTATTAATTTGCTCGAGAAGTTTAACGGTTGCAGGTGAAGGACCATCATCGAACGTTTGTGAAAGCTGCGGACAAGTGTAGACGTCATCGAAAGAAATGCAATTGAAACAATCAAATGAACAGGAGTCTCGGTACAACGTTGCACATTGTGCTTGGGCGTGTTGAGGGACAGCGGGAACCTTTGCAAAATTAATAAACTCAAGAGGAATGTATGGTGGATCGAGCCCTGGCCATTGTGTCAAACCGGTGAAATCGGAGAGCCATTTAGGAAACGGAACCGGAGGATCAACGGCCTTGGAGAGAACTGGCAGTGATCTCCATGGAAGGATCAGGGCACAGGCATAGTGTAGAATGGCAACGACAACGAATAGATGCATACAGAGTTTCTGTGGATGCGAAATCGTGGTTGCAAGTGGGTGCAATATTTGTGCAACACAAATAGGTGGACACGAGAATCTAAGGAATGTCATGGGGTATCTCCTAGACAAGATTTAAACGCAAACAACTACCGTAATTGTGCCTTTAGCGATTCTATCTCGCGCTTCAACGCTTCGTTCTCGTGCTTGAGTGCAGCATTTTCTTGTGCCAATTCATGCAATTGGGCCTGGGGAAGCTGGTGAGTGTGTGAGCTTGACGAGGAGCGCCTTATTGTCGCCGCCGTATGGGCTTCGCCCCGGGGAATTTCCAAGGAGGCATTGGAAGATATCGAAGACGACCGGCGATTGCGACTGCTGGATTGTGCTCTCAATGCCTTAAGTTCTTCCTGGAGCTGGCTGATCTCACGTGTCATTTTCACCACGATCTTGTCTTGTTCCTTCTCCATCAAATCGAACACCTGTTCGTTGGACATTTCCGGCAGTTGTGGCACCGAAGAGATATCATGAGTCGAGTAGCGTTTGGTTGGCGGATTGGGCGACCGGTTATTTCGGGTGTTTGAAAGACTGCTGGATGGCGTGTTGGAAGCTGCGCTTTTCGCCAGTGCTCTTCCGCTTCTTATATCGCTGTTTATTGTGGAAACTTGCTTGAGTTTCGGACTTGTAGGTGAGATCATGTTGGCGGAAATTTGTAGAAATTTGAAGAAATTTGAATAAATGTGTAGTTGGGTTGAATGTCGAAACTTTTTAGCCTGATTTGGTACACAAAAAATATTTCGGCTCGAAACGATCGGTAATACGATATGGTAAAGAAAATGAATTTCAATTGAAATGAAGCCACTGCTATCTTTCTTGTTCCAATGCAGGAATGGGGGGAAGGGGGCGCTGCACAAGCACGTTGTCTGCATATAGCATAGCCCCAGCGGTCTAGGCAAGCCTTAGCACTGAAGCGAAGCTAATGAGACAATGTTACTCAGCCGATAGTTTTGACCGTTCACTGGCGGTATGATGTCAATTGACTTTGTTTTTTAGTTGTGGATGGCCATGAAGTCAATGCACGCTGATGCATGCTGATTCAATCCAATGCATTTGAACCATCAATATATTGTCAGTTCATTCAATTCAATTCAACTCAATTCAATTCAATGCCATTCAGTTATGAAGCAGAAACCAGTTGTAATAACATATCAGTAATTTTCAAAAATTTCTGAGATTTTCTACCCCAGATTTTGTTTGTGGTTCTGTGCGATGGCTGCAAATTCCTTACTCAATTATGCTTTTACGTACCATTTTCACTCGAACTGGGCCCGTGTACCGGTCTATCACCTTCTTGTTATTCAGAATGCATTGGAGATCATTCAAGGGCAGTTTGAAGGCGGCAAAACAGGCGGTTAATGTTCAGCTTCGGTTCTTGAGATTCTTGGTGTGATTCATTGCTTTTTGCGTTTCACAAGCCCAGTTATATTGTTCACCACTGGAGCCAGCCTCTTTTCTATTTTAGGGTGTTTAGTATCTTGTGTCCCAATAACATCTTCATATACATCACCAATCAAATTTGGTATCTCTCTTTCAACCAACGATCTAACATCTTCACTGTCACTAAAATCAGCTCTTTTGATTGCTTTGATCACTTGACGGTACTGTGCTCTTTTCACTGGCTTTGGTAACATGTTGGAACCCTGCTTGGTGTCCAAAGACAGTTCACATCCTAAAATACCCACAACATTGCCTATACGGAACTCCTGGCGAAACCCTAGTTCTTCCCAAAAGTCTTTGGTGCTAACGGTCTTATGGCGTCCTTCTACCACCAAGTGTTCTAGAAAGCGGCCCTTGGGATCGTCAGGCAACAAGGGAATAGTATATATGGCAGGTGAATTTTCGTTCTCGTCAAAGATAGAACCTAGAGTCCACGACCCATTGACCTTCGAAATGTACTTTTTCATAGACTCGGAGTCAGAACCTGGTATGGTGACATAACACTGCCATTTTCTCTGGACTGCTATTCCATCCAAGATACCTATCCACCATTCCAACAATTGGTTCCCGTTGATGATATGCTTATTTTTGTTCTCTGACGACTCTGGAAAAAGATACTGCTCTGAGGATCTGGTAAATAGCGATATGCGGTGAATTACATTATTGGAGACGCATATTGGAGTTTTTTCGCTGCTTTGATCATGGACCAACGTCCGGTAAAATGATGGTTCAGAACGCAATTTGTCAACCAAAGACCTCACTGCCGCTACTACTGGGGACCCTTCAGCACTGCTGTGTGTTTCAATTGCCTTTCTCTTGCGTTCAACATGTTTGGTGTGTTCTTTGATATCGATGTTGTCAACGTAACTTATCATAGTCCGAACTATATCGGCCACTTTTACTTTGTGCTTTGACAAACCTGTAGTATCTGCTTTCGATACAAATATATGGTTGATTGTAGAGTCATTGGTGCATATAAGGTACACATAAAGCTCCAATCCGAGAATTATCTGTTGATCTGAGTCAACCAAAGCTAAAAAATGCTTATTCTTGAAGGTCTGTGGTTTTTCTGGGTTCTTTGTTCTTACACAGATGAAATCCTTTGTTTCGTATGTCACCGTGTACACATGCAATGCCTTGAATTTGGTGTCCTTGGGTAGATATGGAGCCAATGCCTCACCCAAAGTCATGGTGATGAAAAATCGCGACGCGAAAATTAACTAAAGAGACAAGTATTGAGACAAGTATAGAGAAGTATAAAGGTACAACAGTAGATTAGCAATCATCATAAATAGCATTCTATTCTCACGAACCAGAAAACATCTCTAGTATACAAATTATTATAAATAGTGCTTCTAGTCAACGTGCTGTCCCACCATGTTGGGCATACCCCAGCACTCATAGTTTAGGGATTTGGCAATGTAGCAAAGACCCTCTGTTTCTATACCATCGTAGCCTTCAAGGCGTTGCCAGGTGGTGCCAATGATATAATTGGGAGGAAATACCACACCTTGTTTGTAGATCATGGACTTGGCAAAGAGAATGGCACCGCCAACGGAATCAAGTTTGACAATGTAGTCTGGTCTACGACTGACATCATCAGGCGGCGTTTGTTCTTGCTGTTCGATCAAGTCCTGGAAATGAATCATCTTGCCGGGAACATCTAGAGGAACATAATCCCAATGTTCCCAGTCATTTTGATCCATTTTCAATAGTTGTTCTTCGTTCGGCACCGTCCGTTCTCCTACCCAAGAGTTTCTGTCGTAGTCAATAAGGCTACCTCTTATCACACGAGGCACTATGATGTCTTTCTTAGAAGCGATGAACTGATGGATCATATCTGGGTTCTTGATGGCCACTACATCGGCATCCATGAACACGGTGTAGCGTTCTTCGGCGAGAGTGTGCAACAACGCAAAGTTTCTGGTTCGGGCAATGTTTCTTCGGCGCAACCGCTGGACATTGTCGTTGTGTCTTTGACTTCGATCAATACTATTATAGTCTTTTTCCAAAAAAGGTGCGAAGAGAATGGTGACTTTATTGACGGAGGGCGCGTTCTGGTTGTTAGCCTTCACCAGGGCAAAGTAGTGGTGGATATACTTGTCCACTGTATTGAACTCGGACTCGTCACCAAAATAGAACCCCAAGGAAATGGCATTTTCGTCATAATCAAACGACTTGATGACAGAAAAAAAGTCTTGAAATTGACGGCCTGGACCATACGACTCCAGATTGGCAATCGTGGCCACGAAGAGTAACGAATCGTCGGCCAACGTCTTTGGAGTGTCATTATTCACGTAGGTAATTTTGGTGTAATTAAACGCCTTGTCTTCATGGACTAAACGTGAGTAACCTCGGCTTCCTTTATACGTCTTTTCCAGGAGCAGCAGTACTTGGTACATGCGGAGAGTCGATAGCACCACACATATGAGTACCAATACCGGTAACCAGAACGAAAGTAATCCACGAGAATACATCTCTGAGGACAAGTGTGTAAAGGTAGCGTGCGCGAGAACGTGGGATTTTGGGTTTGCTGTATGCAGGTCACTTACCTCTGGAGAAGAGATGGTGATAAAGGTGTGGAAAAAGAAGAAGTTATGCAAGTTTTTTCGTTAAATTTGTGATCCTCTGTGTATTCTGGTGGCCAATTGAGCCAGATTTCATGAAATTAATCATTTTTGAGGAAGGAATGTATAGATACTAAAGCTAAAATTAGCCCTTATCTATTGATTGTGTGCAGGAAATGGGCCTACCGCCCGAAATAAGATGAGTCGTTGAGAAGACCAGTTCTACCGTATGAATAATACAGTATGAACTTGAACTACAAGCAAACGAGATTTCTATCTGTCGTATCCATCTAGCTCAAATAGTTTCCCTTCACAAATTTTCTTTTTCAGTTTGAAAAATAATCCTTCAAACTATATTCCCCACTGCAGTCCTTTTCTTTCTTCGCGAACTTCTCTTTATGCCTACACTTACTTATGTCTCTGTGGGGCCCCACGATGCCTTTCCCATACGGGTTTTCGTACACAGGAGAAAGCTACTAGCGTCTACAAAATCGTCAGTGGTTGCTGTTAACCAAAGGTCTATTCTTCATCTTTCAAGAATCAATATCATCAGGCTTTCCAATGCCGACCTCGATTCACTCGTTTCAAATATTCGACATTCCTTAATGGATGTTCTCTTAAACCTGGAAATCAATCATTCGAGCTCCAAAACTACACAGGTGACATTTGTGCTCGATAAAACTGACTGGAAATGCTATGTAAAAGTGCCGGTTCACATCATGCTCCAGTTGCGATTCTACCTCAATTCGCTCACCAACCGAGACCAAGAATACCTCGAACAAAAAAACATTCATTTTTCCAAATGTGATACAGAACTATTGACAAGAGAAACAAAGTATTTGTTTAAACAGGATCCGGATGACGACAACGAGCTTGTACTGGAGAAGAAGGAGTCTCAGTACTCCATAGGTTCCAAAAGAATCATCATACCTAAAGGTATCAGCATATATGTATATAGTCGGCCTCCACGCTAATCTTTCATATTCTAGACGACATCGCTGATGATCCGCGATGCCTCGCGATAGGTATTTAACAAATCCACGCATTTCTCCCGCTCCATTTGAATGGTTTCATCTTCTTGCAACAAGTCGTCAAACATAACATCGTTGTAGAGCTTGACCACCAATCGGTTCTGGATATGCTGTTTTATGTAGTTCACCAAGAGACACATGATCGACTTGGGCACCTGGTCTTGGATCATCTCCCTGACAATGCTGAAGTACGAGATGATCAACCTTCTAATCAATTCGCATTCGAGTTGCTCGCGCTCACTGAGCTCGTTGATGGTCTCGTCGCTGTCAAACAGGTCACTGAGGCTCAACGCCTTCATATCTGGCGAAACTGATCCATTCGTCTCGTTTGGAACAAAGCTAGAGTTGAATTTCAATGTGGATTCGTGTTGCTGGGGAAACTTGAATGGCGTGGGATTTAGTTGTGCCTGGGTTTGGAGGTATTGTTGGTGCGTTATTGGGTCCTTGCCAAAGAAGTAATTTAAATAAGAATCGTGTGGTGTTCCCCCGGTCAAAGTGGGTGTTGAATCGGACCGCAAGGCTCCATTTTGTTTGGAGTCCGTTTTTTTATGCTTAACTGGTTTGATGACATCATCCACTTCATTGATATCCATTCCATCGCTGTCCTTCTCGCTCTCGCTATTCTCTTCAGGAGAGTCACTTCTGTTCCCGTTGAGGATGCGCTCGCTGGCCAACTTCAATTTGTCTTTCAGGTTGAACTCCATTTGACGTTGACGCTCTTCCACAACCATGCTCATAGCCTTGGCAGCGCCAACAAAATTGGGATGGTTGGTATTGATATAAGCAGTGTGGATCTCGATCAACAGTTCCACATACTTGATGGTGGGACCCAAACGTTCCCTCAATAAGTCTGAAACAACCTCAATAAGCTTGCTTTGAAGACGAGGATATCTGTTCAATTCCACTCCTATGCCAGTGGAGCAGACGTTGTGTACTATTTTCATCAACTCCTCATAAACGAGTTCCACGCACTTGTGTGAAGGTTCTTCGAGAAGCTTGATTTGGGGTTTAACGAGGAGGTCGAACGCGAGTTCTGGCACAAACAACGATGGACGAGGACCAGTGGAGTTGCGGATTGCTGTTCTGATGTCATGGATAGACAAGTTGTGAGTGGGGTTGATCGACGCCAACTGAGATCCAAATACTTCATTGTAAATGTAATAGATACGAGCACCACCGCAAAGTTCTTTGGTGCTGACTTCGGACATGGATGTACCTTCGATAGAATTGACAAAGCTATTGGCGAACTTGGTCATCAAGCTCAAAACCAACGCACCACGTCCCTCTTTGGAATCGTTTAAATTGGCAGGGGTATCGCCATAGGCTGCCAATTCCTGTTCAGTTTGTCCCATGAGAGTGTTTAACTTGGCCTTGATGTCTGGAAGACGATCACGAATATGATTCATTAATATCTTATTCAAGGTCTGGGCCAAATACCTGGTACCACACTTGTTGGACATGGTTTTATAGGAGGGGTGGCTAGCAAAGAACTGCTGCTCCGCAAAAAGTGAGTCTTCCAACAGCTTGTTCTCGGAGATATCACGTTGGGATCTATTGACAATGCCAATGAATCCAAGCTTCAATGGATACACATTACCCTTGAGAATGTCCAAAGCATTCGTTCCCTGGTCCATCAAATCAAGCTTGGTCAAGATACCAACGGTTCTCTTTCCCGTGGGATCGACTTGCCTTGCGAGTTTTAACGATTCTGAGTTGACCAAGTCGACATTGGCTGGCGACACCGCCAAGATAATACAGTTTGGCTTGGCGATATACTCCAGAATGAGGGATCTCGTCTGTCTCTCGATATCGGTGGGCTGGTCACCAATGGGTATTTTGGTCAATCCAGGAAGATCCACCACTGTCAAATTCAACACGTTGGGCGAGTAAATCTTCAAGTTGATTGGGATTCTACTGATACCCTTGTTTTCGCCAGCAATTCTAGCAGTCTCGTTTTCAATCTCATTACGAATGTCGTGGAAATTGAAAAACTTCTTCTTTGGAATGTGCAAAAATTCACCCCATTCCCGAACTTGGTCTTTGCTGCTCTTTGTTTTGGAGGTTTGCTTGCGCAAATGTGCTTCCAAATCCACCTCAGTTTCCTCCTCGGAGTACTGTGCTACTTTCCTCGCATCCTCTGCCTTGATATTGATAAGCTGGAGTACCAACGGTCTTCTGGTGACGATTCCAGTGCCTCGAGGAAGAAAGTCTTTGCCTACAATATTCTCCAAAACAGACGATTTTCCACACGATTGCGAACCCACCACAGCAAGAATTGGAAGATCCAAGTCTGCTAACTGGGTGGTGGTGACAATGTCCTGGAGCTTGTTCACCACAGGGATGAGATCCTGAAGTGACATGGCGGCCAAGGGAATTTAGGGTTGTGTTATGTGTACGCAAAAGTCAGAAAATGCGGCGAATCGATTCGCCAGCTGACATAAGCGGCACAACAGCAATCATAGACAGTGGGTGTAGGAGGTGGGAGGTGCGGACAGAGGATACCAGACTTGGCTGAGATTATGCCAGGTGTGTTAAATGCGGGGTGTTTTGGAGTCTGGTATGGGTATTGTACAGGGTTGAGAACGTGTTTTGGAGTATTTGGTATTCTTTTTGGGCCACTTATTGTGAGGCTCTGAGATGCCGTGCACAAGTAGATTTCGCACCCAAAAATAGTTGCGAGGAGTTCCGCCGAAATTATCTCAGAAAAAGCTGAAGTCGTATTGGGTGAGAAGACAGTAGTACCAGAGTATTAGGAAGGTCATAAAAAGTTCTTCTGATTTGAGTTTGAGGTTTAAATTTGTTGAGACTTGTTGAGATTACTAGTGGCTTCGCCTAATTGACTCTTTCCTACTCTTATTTTCCGATGCCCATCATTGACAGGCTCCGCGCACTCGCATTTTCCGCGCGCTCGCCGGGGCTTATGTCGCTTGCGGGCCACAGTCAAATACAGGGTGTGCGCACCAGAGTTCCTTTTAATCGCTCCAGGTTTATCCGCAATTATTGTGCCCGTCATCATATGTGTCAATTGAACAATCTTGCCGGCTCTGCGTCTGCTCCTCATAGAGAGGTGCTTCCCACCAACGTGAAGCCGCTCAAATATACTCTTTCTTTCGAACCTGATTTCACCAATTTTACCTTTGCTGGTACGGAGACAATCGAATTAGCAGTGAATGACCTGTCGGATTCCATCACCCTTAACTCCACCGAGATCACCATCCACGATGCCAATGTCAGTGATGTTCCTGTCAAGTCAATTGACTACGACGAAAAGGGCCAAACTGCCACTTTCCACCTTGCTGACACCTTGACTGAAGGCTCTATTGTCCATCTCAACATCAACTTTTCTGGTATTCTTAACGATAAGATGGCCGGGTTCTACCGCTCATCATACAACGACAACGGAACCACCAAATACTTGGCCACTACCCAGATGGAACCTACGGATTGTCGCCGGGCATTCCCATCCTTCGATGAACCAGCATTGAAGGCCAAGTTTGACATTTCTTTAATTGCCGACCGCAATCTTGTGTGTTTGTCCAACATGAACGAGAAGTCAACCACGCTCTTGGACCATGATCGCAAGAAGGTTACCTTCAACACTACTCCATTGATGTCCACTTATCTTGTCGCATTTGTTATCGGAGACTTGAAATACGTTGAAAACAACTCGTACAGAGTACCCATCAAAGTCTATGCCACTCCAGGCTCAGAACATTTGGGCCAGTATGCTGCTGACATCACTGCCAAAACCTTGGTCTTTTTCGACAAAAAGTTCGATATTCCTTACCCATTACCTAAGTGCGACTTGGTGGCTATTCCAGACTTTTCAGCTGGTGCCATGGAGAACTTTGGCCTCATTACATTCAGAAACGCTGACTTGTTGATAAATCCTAAAGAGACAGATGTCACCATGTTGACAAGAGTTACCGAGGTGGTGATGCACGAATTGGCTCACCAATGGTTCGGCAATTTGGTGACTATGGACTTCTGGGACGGCTTATGGTTGAACGAAGGTTTCGCAACTTGGATGTCGTGGTTTGCCTGTAACTCGTTGTACCCCGAATGGAAGGTTTGGGAGTCCTACGTCAGCGACACATTGCAAGGTGCTATGAATTTGGATGCTTTGAGATCGTCTCATCCAGTCGAAGTTCCTGTTCAGAGAGCTGACCAGATTAACCAGATTTTCGACAACATTTCCTACTCCAAAGGTTCCTCGTTGTTGAAGATGATTGCCGACTGGTTGGGTGAAGATGTGTTCATCAAGGGTGTCTCCAACTACTTGAAAAAGCACAAGTGGGGCAACACCCAAACCTCTGACTTGTGGGCCTCTTTGAGTGAGGCAAGTGGTGAGGACGTTGTCAAGGTAATGGATATCTGGACCAAGAAGGTGGGCTACCCAATCATTGATGTCAAGGAAGACGGCAAGAAGATTACTGTCACTCAAAACAGATACCTCACTTCGGCAGACGTCAAACCCGAGGAAGACGAGGTCTTGTACCCTGTTTTCTTGAATGTCAAGACAAGCGAAGGCACCGACAGATCGTTGGTTTTGGACACTAGAAGTAAGACATTTGACTTGAGCACTTCAGACGATTTTTTCAAGCTCAACAGTGGTCAAACAGGTATTTACAGAACATCTTATGACCAAACCAGATGGGCAAAGCTTGGAAAAGCTCCTGAAAAATTGTCTGTTGAAGATAGAGTTGGTTTGGTGGCCGATGCAAGAGCCTTGTCTGTTTCGGGGTACATTCCAACTACTGACTTGCTCAACTTGGTGAGATCATGGACCGACGAGAAAAATTATGTTGTGTGGGATACAATTTTGGGTAGTGTTAGTTCCGTGAGAAGTGCTTTCAAGAATGTGTCTGACGAAGTTGATGATGCACTCAAAGCCTTCACTCGTGAATTGATCAGCAAACAACTTCTCCAAGTAGGATGGGACTTCAAGGACACTGACTCGTTTACCGAACAACAGCTCAAGCAGTCCCTTTTCTCTTCCGCTTCCGCAGCCGATCAGGAAGAGGTTGTGGCCGACTGTCAGAAAGCATTTAAAGACTATGTCGCTGGAAACAAGAACGCTATCCACCCCAATTCAAGATCGTCTGTTTTCACCGTGGTAGCCAAGAAAGGTGGTAAGGAAGAATTTGACCAACTTTACAAAATCTACTTGAACCCTCTGTCAGCCGAAGAAAAGCTTGCTGCTTTGAGAGTTCTCGGTCGGGTACCAGACAAAGAGTTGCGTGCCAAGTTGTTAGACTTGTCTTTGAAGTCTGACGTTATCAAGCAACAAGACATGCTCTATGCCATGGTAGGATGCACCGTTGATAAAGATGCTGCTTCTCAGTTGTGGCAGTGGTTTACTGTCAACTGGGACAAAATTTACAAGATCTTACCCCCAGGTTTGTCGATGTTGGGTAGCGCCGTTAGCGTTGCCATTCGTGGTTTGGGTACTGCCTCTGACAAAGAGAACGTGGAAAGTTTTTTCAAAAATAAGGACACTGCTGGCTTTGACCAGGCATTGGCGCAATCTTTAGAAGCCTTGAACAGTAAAATTGCATGGGTCGAGAGAGACTCTCAGGCTATCAAGGAATGGATTTCTACAAACGGCTACAAATAACTACTGAGTAGGTTGTGAATTTATCGGTCAGTTCACAACTCAGCCGTTCATGGAATATCGATGGTTCTATACAAGTAACTGATATGAAAATCTTTGTACGCTTCTAAGTTGTCTTCAAATACTCCGCTGCTACTGGCAGAATGTACGTCGATAAATGTGTCTTCTTTCTTGGAAGGTTTGAATGAACAACAGTTGACATAGTATGGAACAAGATTGTGCTCCTTGATACAATCAGCATGCAAAACAATACTCTTTAAGCTGGTAAAGTCAGCTACAAGTTCGTTCTCTCGTTTCAAAAAGTGCTTGATAGCCATCTCTAGCATTGTAGGAGCCGAACGTTTCATGAACGACGTAAAAGCTGTTATTTCGATGTCTTTTATCGACAGATTAGAGCTCCTCAAATCGCCATCGTACGATTTAAACCCTACGCTGCCTAGAACTCTATTCACTTGTGAGGGTGTCAATTCTTCATCACTGTTATAGTAGGTAACTTTGACATCGGAGTCAACGTTGAACGAGAGTTGAGGAAGGTACTCGTCAGGTATATCACAGTCAATACTACGTTCCCATGAATCGGACGGTGTTTCGAACTTCCTGCTGTAATTGTGGTTGAGCCCAAGTTTTTCAAACTGTTTTTCGGGTCCCAAAAGTAATAAAATGCAAAAGTCGTCATTTTCGTGAACTCTAAAGTTGTCCAACATAGACATGCTTGTTTTGATCCTGGGGGTTTTTATAATGCCATATTTGAACATAGCCTTGCTGTATCCCTTGTTGATGATTTTCAGAAATTTATCATACTTGGGCCCATACGGTTCCGATAACCATTTTCTGGAGAGAACAAGAAACTCCATTAAGCGAAACTCATTTCGCACGAAAATATGTACAGTCTATCTTTTCAGTTTGAGCTTAATTTAGATGCAAATATGTATGGTGCAACTATGCTATGTCTGGTTCTTATGCTAATATATTGCTGGAGCTGGTAAAATCATCCACCTTCATGAACCGCAAAACCATCATGAATTGGTTAACTTCAAATGGAAATGATTGTCTGAATTTGATCACATGTTTCCACCGTTTGGCATTCATCTTTGGATGCTGCGAGAGACGGTCCCACAAGAAGTCGCCGCCAAGGCATTCTTTGACGTTTTGAACCTGAATGTCGTATTTTTTGGTGAAAACTGGCTGTTTGGCTTTGCGCTGTAGGAACGTTCCCCATATTAAAATGTGGCCAATTAATGCTAGCATGGAGTAGTCGAACGAGTTCTTGTGTATATCCTTTGTGGACGGCGTTAGTCGAGTCTTGGTAGTTGTAAGATTGATCTCGGGATATCCACCGAACCACTCAATCACTTGAGGCCATTTTCTCGCTACTTTCTTGAACCCCATTGACTCCATCAATGCCACTTCCACGCAAAGCTGGAGAAACACTCTTTTGCGTTCGTAATCCTCGAACAAATCCGAAGTCTCTCTTTTGGCAAACTTCAATATATTCTGTATCGTCTTACTACCCGAAGATACTAGAAGCTTCAACTTTACGTCGTTGAGCGGAAGAGACAATATTTGGGAATTCGAGAGTCCAATTATCGATGTAGTTGGTTCCATGGCAGTTAAAAAGCTTTTTTGAGGTGCTTTGGGAACAGTTCTAGTGGACTGTGCACTGCGGGAAGGTGTCAGTTCTTGGCCGTCAGTTGATGCAGATGAAGAGTGGGTTTCGCTTGGTACTCCCGATTCTTGAGATTGTGGAGGAAAGCCGTCTTTCTCTGCATCTTTTACATGTTCCTTCTTCTTTCTTTGTCTCTTTTTCTTCGCTTTCTTAGCTGGAACACTACTTGAAGTTTCTGATTCTTTGCTGGTATTGTGAGGGCTTGGTTCAGGGGTCACCGGCTCGTCATTTTCATCACTGGAGAAGTTTATACCATCCATATCTTTTGTAATTTCTTCCATGCTGATTTTGTACTTTCCTTTGATTAATTTTTGGCCTTGTTTCTGGTTGGTAGAAACCACGTTTTGAGATACCTTGACGAACTTTTCACTTTTGTTGAGCGTGGACGACTTCAGGAGAAGAAACTGAAGATCTGCCTCGAATTGTTCATCCGCTTCCATGTGTATCTGTGCCTGAACCGTAGCTCGCGAAAAACCATTGACTGGCTATGTGTGCAGGAAAATTGTACGAACTATACCAATGTAGGTCTTCTTTTACACGCTGACAACAATAACATCTTATTTTATATAGATCTTGTCTATGCCATATCTACCGTCTTGGCTGCTTAGAAAGAAGCAACGAAAGACTCAGTAGCAGACTTCAACTTCTCCAAGTCGTCCTTAGACAACTCACCCTTTTCACGGATGGCTTCCAAGATCTCAGGTTGGTTGGACTTCAAGCTAGAGATGTAAGCCTCCTCGAACTCTCCGACTCTGTCGACGGCGATGTTATCTAAGAAACCGTTGACACCAGCGTAAATGACAGGAACTTGCTCCTCAGCAGACAAAGGAGAGTATTGCTTTTGCTTCAAAAGTTGGGTCAATCTCTCACCTCTAGCCAAGGTTTGCTTGGTAGAAGCATCCAAATCGGAACCGAATTGGGCGAAAGCAGCGACTTCTCTGTATTGAGCCAAGAACAATTTCAAAGAACCAGCAACTTGCTTCATGGCCTTAACTTGAGCAGCAGATCCGACACGGGAAACCGACAAACCAACGTTAATGGCAGGTCTGATACCCTTGTAGAACAATTCAGCCTCCAAGAAAATTTGACCATCAGTAATGGAAATGACGTTAGTTGGAATGTAAGCTGACACATCACCACCTTGAGTCTCAATGATTGGCAAAGCGGTCATGGAACCACCACCCAAGGTATCAGACATCTTAGCAGCTCTCTCTAACAAACGAGAGTGCAAGTAGAAAACATCACCAGGGTAAGCCTCACGACCAGGTGGACGTCTCAACAACAACGACAATTGACGGTAAGCAACAGCTTGCTTGGACAAATCATCGTAGATGATCAACGAGTGTCTACCGTTGTCTCTGAACCATTCACCAATGGCAGCACCAGTAAAAGGAGCCAAGTATTGCAAAGGAGCAGCTTCAGAAGCAGTAGCGGCAACAATGATGGAGTACTTAAGAGCATCAGCCTTTTCCAAAGTTTGCACCAATTGAGCAACGGTGGATCTCTTTTGACCAACGGCAACGTACACACAGTACAACTTCTTCTTCTCATCAGAACCATCGTTCCACTTCTTTTGGTTCAAGATGGTGTCCAAAGCGACAGCGGTCTTACCAGTTTGACGATCACCAATGATCAATTCTCTTTGACCTCTACCAACTGGCACCAAAGCATCGACCGATTTCAAACCAGTTTGCATAGGTTCGTACACGGATCTTCTTGGCAAGATACCTGGAGCCTTAACTTGAGCTCTAGAGGAAGAAGAAGCATTCAATGGTCCCTTACCATCGATTGGGTTACCCAAACCGTCAACAACACGGCCCAACAATTCTGGACCAGTTGGAACGTCGACAATCTTACCGGTTCTCTTGACGGTTTCACCTTCCTTAACCAAGGCATCGGAACCGAACAACACAATACCGACTTGACCGGCTTCCAAGTTCAAAGCCATACCCTTAACACCGGAACTGAACTCAACCAATTCTTCGGCTTGACAGTTGTTCAATCCGAAAACACGGGCAATACCATCACCAACAGACAAAACTCTACCGGTTTCGTTCAAGTTGGCCTCATCGGAAACACCTCTAATTCTCTCTTCGATGATGGAGGTGACCTCAGTAGGGGCAGCCTTGGCGGAGGCGAAACGAACAGCAGCAACTTGAGCTGGACGGGCCTGTAGTTAGTATGTGATTACGAAGTAGCAGGTCGATATGGGACCAGTTATAACCCCCGGAAATTGAGATGTCGTGGAATCGGCTCTCATCCAATGAGAAGGCGCCATCACAAAGTCAACGGATTCCGGTGAATACTCCAATTGAGAGCAATGAAACGGTAGACTGGCACTACCATAGCTGCCTTGGACACTCTTGAGGTTGAATTGGCCGAGAAGCACTACGATTTCATCGATTTCGGCAGTTTCGCCATTCAGCAAAACCACCAACAAACACATCAAATCGGCAAAAACGTAGCTATTTCGCCGCTGAAAAGCTTCAATGTCATACTTGGCATGCTCCTCTTTATTGTGAACCAATATGAGCGGCCAATTTAGCCTCCTTATGATTCTACATCCAAAATCATGGTGACACTTCACCTGGAAAAAGTACTTACCACACGCAAAGTTCTGGCAGCTAAGGCAGCTGATCTCGCAGCAGAACGCAATACTGGACGAGCTGACAACATTGTTTCTCTTTAATATATCCCTAGAATAAACTGGTATCCAGAGAAAAAAAAACGACTATATATGCCAATGAAAAATCTCCCTCGTTGAGCGCTAACGCGGGAGCCGGTCCCAGGACGCAATTTGATTGGCGGACGCTTTGAGAGTGGAGTGCGGGTAACGCCTACCGGACTTTTGTATTGGTAGTTTTGCACTTGAATGACAGGTTATGGGCTCAGTAAAACGTATATACAGTTTAGGTGCTGTAAGTTCTCTACAGGAGAGTTTTGGGGTCCAATTGACCATCAGAAGTGTAGATGGTATACCGTTCATATTCCCTACTATTGTCTTACTTCATCACTGGCCTCCGCTTACGTGAGCTTCGGTCGCAGTTTTTACCGATTTTCTCAAGGTGAAAAATCGTCATGTTGAAACAGACCTCTCGAAGATGGTACTCCACAGGAGGCGACAATTCCATGTTCTTGTCGGATCTTCTCACGAGAATTGACAAGATCACGGCAAACACGAAGAAAATAGTGGAACCTCGTAAAGATGCTAATAAAATGCAGTCCAAGTCAAATCGGTTGAACAAGACCGGCGATAAACAGAAAAATACCGGCTCTAATATGAAACCCAAGGGCCAAAAGGCTGCTTCGGGTGCTCAGGGGGCTCCACAATCGGTAGTGAGGCGGCAAAAGGTGCAAGTTGCCGACCATCCTATGGCATACCAGGCATTCAATGCTCTTAAAGAATCGGGCCCAAAACATTCTGGACCACGTCAGAATCGTAGTTCTGCCCCTCGTGGCACATCCCAGCATAACTCTCGCTCGCCACGTACGTCTCGTACTTCTGGCAGTGAAAACTCGGGCCAACGTCGACCACAGAGAGGAACGTCAAGACAGCGTTCGCCAGTGGTAGCTAAGCCTTTGAAGTCCAAGACTGTCAGCAGTGGTCCATTGGTTCCTCAGTTGTCTGGGGAGACATTTTTGTATGGAAAAGTGACTTCTGTATCAGCAAACTTAAGCTCTCGAGTCGCAGCTGTCACCAAGGAAGCACTCATCAAGTCGCAATATCCATATAAATTGCCCAAGTCTATTATTCAAAATTTGGACGATGCTCCCAAAAACAAGTACTTGGCTCAGGCAAACTACAACACCGACGTTGATGCAGAAAAATTGGCTACAAGAATCAACGAGGTTGTTCGCGGCCAAGTTACGGAGTTGAACGGGTCTCTGGATCATCTCAAATCACCCGAAGAGATCAGAATGGCTGAGTTTGCAAAGGCACAATTAATGAAGAACGGAGACTTGGATCTTCCATCAAAGACATTGATTTACAATATTGCCAGTGGCTTACAATCTCCCAAGTCCTTGATGGAGGGAAAGCATTGGGTCAAGTAATGTACATAGATTAGGTACTTAAAGGTACAAAGACCGCAAGGACAGACAGAAAGATGAAAGTAGATGGTAAAACTAGACAGTAACGAGACAGTAACTAGACAGTCTATCAGCTATCTAATAGAATAGCTTTGGCGAACTAAAGGTTCATGGAACGTTCGTGATTCATATCTTGTTGAACAAGGTTCGAGCAGTGGCAGTACCTTTTAAGTACTCCAGCGTTTGCATCAGCTCTTTATACGACCACAAGAACGGCGTAGTGATCAGAAATCCGAGGTATCCAAGCATGAGTCTCGATGTAAACACCTTCCCTATCTGGGCCGAGTGCATCTTATGAAATAGTATAGGCTTTGAAATAGTGTAGTATAGGTTTGATAGTTGCAGTATACTTAGTACTAAAGTACAGCGAGAGTGTTGTTATATGTATCGGACCTGCGCAATCGTACCACCACCAAATTTGGAAATGCAGCCCGAGGCCGATATGCACATCCATCGCATCTTTAGTATTTGCAGCCGATAACAATGGTAGTTTAGGGAACGAGATCAATGGGGATCCTCGTTTCTCAATGAACAATCCCCCTTAGTATAATTTGTTCAATAGCATAGGTCATGGTTTTCCTTCCTATACGACTCTATCTATCCAATCAATAGGTAGTACTACAATTGCACCTTTGCACAACAAAAAAAAATAGTTCCTGCATCACGCCACAATTGCGTGTGCCTGTGGCTTTAGCACTGAACCGCTGTGGTTTAACTGCAGTAGTTATCCCATGTCATATGCAGAAGTGCAATGTGGATCCACCTAATGGGTCCTGTGGACTCACTGTGTCCAATGATAACTGACAATTAATAATCTTTGCAATTACTAATCTTCAATCTTGTTGCACTTTGGCATACGTGGGTGGCCGGATGCGTCTACTGATTGCAAGCGACACCCACACGGGCAACAAACTAACCACCAAAATTACCGCCGTGTGCCATATATAGCTGAATGACGTAACATAGTCCAAATCGTAGTAATCGCCCAAAAATGGAATGGACCCGACATAAATCATAAATGTGATGATAATTGTTAACATCATAATTCGGTTCCACTTGTTAATTTGCAACCCCACCATGATCAACTCGTTATAGACTAATGCGGAGAACAGAAGTGCCACCATAATTTTGAAGGTGCTAGGATCGATTCCGTCGAATTTCTGGCTCAATAGCTGGATCACAACTCCCTGATAAAGTGAAATCAAAACCCACATGAAAAATGTCTTGTACGATAATGCCTTGCCAAGAGTCAATTCACGATAAAGCTCGGGATATAGTCTTGTCAAATGCTCATCAATATCACAGTCGAGCGTTAAAGAAAACACTGGGGCCATCGTATAGAGTGTAGCGTATCCTACCATGAGCCATCCTTGGTATAAGGCTAGTGGTTCGAACTTGGAACAGATCGAGTATACTGCCTGTGCAACTGAAATAAGAAGTCCTCTGTGAATCACAAATTGTGCAAGCTTTGCTGAGCGCTTGTATGAGTTTCTTCCATGCCACAAAAGCAATTTTTGCAAGTAGCAGAATTGATCAATGCTGAAATCGGCTGCTAAAGAAGCTTGCTTTCCTTCCTTTCCTACAATTCCAACTCCCACATCAGCACATTGAATCATGCTCACATCATTTCCTCCATCTCCAATACAGCATACTCGCTTACCCGTTGTCTCTTTGATTAACAACGCAACATCTGCCTTCTGTTGAGGAGTGCACCTACAAGCAATCACAGCAGGAAGATGAATAACCACCGATAAAAATTCCTGTCGATAATGCTTGAGGTAGACTGCTAACGATTCACCATCGATGAGAAGACAGGCTTGAGTATCGGACTTGAGGTACTCCAATTGTGGTAGAGCCATATCGGGATGAGACAATTTGGTGATTTGGTGAACATATTGTCCCCTATATATGAGTCGAGCACTGATCGAAACACACTTGGCAGTCTCAACCTTATCACCTGTCAACATCCATATCTTCAATCCAGCGTTCCTCAATAGTTCGATAGAGGTCTTGACATCCATTTGAAGTTTATCCTCAACTCCTGTGAGACCCAAAAGTTCCAAATCTTGTTCGAGCAACTGCGAAATAACCCTTTGCATCGAAGCCTCACGCTCATGCATTGCTACTGATGCTTTCTGGTACTTGTTGACAAACTCTTGGAACAATTCGCTTCCCAACTTTTTGCGTCCAATTACAAGCGTTCTAAGACCTTCCCTAGCCATGTTACCAGTCTCCTCGTCTAACCAGTCGCTTGATGTCACAATGGGTGCCATGACAGTATCTGCTCCCTTTTGCATAAACCAAACTTCGTTTCGTTGGATATCCTTTACAACGATACCCATCCGCTTAGTCTCTGAGCTGAAGGGGAAAATGTAAAAGAATCTCAAAATCAAGTATTGTGTTGGAGCTTGTGTGGTATAGAGTTATCGACTGGCGATCTCTCTTTACTAATTTCAAACCAACCAGCTCAGTGAACTTTACAATTGCCGTTTCGTCCGGCGATGCAGCTTGATAGGTCACCGCGGTACCGAAATCAGAGTCTTCTTCGTCATAGGTAGGAGTGACATTGTGACAAAGTGCAAGTGTAAGTACCAAATCGCAAACTCTTCCACTCAAATCTCGCTTCTTAGGATGATTTGTATCAATCAATGAAAGCATACCAGCAACGTATTCTCCCACCATATCAAGAGTATCTCCCGAATAGCTCACGCTACCTAGATGCAATTTCTTCAACTCCATATCGTTCTGGGTCAATGTTCCTGTCTTGTCCGATAATAAGTACTCTATTCTTCCCAAATCCTCAGGAATGGTCGATGTTCGTACAATGGTACCTTCGATCTCGTAATCTCTTTGAATTTGCGATGCGTAAACGGACTTTGCCAAGTCCAAGTTCACTCGAAGCGATACGGGAATGATTGTTGAAAATAGAATAAGAAATCTGAGAATGTCAATGTACCATGTGGACTTCAATGGCCAGCCGTGGGCCAAAACCAATGCAACGGATAGAACGAGAACAACTATGCAAAGAATCTTGGAGATTTTGTTGATTTCCAATTCCAATAACCCAGTCTTTACTCCAGTCTTGGTAGTATTAAGCAGCTGCCTTGTCTCGTATCCAGTGTAGATCACGATACCAATAGCCAGTCCCAGGGCCAAGACCGTGTTGGCCCATAAAGTTTGGTCGATAGTTAACGGGTAAGTTTGATCAGATGATGAGGTATCCTGTTGGTGAGGGCGATGAATAAGTTTTCCCGCAAAGCTATGAATCGATTTGGTGGGTTCGGAGACAATCAAGGAAATGCTGTCTGAAAGTTGTGAAATGCTAGTAAGCGACTGGGTTGCATTGAGAGCAACACGTAGTTTCCAGTCGGTTTCTCCATCCAATTGATCTGTCTTGATGAATGCCTCTCCTGTTCCGTCCTTCTCTGAAGTTTGGAGCAAAATCATATCGGCTGGTACTCTGGTATCTTTATGAAGACGAACCAAATCTCCCACTTTTAGGTTCTTGGACTGCACCAACTTTGCCTCTGGTGCTATCAGACTCGCGCGATTGAGCACCTCGTAGAGTTCGTTGTTCTGTTCTCTATCACGATGTCTTCTGGAAAGATCATCGAGAGCCTCTTTGAGCATTGTTACGGTGAGCACAAATGCCAACGGAACAATATAGGAACTAAGGTATCCGATTCGCAATTGCGGTACGATCTGCGACAACGCCACGAGGAGGAAAATAAAGGTTGAAGAAAAACTTGAACTGTTCGTAGAGAATAATCGGGATGAATGTGATGGGATTATACTTGGCATTGGAGACGGCATTTGTAGGGTACGACGACTTTCTGGAGTTATCTTTGGGGCTGATGTACCGCTCGCCAAACTGGCGTTGGTCGGGTGAATCTGTTGTGTCTTTAGCATTCATGGCTCTTATTCGTTCGTCATTAAGCTCTTTGCGTGCTCTTTGAAAAAAATTTATGAATCGCTGAAAAAACAGTTGCTCCCCACGGACGGCCCGCCTAGTATCTATGGAGGTCCGTCCACCTATTAAAGGAGAGCTGTCGTTTTCGTAGTCTCTAGAATCACGTTCGTGGCCAACCATGGTGGAAAGAGGAATGGCATTATTTGAACCGGAACTGCTTTGGCGCACACTAGGAGGAGTGTTGTATGTGAAGATGGTGTTCAGCGCACGATTCAATGCCTTGTCCAACGAATTATCGAGATCGTCAAACGAATCGATTGAATCCATGTTGTAGGGTTTCATGGCCGTGTGGTCCGCAGCGTGAACAAAAAGAGGTCGCGGGTGTGCATATGGGGCGAAGAGGACGAAGAAGGTACGGAGGGCCATTGGTAGTTGGAAAGCAATTGAGTTTGCAAAGTGGGCCAATTCGTTGCTTTAACTAACTCAGATTCGATTTCTCATCTCCTCTAGTTTTTATACTTTTTCAAAATTGTCTTTTGTGGCCCAATTCTCTCGCCGTTCCGTCTCTGTGGTTTCCTGGATACAGCGTTCTGTCGCATATCTTTCTTCTTATCAATAACACTGTCGCACCATGAATGACGGCGACGAGCAGGAGTTGTTGGCTGTAACGGCAGTTCTGACCTCGCGTAGCGACGGGCATATGCTCAATTCCTTTGATGTCTTGAAAAATGCTTCTGATGCCCAGAAACAGCAAACTAGCACTGCCCTCACCAAGTCATGGGAGTTCGTCAAGTTGCAATTATGTCGGTACCACAACACTTTTGAAGACTTTGTGCTCAAATCTGAGCCCAGTGACTGCTCCCTAGTGGCCAAGTACTCCAGTGTGGTGGATATCGACCTTCGTCATCAAGATTTATCGGTGGAGTCGGTGTCGTTGGTTTCGATGCACATACCTCATCCATTAGTCAATTTTATGCGGAACGAAACCAATAAACACCAGGCAGAAGCGTTGCACGTGCCGCAGGATTTACAGGAGTCGCCGGTGTTTTTCTTTGTTCATGGCTTGGGCGGCCAAATGTCTCAGTTTGAGCCACTCATGGGTCTTCTTTCGCAGTGCCTGGAAATATTATCGGTGGATCTCCCAGGATTTGGGAACTCTCGTCGCTCTTTCGAAAACCAGGGCAAGTCAATCACCATCTTGTCCGAAGAACAAAACGCAAAAGTCTCTAACTCGATACTGCTGATGGCCACGAGCGATTTTTCCACAAACAAATTAGTGTCCATCTTGTATGAATATGTTAACCAGCAGATACCTCAAGGCAAGAAGGTGGTATTGGTGGGCCACTCTATGGGCACCCACTTGGCCGTAAAGTTGGCTAAGAAACTACCTGCGCACAAAGTGGAAGGATTAATATTGCTCTCACCACCTCCATTTCACGACGATACCGTGCCTCAAAAATCCGATCTCTTGTCGTTTATGAAAGTTTTTGCACGCTCTTCATGGTTGTTCAATTGCTTTAGAGTGTGGGATCGACTCGAGGGCTTGGAGAGTAAAAGCGTATTGCGCCAGCTTGCAAAGAACAATACTAATATTTATAATAGCTTGCGTCAACTTCGGTGGAATTTAGATATTGACACAGATATCATTCTCAAGTATATTGACGGGTTTCAACGTGCCTCCTATACTGATCTTCTTGCCGCAATAAGAAACTTCAACGATCGTCTGGCAGACAAAAACACCTATGAAAAGACCCTTTTCGTGGGTGGTTCAGAAGACCAAGTAACCGCATGCAAAGTGGTGCACGAGACAGATTACTACCTCACTAAAACATTTGGTCGTCAAGTTTCAAGGGCCATTGAGATCCCCAATGCCGGTCATTCGCTTCTCTTGGTGAAGCCCGAGTATATCAGTGGAGTGATATTGAACCACATCGAAGCCAAGTTTCCGGAAAGACTTCACCTTTCCCCTGCGTGGGTTCTACAAGTCAAGGCTAACATTTCTGGAGATAAGTGGGGGTTGAAAAACGAGCAGAAATGGTTGGACTTGAACCCGTTGTCTTTAAACATTACCCGCAATGGCGGGAAAGATATGGCACCTCTCTTAGGCATGAAGACTCTACGTGAAGGAGACTCCACTCACTCACCGCAAATTCTCGAGAACCTCTTTTATTCGGATAAGAAACATCCGTCTATACAAGGCACCTTGGCTGCCATAATCGACATATCGGCTGATATTCCTCCCTACAGCCCCAAAAATTTCAAACACATCATGTACTATAAATGTGCAACCGTCTCCAAGGTGGTACCGGACCAGGGGTCTGTGCGCAGGTTTATACAGCTTGTGGACGATATTCTTAATAATTGCGACGTTCCTCACCCCTTAATAGCGGTTCATTGTCATTATGGATTCAACAGGACTGGTTTCTTGATTTGTTCCTATCTCATCGAGCGGCTTGGGTGGACGGTGCGCGAAGCTGTTGAAGGATTTCGAATGGCCCGAACCCCGGGTATTAAACACCCCCACTTTATAGATGCGTTATATGTACGATACGAGTAGCTGGAGATGTCTGGTTGCCGTTTTTTTAGGTTTTAGATGCCTGGTGGCTATACTCTCTTTCAGCCCCACGTTTCAGCCGTTCGTGCGTGTCCACCCAAGCACCGAGAACTTTGGACTTTTGCGCTGAGACTGATTCGGAGAGATTGATCGTATACTTCCCATATAGCTGTACCATGAAGTTTGGCGAGTCCCTCAGCGAGGGCTTAGTTCCCGAATGGAAGGGGCAGTACTTGGACTACAAATTGGGAAAGAAAATGGTCAAGGCAGCTTCCAAACGAATGCAAGAAGATTTCGATTCTAGAAAACCAAATGATCTAACTCCTCTTCTCGATGCTGAAAGACAAGGAACGGTGCCAGATTCGTACAATATCGATGATCCAAACTTGAATGAAAGCGAAATGCAGCAGCAGCCAGAGACCCGTGCCAGTACAAAAAGTGGACCAAGCTCCATAAAATTTCCATTTTTTGGTTCGAAAGATAAGGCAACTTCTCTCAAGGAAAAAGACCAGTTCACCGAATGGCTCGATGAAGAGCTTGCTAAGGTGGAGCTGTTCTATCGAGAAAGAGAACAAGAAATTTACGAAAGATTTTTGCTTTTACAGGATCAACTATACCAACTTCGGGAGCAGAAAAAGGTGAACCGTACCGTGGCAGCAAAGCACAATCGTGAGAGCCATCGTATCGCCCATGTGCCCCAGACCGAGGCAGTATATCATACAGTAAATGAGTTGGCATTTCATACTCGTTCAGCGTTATCTATGTTGCAACGGTTAGAATTACCGTCCCTTCCTTCCACGGTGTTTCTCAAACAATGGAGAAAGAAACGACGTTCGGACGACGTTTCTATGACAGACGAATACATATACGACCCCAATTCTGCCCAGAACCGTATCAGAAATGGGCTATCATTCGATAACGACGATGAAAGTTCAATAGATTCTGAGGGTCAAAAAGCCCTGAGTGTTACCTCGGGCTCCGATGAAAGTGCTTCTCAAGTTCCGGATGCTATCCGTGAAAACAACTCCTTGAATACAAGGCGGGACTACTCGGTGAAAAAGCAGTATCGTGTTCCATACCTCTATGCCAGAAAACAGCTAAAGGATGCAATGCTTGAGTACTATAGGTCTCTTGCATTGTTGAGATCGTATAGAATCCTCAACCGTACAGCGTTTAGGAAAATTACAAAGAAATTCGACAAGGCTACGGGATCGTCCGTGTGCAAGAAAACTATGGGCAAGATTGACAAAGAAGCCTATTTCCAAACTAGTGACATGTTGGACAAATTGACCACTCAAGTTGAAGAGTTGTATATCACTTTTTTTGATCAGGGTACAAGTGAGCGTAAGCATTCGTTGGAAAAGTTGAAAAGCATGACATACGCTCTCAATAACACGGATATACGACAGCCAACTTACTATCCTTCGTTGTTTCTTGCAGGAATATTGTTGGGCTTTGGTATCCCATTGTTCGTTCTAGGCTTGTATACCGCTTTGCATGCTACACTTTCTGGACAACTTCCTGAGGGCAAGTTCCTATTACAAGTTTGGGGTGGATTCTTCCTCGTGAACCTAATAACCATCCTTTTTGGCATCAATCTCTACGTGTTTGATTTGTTCAGGATCAACTATAAGTTTATCTTTGAGTTCAACATTGCTACCGCCCTTGATCTCAAACAGTTTTTCCTTCTTCCATGTTTGGGATTTGCCTTGTTGTCTTTACTAGCATGGTTCAGTTTCAATGATTATTGGCCAAGCGATTTTCCAGGCCGTGATTGGCCTTGGATATTTTTCGGTATTATGCTCGTCATATTCCTCTGGCCAGGAAGTCAATTGTATGGTTCAAGCAGACGATGGCTTCAAGTGGCTCTTTGGAGACTTCTTCTTTCCGGCTTTTATCCTGTCGAGTTCAGAGACTTCTTCCTTGGCGACATTCTTTGCTCTTTAACCTACAGCTCCGGTAACATCCCATTCTTCTTTTGCTTGTATGCCCATCATTGGAGAGGTATAATTGGCGGGGGAAAAAATACTTGTTCGTCTTCAAGCTCGAGAGTCATGGGATTCTTCAGCAGCTTGCCATCGATTCTCCGTTTTCTTCAATGTGCTCGGCGTTACATGGATACTGGGGACTGGTTCCCGCATCTTGCTAACATGTCAAAGTACATGATAACCACGATTTATTATTGCTTGTTGAGTGTCTATCGAATTGACCGAACCAACCAGACGCGAGCAGCTTTCATATTCTTTGCATGTATCAACTCTTTATACACCTCGTCGTGGGACATTTTTATGGACTGGTCGTTGATGCAACCTCAGGCAAAGCACTTTCTCTTGAGAGATACATTATTTTTCAAAAATCCCCTTGTCTACTACCTTGCAATGGTCACCAACGTGATCTTGAGGTTCCAATGGATCTTCTATGCGTTTTTCAGCAATCAAGTCCAACAATCGGCCGTTACTAGTTTTTGCATAGCGCTCGCGGAGATTGTGAGAAGATTCATATGGATATTTTTCAGAATGGAGAACGAACACAGAACAAACGTGATACTTTTCCGGGCCTCCAGAGATGCGCCGTTACCATATCCAATCAGTCCCCATATGGAAATGGCTGCCAAAAAATTGGTAAACTTGCGCTACAATTCCGTTGGTGGTGCGAACACAGATTGGGTTAACAATAATGTGAGGCACGGTGGCACTTCTACAGCTACTGGAACGTCTCGCGGACGCGAGTCGGGTCGCAGCGGTGACACTGGAACAATTCAATCTGGAGCCAAGTTGTCTCGGCGTAAATCGACAATTGCCAATATTAGCGATGCCGTTAATCGGGCGCATATCAAAGATTTCCAGCGGAGAAGAGTATCGTATGTGGAAGAAGACTACAGTGACGATGAAGAGGATGGTGAGCAATCGGAAGCTAATTAGAGCAAAATTAATAAATATACTTTGTGCACGAGGCTTAGCCAGGGTCCTGCGTGGGCCGAACCCACCCATGCACATTTTGCAAAATTCTCAAATAATTTCATATTTATGCTCATGACCCACAAGCCATAGATCCAAATTTCCATGAAGTGGAGATGATCACAAGCAGAGTCTAAAAATGTCTGTCCATGCTAAGGTAAAAGTGGTGCAATTAATTTGCGGAATCGTTTGCTTTTTCAATGTACTTACTGGAGTAGTTTTATACGCACGGGAGTATCGGGATGGTTTCACCATTCGATCTGCCGGGATCCGGAGGTCGATCAAGGTATGCACCGTAATGGCGTTTACGTTTGGTGTCGCTTCGATAGCGTTAGGTATCTACAATACTCGAATATAGAACGAAATATAAGATTGTTGTATACATAAATTACTGTTTAGCACGCTTAGCAGCAGACTCGTCCAACCCTTCAATAACATGAGGAACGGGCTCGCCGATGGTGGGTCTGACAGCAGGCGTGGTCAAGTCGGCATGGAAGTCCTTGATAATGGAATCAACATCATCGATGTTCAACGAACGCACATCACCCAACTTTTTGATTTTATTGGTAACCTCCTTACACTGCTCGTCGGTCAAGTGCAAGTTCAACTGGTCCACTCGTGACTTGATGGCATTCCATCCGGTCAAACGATTGGCAAAGTGAATGTAACGAGTCAAACCGAAATCAGATGGGTTGAGAATCTCGTAAGTGGATGGATTGGCCAAGATGGCTTTGGCATGAATACCAGCCTTGTGAGTGAAAGCACAGAACCCAGTGATAGGGTTGTTGAAAGGAATGTTCACCTGGACTGCCTCAGCTACAAATTTTCCAAGTCTCTCAACTTGTGCAACTTGTACTTGGACAAGACATAATCACGGTCAGCAGCGATCATTCTAGCCATTAAGCCTCCCAATGGAGTGATACCATTTCTTTCACCGATTCCTAACACAGACACATCGATGAGCTTAGCGCCACCTTCGAGAGCAGTGTAAGCGTTGGCAATAGCACATCCAGTATCGTTGTGGAAATGGCACTCGATGTCACATTTGACAACGGACTTCAACGTTCTTACCAATTCGTACACTTGACGAGGGTTAGCACAGCCTACAGTGTCGGCAATACCCACACGGTTCACACCAATCTTGTCGACGGTTCGGTAGATGTTGAGCAAATCAACCAAGTCAGATCTAAATGAATCTTCGGAAGAAAATCTGATTTCGATGCCCTTCGACTTAACAAACTCAATCACTTCAACAGCCAGCTGGGCAATATAGTTCATATCCTTTCCGTGAGAGTACTGTCTGAGGAACTGAGAAGTTCCAATAACCACATCCACGCCATCTACTCCAGTTTCGACCGCAACCTTGGCATCGTCCATATGGCATCTAATGTGAGTCAAAATCTTGGCTCTGAGTCCAAGCTTGCAAATAGCCTCACAGTCTCTACGACTCTGTTCACTGGCAACGGGCGACGTTAACTCGATGTAATCGACTCCAAAGTCGTCTAAAGCCTTGGCAATTTCGATCTTTTTTTCGGTGCTGAAGAAAGCATTTGCAAATTGTTCTCCCTCTCTCAAAGTGGATTCGATCAACTCGAACTCGCTGACATTAGAAAGGAAGTCCGCAGGGTTGGGTCCATATGGGTTCTGGACCTCTGGCTTGTGCACGTCCTCTGTAACCTTGGTGAAGCCTTCTGGCATGGTGATGGGAGAATGAGAATTGAAATTTGAGATTGAGATTGAGAATTTGCTCGGGTGCCTGGGGTGTTCGAGATGAGAGTGGAAATCAATAGAGTCAGTAGATTCAGTGGAGTCAGTGAATCAATGGTCAATGGGAGCTAGTAGACGTACTTTACGAAATGAGAGTTTAGATATATGGATACATTAAATATTAACTTTTGTCATTAGTCGTCTCATCACGCTCGCACGTATTGGTGGGCCATTGCTTGTTCTTGTTGCTCCAAGAATAGGGCATAGTCATAATCATTGATTGCTTGTAATTCATGAGGCTGTAGCTCGCTTTCGTGGTTCGTTTCATGGCGTTGTCTTGGTGGCAGTGGATAGGGAATGAGGTCGGGAAGAATATCGTCAAAGTGAGCATCGTCTACATGGTTGATCTTCCAGAGATCTACCGAATTAGGAAGTTTGTTGAACCGTTTGAATTCATGGATGGATTCCTGGAGCTTATCGTGGTTGCGTACAAGCGACCGGTTGATCCGTAGACAGGGGACAAACCGAGGGTCAAACGACATCAAGTCGAGGTACTTGTGAAGTGAAGCCCGATACGGAGGGATCTCGATATCGTTCACGTCGTATTCGGGGACCTCGTCGGAGGAATCTTCCGGAAGCGTAGATGGTGTTGAAAGTGATGAAATGGGCGACTGGTCAGGTTCTTGTGGAGGCAGTGGCATCAGCGGGACTGGGCGTCGAATTCTTATACTGGTGGCTTCCTGGATATTAATTGGAGGAGGAAAGGCAGGGTTGATCTGGTTTCTTCTGCGACCAGTGTGGTCTCGGTTGCGTCTGGGGACCGTTCTTTCCTCACGACGAGCGGTCCTCTCGCGAGGTCTGTCTCGACTACTTCGGTCTCGGTTGTTTCTTTCCCGAGTTCTGTCATTGCCTCTTTCCTGAGCCCTCTCTCTGCTGTCTCTTTCTCGAGTTCTTTCTCTGCCGTCTCGTTCCTGTAGTCTTTCTCCAGTTCTTCGACGTGCCCTTTCTCGGCGAGCCTCTCGCCTCTCCAGGTTTCTATGGTGTTCCAGAGTTTCACTAGCTTCTCTCGTAGGTCGTCCGCTAGCTCTTTCACCGGCTCTTGGACGGTTTCCGTATGCTCGTGAACGGTGTCTCCGAGATTCCCGGTCTGGTCGTCTTGGGCCAGAAGTTGGGTCTTCAAAACTCACCACTTGTTGACTAGAATGTTGAAGTTCCACAAACTCAGCTTCTGCACCAGGCCCAGATCTGTTTCTATCCCGAGCAGCTTGTCTTTCTGATCGCTGTGTGGTTTGTGAAGGAATACTTTCAAATATTTGGCCATGTTGGCGTTGAGAAGAATCGCTTGTAGTGGTTTTTGTATGGCACTTTCGAGGCTTTGAGGTTTTCGCAGGATCTGGGGATGGCGGAGGTGTGTTTATGGAGTAAATGAACGCATTAAAACTGGCCTTGAACCCCATATCGTTTTGCCAGAATAACCAGATGAGATGGCGGTATTGCCGCACAACGGCTTCGATGCAGGTGATTACCGAATGCGGAAAGTATATTAAGATCGGTAGCAAGAGAGAAGATAACGAAAAAGAGATAAAAGGATAAGATAAAAAAGAGGGACTGAAAAGATGAAGAACATTGTAGCATTCTGAAATAGGTAATTTGACCTTTTCAAGAAATTCACAAAATTGAAAAATTGCAAATCTAATCAGCACTGAGTGTACTAACTCTAATTGCTGCAAATATTCTTGTCTTTATTACTAAAACTCCTAAAATTCTTACTTTTGGTAGATATTTAGGGAGCCGTTTACTTCTTCTGATTGAGATTCTGTGATAAATATATATTCATAATGCCATAAAACAACCATCTATAAATAGTGTTAGAGCCCATCGCCATATAGCTATACTGGTAAAGCAGCTCAGATCACTTGGTCAAATGTAAACTTGGATTTTTGTCTTGCTTTCTTACCGTATTTGTAGAACCCGAAAGGGACCGGAATCATCAATACGGCAAACGCACCTAGCAAAGTGCTTGCCCATTTTATGTGCATATTCTCAAACATAGGACGAGCAAAAAGTGGAAACGCTGCTCCAAATGCTGAACGAAGCAAAGTGTTTCCTGCCAAAGCCGAAGCCGCAAACACCAAGTAACAGTCAATTATATAGTTCAAACAAGGTAGGAAGATCAATATTAAACCACAGCCAATAAACGATGAACCGACTGTGGGGACCATCCAATGAATTTTGTCAGGGTAGTCACCAGTCCAACCTAGCCAAAATAGGCCTATAGCGAAAAAGAATGAACCAACCATCATTGGCGGAAGTCTTTCCTCTGGAATTGCAATGTTGTTGTTTGCTCTCATAATTCTTTTGAATCGTTTTTCAAAGAAAAGTGTAATAATTGCACCAACAATCACACCTAAAAGCATCGACACATAAGGTAGTTCTCCAACACCTGCTCTAAAATGATACTTTCCAACAAATATCAACGGCATTGCTGTCAACATGAGATACAATATACCATAAATGAAAGCATTGTATAATGTCACCAAGAACAAAATTGGTTCGGTGAACAACATGTAAATTGGTCTTGTAATGTTTTTCTCTGCAATTTCCTTTAGTGTCAAGTTAAACTCTTCATGGGGAGCAAAAATAGCCCAATTACCTGTTCTGTTTCTTAATTCAACTGCCTTCTGGACTAAGACTATTGGATGATGGGTTTCGTCCAAAAAGAGTATTACCAAGATATTGGCAAGAGCAGCCACTAATCCTGTAATATACGAAGTCCATCTCCAGCCTAAATGGGGGTTCTTGGTTATAAAAGCACCCAAAATAGGTGCAACCATGGGTCCACCAAATACAACAATGCCAAAAAGTGACATCGCTTCTCCTCTTTTTTCGGCACGAAACATATCCGCCAACACGGCTGGACCAATTACAAAGGCTGCTCCACCTATAAAGCCAGCAAAAAAGCGGCAGATCATGATGGTCTGGATATCTTGGGCTGAGGCCACGGCAAACGTGAATAAAACGTAACCGAAGCACGATGGGATCATGGCCATCCTTCGACCGAACAATTCCGATAAAGGACCCCAAATGACAGGACCGGAAGCAAACCCAAATACAAACAACGATGTACCTAGTGTACCCACAGTATCTCCCACAAGATATTCTTCTTGAACTTGAAGGCTTCCTGCGGCAAACATGGCAGATCCCAAAGAGATTGAAAATGCTGTTAATCCTGCTGTTAAACAAACCAGAATTTTCTTCTTGGAGGACCAGTTGAACGGATGAGCAGGATCATCTTGGCCATTGTAAGAAACTGCGTAAATAGAACGATCTTCAACTGGAAATGGGTACTCTTTCTCAAGGTTTTTAGCATTTTGCTCACGATGGCTCGTACTACTTATACTAGTGGACAAAGACGAAGAATAATCTGCACTGTCAAGGTTCATAATGATCGGTAATATGGAGTACTTTTCCGAGCTATCCTCTGACAATCTCAACTTATCGTGTAGTTGAACATCAGTACATAATTTGTTCTTATGAAGAGACCCAACTACTTCATAAACAAAGCTAGAGGACCTTAACTCGCGCACCAATGCCTCACCTTCTTCATCACATCCAACTAATCCTAGAATTTTGCAATCTTGCTCTAGTAGCTGTTTCACAAGGTCATGAGAAATTATACCCTTGGAAGCAGACACAAACACTGCAGGCATCTATACCAGTACAGCTGTCAGCAGGTTCACCATATTTGTTCTTTCAAACAGTATTTATAGAATCTGACATGGATCTGAAGCAGGTGAGCCGTGCGCCGCACGTCACTATATGAGCAAATAAGAATACTAAGCAAGAAGCTCAATTTGTCATCAGTAAGGAAAGCGATGGGAGACCATTTTGGTGGGACATTTCATGAAATCAATTTTTGATTTTGTGAATAAACTCTAAATCATCATCGTAGAGCAAATCCTCTCCTAATTCTCAATGCATTCTTGTTGATTTGGGCTAAACTGAAAAAAATAACAGTAGTAGATACCTTCACCAGTATATTACTTCTGGTATCACTTGTCAACTTCGAAAATTATTCCGAAACAAATTGCAAAAAGCATAAGCGAATCAGTGGAGCTCCACGTACTAATCAGATAATTTGCAACGTCTGCAAAATTTAAGATTTATGAGGCTTTTCAAATCATTCATATCCAAACAACAGCCACTCTGTTTTCAAGTAATTGAAATGTAGAGTAACTTGTCATTAACTAGACTTAGCTGTGTGTCTGGTTGCAAATTGGAAAAGTGCTAAGACGAGCTTGAATTTTGCGGGGCGATTCTGATTTAAAGTTCTTCGCGAAATAATAAGCTTCGACTTCAGGGTGAGTTAAGCGATGTCAATGGATGAAGCTTGGCGCTTGGACTTCGGTGAATACATGACAGAGTTCAGGGAGTGAGTTTGGCAATACTGTATCGGTTGAGTAACAGATGCCTGCAGTTCACTCTATTGCACTCAGGTGAATCAATACACTCAATTCACTCAATGGCATCCAATCTAGCTCAATTCACTCAATAGCATCCAGTTTAGCTCAATTTAGCTCAATTGCACTCAAGGCACTCAATGAACTCGACAGCTTCAATGTAGCTTAATTGCGTCCTCTCCAATTGCACAAACCCACATCACCACCCACTACTCAAGTCGTTCCTACACTCAGTAAAAAACTATGATTAGCTACTTAATTCTTAATCTAGTTGATTTCCTCCTCCAACTTGTCGATGGATTCCTTTTGTTTCTGCAACTTTTCTCTCAACTTTCTCAATTGTTCCTTTTCTTGCTTCTTGATGTACATGTTTTCCTGGGCCTTTTCTCTGTCGGAAAAAGCATCATTCTGGCTACCTTCGGCGGCAAGCACTCTGGCAGAAGAAAACGACCTAACGGAGGTTACAGCAGCACGTCTGGCAATAATTTGAGTCAACATAGTGAACAGGGTTAATTGGCGAGCTTGCGCCATTGGATAGAACAAGTTACACAAAGGCGTGTGCAGGAGCGACAAGATGCAAATTTAGCAGGACAGGCTGTAGTGTAGCCGTAGTAACCGTAGTATAGTAGTCGTAGTATCTATTTACATGTTTCGCGTGGGCAAGAACCGCGCATGTCTGTGGACGGAAGAAAGTAATCCGCATGCCCGTGCTCGCTTGATGGCCATTGAGAGCTTTCTCTGGTTTTTGTTGTTGCAACCGGTGATTTCTCGTGGTAATATCTGTCCTGTGGAGCTTAAAAACCGCGACAACAACTCTGGCATCATATACACGTCCAAAGGATCAATACCGGCGTTTTCAAATGGGTCTCTGGATGTACCTGATGCTCGTGCTGATCTTCTTTCTCTTTTTTGGATGTCTAATTTATCGTTGGAAAAGTCAAATGGGTCATAAGTTTCGCCCACGCCAAACCGCTTGGTGAACATGGTATCTATGTGTACTGGGGGTTGAGAGCTTTCTTGGATCGTGCGTGCTAATCCCACAACCTGACTTACAACCGAACTGCTGTTGCTCGTGGTGTCCTTGGTCCACGCACTTTCACTTTTCATTTCTGGTGACGAAGGAAGTGGATTCTCCGCCATCGTTATAGCAGAATTTGTAAATGAACGGGCTACCAACGACGGTGCTCGTATGGCACCAGCCACGGTTCTGCGAAGCATGGTTTTGTTCATTTGTGAATTTTTCGGGCCTTGTCTGCGAAATCGATGGGCCCGCGCACGACCGCCAGAAAAAGTCGACGGAGCACCTTGGGTAAGAATAACTAACCAATACCTACCATTTAGAGCGGTGGTTGGTTTTTTGTGGATTCTGATCGACTGCTGTGTTTGCAACTGGTAGACGCCATACTACTTTCAAGCATTTTTGATTAATTCCCCACCAACTCATTTTGGGCGAGACCAATTAATAATCCCTGATCTTTAGACAGAGGCAAAACTATTCAGTAGTGAGCTTATTATACCAAATTGCACATCACGAAACCGTGTGTTTGGTCTTTTTCCCTAATATATTCATCCTAGCATAAAATCAACATGAGTGACCGGGGTCCTGATCACTGGCTAGAACTGATCAAAAAATGTGTGGCACTTTCAGAGGCCGATATGAAACAGCTATGTGAGCTTGTCAAAGAACTCTTGATGGAAGAGTCGAATATTCAACCTGTACAATCTCCAGTAACCGTTTGCGGTGACATCCATGGACAGTTTCATGATCTTCTTGAACTCTTTCGAATTTCTGGAGGAATGCCTGAAGACGACAACAACACCAGCTACATTTTCTTGGGCGATTACGTGGATAGAGGATATTTTTCGCTCGAAACTTTCACGTTACTCATGGTGCTCAAGGTGAAGTATCCCCATCGGATCACATTAGTACGTGGTAATCATGAATCACGACAAATCACTCAGGTGTACGGTTTTTACGAGGAATGCTTGACGAAATACGGGTCTACCACCGTGTGGAAGTACTGCTGCCAGGTGTTTGATTTCTTAACGTTGGCAGCTATCATTGATGGTAAAATATTATGTGTCCATGGAGGCTTGTCGCCAGAAATTCGCATGTTGGACCAGATCAGAGTCTTGAGTAGAGCTCAGGAAGTTCCCCACGAAGGAGGTTTCTGTGACTTGGTTTGGTCTGACCCTGACAACGTCGATACATGGGCGGTTTCTCCCAGAGGTGCCGGGTGGCTCTTTGGATCCAAGGTGAGTCGGGAATTTAACCATATTAACAACTTGGACTTGATAGCTCGAGCCCACCAGTTGGTTATGGAAGGTTTCCGTTACCACTTTAAAGAAAAAGACGTTGTCACAGTGTGGTCTGCGCCTAACTACTGTTATAGGTGTGGAAATGTAGCCAGTGTTATGAAGGTGGACGACAAGTTGGAGTCGGATTTCAAAATTTTTAGTGCCGTTCCCGATGGAGATCTCGCGGTGAAAAATAACACCAGCAAACAACAGAGAAGTGAATACTTCTTGTGAACCATAGAACATGGCCTAATCATTCACGATCATGATTTAGTTTATTGGATACGAAAGTACTAATTATGTATAATAATTCATTCTTGCTCGGTATCGGTTTCATCGGGACGGATTCCATTCTGTGTCCAACAAATCCGCAACGTTGTTACATTGTTGGTATTCTCGTTTTGTGATACACTCCATCACTGGCATACTAGACAAATCGTAAAATACGGCTCCGTCAATCTCCCGTCCATTAGCCTTGGTGGTAATTTTGTTCCAATTTTTCGGCTCGAATCTTTTCTTGCGAACATTGTAATTACATTCTCGTTGCTTGGCGTCAGGAAAGTAACGAAGAGTCATGGTTCCAAATACCTGAACCGTCCCGTTTTGTGATGGTTGGCACTTGATACTTCCCGAGTTCGAAATTGACGTTTTCAAGAGTCCCACATTGGCGGTGATGGACGCTCCCAACTCACTTGTATCGTAGGTATATCTTGCCCTTGGGCCAAAATTAATATCAAAAGACAGGTCCCACCCGAGAGTGTAGGTATAACTCATGTTCTCTGAGGAAAGAGAAGACACAAGACAGGGAGAAATTGCAATATTTTCTCGGTGGACTTGTTCGTCGTCACCATATTGAACTTCCTGAAGGTGCAAGTAATGTCTGTATTTTAACCATGGAGACCAGTTCTTGCCAGCCAGTTCCTCTCTGGTGAGGTAGACAGAGCCCGTACTGTTGACATACACGAGTAAATCTGGCACAATTTTGGTAGATTTGAGCAGAAGCTCGGACCAGAACTTGGACTGAACAAGTTCATTTTCGTCCTTGAATACCTTAAAATTTCTGCCCTGGATTTGTAGAACATCTCCAACGGTTAATGCAATAGCAGCTAGTAGAAGAAGCAATTTAGTCAACATCTCGATGACAGCTTCAACCCCAGCAGGCTTTATATTATTTTATGAGCCGCACAAATTTTGCAGCAATTAACAGAGCAAATTCTATGATTTTATTGAGGGAAAATTTTGAGTATAAAAATCGAGAAAAAGGATATACGGAAGAATTCAAAAATACTGTTGGTAGCCACAACTACTCGTTGTCATCATCGTTGTCTTCTGACTTGAAGAGAGGCTTCAATGCCTTGTGGATTTTTCTTTGCAATCTCTTTGGTGCATCGTAGTCAATGCTGAAAAGAGACACAGAACTCTTACAACCACTTTTAAGAATTGAGGCTTCAGATGGCAAAAAGTCAAGACCGTTGTAGTCCACGAGAAGAGCCTTGGAGCTGTTTGAGCCGGAGCTGACCAAACCAGTAGTAGCGTTGAATTTGACGGTGGAAGAGGTGGAATCAGGACCAGTGATTCTGGTGTAGACCCACTCCGGAGCAGTACAGCTCTCGTTCTGGTAACCAACAGGAGGCATGTTGATATTGATACCGGTTCCAAGAGGCAACAATCTCTCGTCTTCTTGTTGGGCCTCGAAGAGTTGGTCGACGAAATCGACAACCAAGTCGGCGTAGATATTCGATGGGTTCAATTTGTCTTCATCCAAAGAGTCCTTGAAAAACGAGTTGTTTCCGTTGGAACCAGAGAAAGCAATTGATGGAACACCACGGTATGCAGCAGATACAGCAGCTCCAATGGTACCAGAAATGGTGAAAAGACCAGGAGAAAGGTTAACACCCTCATTAGGACCAGACACAACCAAGTCAAACTTGTCGATGGTGACGTTACTGGAGTTTGAAGTCTTACCTTGGAAGTAGTTTGGAAGAACGTAGTCCAATCCAAATCCAACACAGCTGGCTGGGGTTCCGTTGAAGTACCAGATACCAACGTCGGTTGGTTCGTGTCCCCAAGCAGGGTCTCCCTTGACTTTGTAGGCAAATTCACCGTCAGTCATCAAGTCCTTGGTGTAAGGAACATCGAACTTTCCACTCCATCCCGATCTCTGAGATACTGGAGCAACCATAACGACATTGTGTCCGGCAGACTTCAACGCACGGTAGGTGGCTCTGATGTTGGTAGCAGCGAAACCGTCATCGTTCGTAAGAAGAATATTCTTACAAAGGACACACGACATCAAATATACGAGGGCTAAAAGCTTCATTGTTAACTTATTGTTGGAATAATTACAGCATACTATGCCACCTTTTATAGAGTTCTCGGCTGCAACCTCGAGCCGCACCGCTGTCAACGTGCATCACCAATATGGTAAGATGGCAAAACGTGGGTTCTGATTTAGGGTTATTATTAACGAGAAACGTTGCAATTTTTGGTATGCGCACGGGTTACGTCTTTGCAACCAGTTCTGACATAGGCAATTTCTTAATTAATTCTTTAATAGGGGTTGGTGTTGTAGAATTGGTGACTATATGGATCAATTCGTTAAACTTCATCATCGGATGAGCCCATATTTATAGTTAGTCAAGTTGACAGTATAGGATTTTCGAAAGTATTCAAAAGAGGAACCGATTCCGATTCTTCCTCATTGAATTGAACAACATCTGGCTATCGGCATTGGCGTTCCGTCTCGGTAACCATTGTCTTGGTCTTGGCGGTGATTCAAATACTAGCGGCAAACGTGGAACGGCATATAAATTACCATATACATGCAGGAAAACTTTATAGACATGGCCTGCATATACTTCGATGGGGCTGCAGATAATAGTCATTTGACAAATCTGTTCATAACCGCCATTCATTGTCACCATCGTTATAACCTACCACCGAGGTTCACCTGCTTTCCAGTGACTTGGTCTTAACACGTTTTCTTCCTGCAGATCATTGTGCCAAAGGTTCTGTAAGTCTATAATTTTTCAGATCTGATTTTTCAGTTTCAATTTTTCAGCCTATTTGCATTTAAACTTCAACTTCAATGGAACAAACCTCGTATATAATAGTGGTAAAGTTGGGAACCTCGTCCATAGTGGATGAGCAAACCATGGAACCACGGTTGGCCAATTTGTCTCGTATAGTGGAGACACTTGTCAAGCTTCGGAGACAGGGCCATCGGATCATTATTGTGTCTTCTGGTGCCATTGCCATTGGAATGAAAACCATGGGATTGTCATCTAAGCCTGCTGCGCTTTCCGAGGTTCAGGCTTTGGCGTCCATAGGTCAATCTCGGCTCATTGGGTTATTTGATACACTTTTCCGTCAATTTGATCAGAGAATCGCCCAAATTTTATTCACAAGAAACGATATTCTGGACTTTAACCAATACAAAAACGCCATAAATACCCTCCAGCAGCTCATGCTGATGGGTGTGATACCAATTGTCAATGAAAATGATACATTATCTGTTTCTGAAATCAAGTTTGGTGATAATGATACCCTTTCGGCTATTACCGCAGGAATGGTTCATGCTGACTATCTTTTCCTCATGACCGATGTTCCTTGTTTGTACACAGACAACCCGAGAAGCAACCCAGATGCCCAGGCTGTGTTGTTGGTGGAAAAAATGGAAAATTTGGACATCAAGTCGGACTCCAAAGCCGGTGCTGGTTCTAAGGTTGGAACCGGTGGAATGACCACAAAATTAATAGCTGCCGAGCTCGCAACAAATGTTGGTGTTCATACCATTATTGCGCTTTCCACTCAGCCCAACTATATTCTTGATATTGTCAACAATATTGTGGAAATGGATAAACTCAAACTTACCATGGAAGAGCAAACCGAATTTGTCGATCGGGCCATAAAAGATGGAAAGATTCCCTTGCACACAAGATTTCTTGGACTTCCTAGGCAAACAAAGATCATTTCCGATAAGCGGTTCTGGCTTCTTCATGGAAACAAAACTAAAGGTGCTCTTATTATAGATCAAGGCTGTTTTGAAGCTCTCACTCGAAAGAATCGTGCCGGTTTACTTCCAGTGGGAATTGTTGGAGTTGAAGGAAGCTTTCACGATAGTGAGTCTGTGTCCCTAAAGGTCGTTCCTACTAAAGACTCAGACCCATCTGAGGCAGTTCTTGTTGGAAACTGTAGAGTCAATTACAGCTCCAATGAAATTGAACTTATAATGGGAAAACATAGTCACGAAATCGAAAGCATATTGGGGTTTGCAGATAGTGAGTATGTTGCTCACAGAGACAACATTGCATTTCCTCCGTTTGCACCTTCTACGGACTCATTGGCATGACAACAAATAGACAAATACTAAACGCAATTTCTCACTAAAAACCAATTTCTGGACAATGAACCAATTCTGGTCTAAGAAACCATTTCTGGACTACTTTCGATCTGTTTATGAAACTTTCCAAATCACTACTAGTTACATTTCCGATCTCTATTCTAGTGTCTATTTTCGTATCTCAACTTTCTCATTTCGCGAATCATCTTGTCACTCCATCTTCTCACCACATGGCTACATGGCTACTATAAACATAGATGAGGTTGATGGGCCTGTCCAGTTTCACCTCCAGACTGTGGTTCGTGAGGAATCTCTAGAAGAGGGTGAAACCCTTACTGATGTCGCTGTGTACCAATCCAACTTGTACGTGGGAACTTCATTGGGAAACGTTTTACACTATTTTCGGTTCGATGACTCTCCAGTTTACATACTTATTTCTCGAATATCCGTGTCCTCGAACCAGAAACCAGTGAACAAAATCTTGGTACTCGAATTGGTTGAACGGGCTCTCATCTTGTGTGGCAGTGTTGCCAGTGTATATACGCTACCGGAGCTTTCTCCATGCAAACTCGGAAAACTTAAGGATATTCGAACCATAGAATCGCTTTCCTACAAGGAGGGACTCCAAAATTCATCTAATGCATCACAAAAAGCTTTTGTTGTCGGGTACAACAAGGTAAGAATTATTCAGATTGGTCGCGATCTGATCAAGCTTGTCAAAGACGTCAACTATAACGACGCAATTGATGGGTTGTCTTGCTCGGCAAAGTCTGCCACCGCATATAGCAACCTCGTGGTTGTTTCGAACAAGTCAAACTATGATCTTATTGACCTAAAAGAGACAAGAATGATCAGCCTCTTCAAGTATAAGTCCACCGACGATTCCTCCATCGCGCCACATTGTGCTTCTTTCACTTCGGAATCGGGTCGTGAAGAGTTTCTCTTGACTATTCATGCCGACTCGTCTACTTCAATAGCTATGTTTGTTAATAGCGATGGTGATGTTACCCGAGGAACTCTTTCGTGGGTGGATCTCGGATACCCTCAAAGTATAGCCACACAATGGCCCTACGTTTTCACCGTCATGGACAACTCGGAGCTTGTTGTATCTTCGCTCCAATCAATTGAACATAAAGCTCAGAAAAAGCTCGAGGGACTTCGACTAATTCAACTGGCTCGATCTGTGGAATGCAAAGACAATATTTCTTCAAGTTTTTTGACAACAGTGGATGTTTCTACTGGTGAAACTACCCACTGCGAACTCAGCACCCATTCCAAAGTTCTAGCAGTCACCTCGAACGAACTTCTGATCATACATAAAACCGACCAATTGTCATTACTTGCAACACAGTTTCAGGACTTGATGAAACAAGCAGAACTAAACTTCAGTGATTTGGAAAGCTTGTCAGAACGTGTCCGTGAGCATTCAAAAGCCGTGTCCGGCTCATCTGAACTGTTTTGTATTCACCTTCTTTCGCTAATCTACATCATTCTCAAAGATCATGAAAAGAGTATTGAAATCTTGTTAAAGACCAAAGACGACACTCTTCTCATCGACCCACAATTCATGACTTATACCTATAAAGCGAAGTCGGATGAGGGCTACAAGATATACCAAACTTTGAAGGAAGTAATCGATGGCATGGATCTGAATTCTTTGGATGAGCAAATCTTCAAAGATTGCTTACTTCAAACTCACCGCTACTATTTGGCTTTAGACTTAGCCAAGCTTACTGAATCTGCGAAGAAGAAGTGCTGCTTTATCAGAGAGATGATTTACACCGTAGTTTTCACACGAAGCGACGAAGCTATAAAATTTGCAAAAGGAGCAGATACCACAGGTTGGACCCAGTTTAAGAAGGCCAATAGCAAAATCATGGAATTTGTTCGCCAAGGCACAAACTACTGGGCACGAATAGAATTTCTCAAGCTTCTCGGAAACCAAGAACAGGACGTACTTGTCAAACAGGAGTATGCCGTTGAAATTTGTAAGTATTCCATGATGGTACTCAAAGGTGAGATTGTGGATCCCGCTTTCAAGGAAGAAGATCGAGGAGCCTTGTTGGATACGTTTTTGGAACTCCTTCAAACCAGCTTTTATGACGAGAAACTCTATGCCAAAAACTTGTTGCAATTTCTTGACATAGATATGAACAAGGGTGTTTCGTTTCTCAGAAGCCAAAAAGGCGGAAAGTTCAAGGCAACTCACAAACATATCTTGGAAGAAATATCATCAAAGTACGACGATAAGAAGGATGAGATTTATCAGCTCAAAGCTGAGTTTGCTGAAGCCAGTCTCAGGGACGATATAGCTGACATTAGCAATCTCGAAGACTTGTCGACGTTGTCAGAGACATTGGTGGAAATAGTCAGTATGCTATCCTCCAGAAGTTCCGATGCTGAAATTATGAACTTTCAGATTCTTCAGCAGACATATCAAATCGAGAATAACCTTGAAACTTTGGATTGGCCAAAGCTAACATGGCTTGATTATCTCAGTGCCAATATGAGACGAAGTGAATGCCCGGAGTATATTGAGTTGTACTTGAAAGCCGCTGAACTTCTCATAGTTGAGTTTCATTGGCTTCAGAATCATGAAGAAAAAGAAAAGGTGTTGACTCTTTTAAGTGCTGAACAGTACGAGTATCTTCGGTGGATTATTTCTGGTACTGAAATGATAACGAGGCTACTCAGCGTGGGTGACTTCTCAAATGCTGAGTTTTATGCCAAGTACGGCAGACTTCCATTACAATCTCACCCATACTACTTTGAAGATTTTAAAGAAAGAGCAACAGAAAATTCTAATGATTCAAACAGCATTAAAGCTGGTCTCACGAGCATACTTGATCACTACTTGAAGTTCGTGCTAGACAAAAACGGAAACTATTCGATAATCCAGATGTTTCTACAAAGATATGGAGAACCTTATTTTGACGCATATGATATTATCAGGAGACTTCCCGAACTGTTTCCTGTGAGTTATGTACAAGAATATCTTCAACAAGAATTGTTGCGGCGAGTTGTGATATCTAGGCATGTTACATCGACAAAAGCTTTGGCTAGGTTTGAAGTCAAATCGACATCAGCATTGATACAAAGTCTTGACAATGGTGGCTAAAAAAAGTTCCAACCACACATCAACATGATATAGTCCACGACCATCCCCAACCAGAAAATGAACCCGGTTCTAATGTTACCGGTGAACGCTTTCCAGCAGCTTTTGGGGTCGTCTAAATTGACATTTTTGATTTGAGAGAACAACCTGGCGAAGCCCCAAGCTCCCGTCAAATAGAACCCGGGTCCCATATTGTTCATGAAACCCGACAAAGCATATAACCCAGCCTGACCAGACGCAAGCACATTCATGTAGGGTCTGGACTTGTCACCCCATTTGAGGGCGGTGGATTTGATGCCAGCAGAAATATCGAATTTTTTATCTTGATGGGCATAAATGGTATCGTAGATCATACACCACAAAAAATTAGAAATAAAGAGAGGCACAGCCACGAAAAGGTTCAATGGAGCCCCCACAGCAGGGAACCCAAGCAAGCAACCCCAAGAAAAGCATATAGAAAGCATAGCTTGAGGATAGTATGTAAACCTTTTAAAGAGAGGATAAGCTGCAACGAATGGTAAGGAAAGTGCGCCCAAGTAAAAGCATTCAAATGGAAGAGACAAAAGGACTCCCAAGCCAGCAAAACACTGAACTCCAAGGAAAGTTATGGCTTGTGGAACAGAAACTCGACCACTTGCAATGGGTCGTTCCATCGTTCTTGCAACTTTATTGTCCAAATCTCGGTCCAAAAGATCATTGATAGTACATCCAGCACCTCTCATAACCAAGGCACCAATACTGAAGAGACTCACCACCTTTAACGTGGTCAAAACCGGAGCACCAATTCCATAGGCGGCCATTGTAATTCCCCAGAATGAAGGAAGAAGTAAGAGTAAAGTGCCCACAGGTTTTTCGAGTCTCATCAATTCAGCGTATGGGATCCATCTCTGTGGAAGCTTGGACACATAGGGCCCCAAACCTTCTAAACGGGCTTTTTTTGCGGCTTCTTTTTCTTCTGGAGAAAACACGGGAACTTGGTGGACGAGTGGTTCGACTTGTTTTACGGCATTGAACGATCTGGAAGTTATGGAAAACAGCCGTGATGAAGATATGCTCAATATGGACAAGTTTGAGGGGCCCAAAGGTCTTGAAGACCGTAGAAAATGACGTAGTGGTGACACAGTGTATAACGAACGAATCATTGAAAAGATGAAAAATGCGAACTGACAAAGAGAGAGGAAAGGAATTATTAAAGCGAAAAAGAAGTGCAAATAATGTATTGGACCATCTTGCCACGGTTGCTATAGTAGTCTCCTCTTTCTTCGTTTCTTCGTTTTTCGTTTCCCTCTCTTTCTTCGTTCCTCTTTTTCATTTCTCGTTTCTTCATCATCACGACGTTTCCATCTCCTCCAAAACCTCGTATTCCTGTTCACTGGTGTTCGCTAGCCGCTCCCTCGTGGCTCTGTGTCGCTCTATGAGCCTTTTCAAGTCGGCGTAGCGTGGATCTCGAGGCTGTAAATCGTCAACGTCTTCCTTGGCCAGAAAGATCTGTCGACACATGGGACACAAACCCTTCAGATTATCCTGCTCGAGCCATTTGAGGATACAATGCAAGTGGAAATTGTGTGTACATTCGTCTCCAAGCACTATGGGACAATCGTCTCCAGGATATTTACAGTTGGGACAAGTGCCGTCGAATGCTGCTCTGCAAATTCCACAGAGATCGTCAGAATATCCATGTGTAGCAAAGTCCCAGTGCCAAAAAGTGACAGCGTGCCAGTCTAGTATCTTGACCTTCATGTGAGATACAAGGTTCTGAAGGTTGTTTATGAAAGTTTATTTGTTTTCGATACAATTTATTTGGTAATGTTTTTTGTGTAATGATTTTTTGATTTTCGAATGGCTGCGAAAACTAAACACTCTTTTTATATACCAAACCCTTGAAAATATCAAACGAGTTTCCATCCGGTTGCAACTCAAACCGCTCACCAGAATTCACATCCTCCGCCACCAAGAGTCCATAGTCTTTGGTGATGCCTCTTATAATACATTTCCGAGTTCCCTGGCCAGTTTCTAACCGCACCGTCTGATTACTATGGAACCACCTTTTATAATAAAGCGATAAAAATGGCTCAAGTCCCGACTTTTTGAACGCATTGAAGTAGTTTTCCAACATGAACACCACCCTAGCAAGAAGAAGCTCGTGTCTGTATGGCGGCAAGATAGGCAAACCTTGGCGTTTGCGGATCTCGTTCATTTTTGCCAACACGATATTAAGAGACGTTGTAGGCGCTTCGTTGGAAACATTGACCCCCGCTCCCCATACAAGATGGAACTGCTTATCGAGGAATTGAGAGTTGACTATGGCACCAGAAACCTTGGCAAACATTTCCTCGTCTCCATCGACGGTTTCTGGGTTCTCTCTATTGGCATCGTCCAAACTGTTAAAGTACTCCGGTTTCAAAATGTAGATGTCATTGGGCCATTTCAACTTTACAGGAAGCTGTTGGTAGCCTTCTCCATAATTCAAAATCAGCTCTATCAACGCAAGCGAACACATATACTGCAACGTTACAATGGTGGAGGTTTGATTATTTCCTGGGGGCATTTTGAAGAGTATCGACGTTGCCATGACTCCCTTGGGGTTGATCCAGAGATTTCCTCCACGTCCTCTGCCTGCTACTTGGGTGGTGGCAGTGAGAGTGGTTCCATGAGGAAGAAGTGATAGCCATCTAGTATTATTATCAAGCAAAGTGTTGGTGGAAGAAACTACTTCACCGTACCCAAGCAAGGCACCAATGGCACCAGGAGTACTATTAGAGTTACGCCAAAGAGCTTCTAGTTCGTTGAAATATGCTTGCATGTTGAAATACGGTGTTTCTTTTGAGCCTGGAAGCTCTTTTGATGTGAACACTTTAAGGTGCTTGATGGCTTCGTTTGCATTTTGGTGTTCAAGTTGTCCTTCGCCTGATTCCATAAAATACTCATGGTCGTCCTCATCTTCTTTGTGGAGACAGAATGTATCGTTGGTATCTTCCCAGGTATTTCCATGAATAATATCGAGATTCTGTTTCAACCTATCAAGCGTCTCAATGATCAAAGACTGATTCATGTATGAAGAAAGGTATATCGGAGTGATACGAGGCACCGTGACTTCCACATCTTTATTGACTCTAAGCCCGAGTTTCATCAAACAGTTTTGGAGAAACTTTCTTCTACTCAAATCATTTACACGGAGAACTTCAATTGCATGGTTAAACTCGGCGTTTTCTTCCGGTTTCAACAAACTGGGTGTGAATTCAGGATGACACCCAGTAAGTATGACATCTCCATTGCCCACTTTACAATAGATCACGGCAGCCCGGTCATGTTCGCTTTCAAAATACTTCAGAGGATCCTCATACGATGCCAATACTTGTACTCCCAGGTACTTGGAAGCATTGACAAAGTATCCTCCACCATTGTAGTAGTTTATCACTCGAGAATCGACATTTGGCAACACTTCGTTGTTGACACGCAATGGAGTCGCCCTGGCTCCACTATGGCTGTTATATGTGAACCCTGGGTAAACACAACCCCTGGCAATGCCTGGGAAAAATCTCAATTCTCTGCTGCCGGAAACCTCCATACTAAGGTTACCAACTTCGAACTCGCAACGACCAGATGCGTAATAACCACCAGCGCAAAAACCAATGAATTTACCTCCTTTTCTGACAAACTGTGCAATTTTTCTGTTGCCTTCGCCATTCAATGACCTACAATATGGAAGGTCTGCTCCGCCAGGCAATACAAGTAATGAGGTTTTGTTCATCCATGGGTCGTTCAAAATGGCCGATTCTGATACAGAAACCACAGCATAGTATGGAGATAGATGTAGTCTGAGCGACTCTATGCAATGCTTGACGCTTTCTGCCGTGGTTCCATTGCCGGCATACACCAAAACGTTCATTGGAAAAGGAGTGAATCAAATAGTTTGAGTCGCGAGTGAATAATTCAGGTGACTCTGAGTCACGGCATATGCAGGACGAGTCATCGACGATGGGCAGGTGAGTAAGTGAGAGAGTGAGAGAGTGAAAGAAGCACATATCGATTGAGTGATGGATCCTTTTAATTGATTAGGACATTCGATTTTTGAAGTTGAAAGCCTCAACTGAAAAATGTTATTTAATAGTTGATGATGATTCAATAATCTACAATTCGCATATTACTCTCTCTCTAAGCTTTTGGTTCTGGCCTATCATACACAATTCTTTCACTTCTTTCACTTCTTTTATCTTGCTCTTCTTGTTCATCTTTCGCAATTTTCAGATTTTGCAATTTTCTAGATTTTCAAATTTCGCGAATTTACATCTTCATGTCTACAATCACACTAGATCCAAAACCCGGTTTTGTGATCAAGTCTCGCGTTCTCGAAGCACAAAACTACCTCAAGCACAGTTCTGGAACCAAGGTGTTCATCAATGTTTGCCACGATAATCAAGTTCCCAAACCCCCACAAGAGTTTGATCCGGCAATAGTATTTCCGCTCATCATACAAAATGAATGGGAAATTCCCATCATAGTTTCGGAAGAAAAACAGACCACAGACAAAAAGGGCATTCCGTCGTTTGTGTATGACTGTTGTATCAATCTGTTATGTTTTCAATGGTGTCAAGTAAACAGCGAATTGCGCCAAATATTGAATGAATGGTGTCTTGAGTCAGTGGAATTGTTATATGAGGTGACTTTGGACCGAGAGTATTCCATTCCCAAGATGCTCAGCAAGGGAGAGTTGTCTCTGACGATAGTGGAGTCTCTGGAAATGAGCGATAATGGATTCCAGAAAAAGTTACAGCAGCTTAAACAAAACGATACTTTGGGCTTGATAGAAGAACTCAAGCCAGACGAGCCTCAAGACGACGAGGATCTTCCAGATTTGATGAATATCAACCGCGAGCAAAAAGCTGGAAAGAAACCGTTGATCCAGGAAATCGAAGAGATGTCGATTCAACTGGAAAAGACAAGTCAAAAGCCAGTTATTAAATCAAAATCTCAATTATCCACCGTCACCTTTGCTGTTAGTTTTCAAAACATCAGCGACAAAAAGTACCATCTTCTAGTAAAGTTGACCACGGATTCTAGAGCTGATCTCGCCAATCAACTAGCATTGAGTATCGATACAGAAACACAACAGTTGGTGTTGCAGCCTACCCCAGATTCACGCATTACTCTCCCCAATTCCTCGAACAAACTACAGGTTCCCGTTCCGGCTTCATCGCAGTCATGTGAGCCCAAGTCGTTCTACGTCAAACTGGAACAAGCCATCTACGTTTTTGTTTAGAATTGAACAAAAGAAGAGACAACTATAAAGTGAGAAATCTTCTCATTTCCGAAGAATATGCGATTCTAAAGCAGTTCAATTCAAGTCTACACACCTCCGCATTGTATCCAGATCAATTCCAATGTCTGATTCGGATATGGAATCTCGCGCGCAAACGACAGGGACATGTACAGGATTCCGCGCAAGGAACTACCGCATTGGGCCGTTCCGCTGAGTTCTCACTTTCGGCGGCTCTCTTAATCTTTATATCATGGGATGCAAACTTTCTTCATTTTTGCATAGCAGTGAGCACTTATTCGATATTACTCCGTCGTTTGGTATTTTCTAACAATGAGCTCGGAGCATCTCATCCATATTCCTACTACCGATGATCATCTAGAATACGGATCTACCGGTGTCACGTCACCAAAACACAATGAAGTCGAACTCTTGGATTCGGGATCTGGACTGACTATCGACGACAAGTTGTACAAATCTGAAAGTGGCATCATCTTGACATCTTCAGCACCGCTAGTGTTGACCTTTCTCTTGCAATATTCATTGTCGACAGTGTCCATGTTTGCAGCTGGAAAGCTTGGATCCAAAGAGTTGGCGGCGGTCAGTTTGGCAATCTGTACATTTAACATCACTGGAATAGCCGTGTACCAGGGAATGGCTACAAGCTTGGACTCGTTATGTTCTCAAGCTTATGGATTTGGCAATTTGCATCATGTGGGATTGTACTTCCAGCGGTGTGTTTTGGTAACGACGCTTCTTACGTTGTTTCCTCTTAGTTTCATATGGTGGTTTTCTGGTCCTATCCTCAACGCTTTGGTACCAGATCAAGAATTGGCATATATGAGTCAAACCTACTTGCGGTGGATCACCTTAGGAGCACCGGGACTTCTTCTTTTTGAAATAGGAAAGAGATTTCTTCAGGCTCAGCAGATTTTCAATGCTGGCACCTACATTTTAGTCATTGTGATTCCATTCAACGTTATTGCTCACTGGCTTCTCGTATGGCACCCAACGTTCAGCATCGGATTCATTGGAGCTCCAATTGCTATTTCGCTCACTTACTGGATGATTTCGCTTCTTATGCTTGCTTACGTCTACTTTATCGACGGGAGAAAATGCTGGGGAGGCTTCGACCTCAAAAATGCTGGCCGTAATTGGGGTCCTATGCTCAAACTTGCGTTTCCTGGAGTTATCATGGTAGAAGCAGAATATTTTGCATTTGAAATCTTGACGGTTTTTGCTGCTCGCTTTGGAACAGATTCGTTGGCAGCTCAGTCAATTGCTTCAAACGTGGCTGCTTTGACATTCCAACTTCCGTTTGCTGTTTCCGTGGCTGTTTCTACAAGAATCGGCCAGCTTATAGGCATGAAGAGAATCGACCTTGCGCTGCGGGTGATCCGTACATCTTACTTGCTCGCATTGTGCACTGCTTTGACCAACTTCAGTGTCTTCTTTTTTGGTCGGGGAATCATCGGTAACATCTTTACATCTTCAAAAGATGTGCTCAAAATAAGTAACAAAATCTTGGTTTTGACAGCCATTAACCAGCTTTCAGACTCGTTTAATGTCATGGCATCCGGGGTTTTGCGGGGCCAGGGAAGACAGAAGATCGGGTCCATTCTAAATCTTCTTTGTTACTACGTAATAGCACTTCCTATTGGCTATATCATGGCATTCCACTACGAGCTCGAAATCAGTGGTCTCTGGATCGGACTAATTTTGGGGGTTTTCTCGCTCGCTGCCAGCCAAATCTACTGCATTTTCCGAAGCGACTGGGACCAGATCATCATCGATACATACAAACGGCATGATTCATAAACTATATAGGGCACATTATACACTTCATCTAATGTCGCGCATGTCGCGATCTGTTGAGATGCGATGAGCTTGTAGCAGCTTCTTAGTCACTTTTAATATGCCACCACGCAGACGTTTTGACAAAAAAGGGGCAGTTACGTACTCGGTGGTCCATAGAGCACATGATGACTCGCTCTACTACGATAACGATGCTTCTAGGCACGTTCTTGTACCTTCTTCGGATGCAAAAAACGTGCAAAAAAAACTGTATTCTGTAGCAGAATTGGAAGAAAAGCTAGGAAAAGAGTCCACGGAGAAGATCAGAGCCAACGAGGGGCTCGCGGCACAATATGGAGTGTTTTTCGACGACTCAAAGTACGATTACATGCAGCATTTGAAGCCTATGGGAGAGGCTCCCGATGCGGTTTTTGTGGGTCCGGAAGAAGTGGCCAAGAAACCTTCAGGAAATATTGAGGATCTTTTCCGGGACCAGCTTCCGTCGGAGGAAAGCAGGAGGGTGGATAATGTGTTGGAAAATATTCCAAAAGAGCTTCAAGGATTCAATCCAGACTTGGATCCGCGATTGCGAGAAGTGATCGAGGCACTTGAAGACGAAGCCTATATCGAGCCCGAAGCACTGGACAAAGAGGAGAAGGACGTTTTTGCGGAATTGCTTGCATCGGGAGAAGTTGAAGACGACGACGAATTTTACTATGGTTCCGCAGCAGAAGATGACGAATGGGACATGGACAACTACGAAGATATCTACGCCAAGTACGATGCTCCTGACGGCCAGGATGTACAGGATATGCCGTACAACGAAGGGGAAGCGCCAGAAGAAGCATTGGCCCCGGGCGAAGTGCCAATGACAAATAGTTCATGGCAAAAGGATTTTCACAAGTTCAAAGTGGAAACCAAGAATCAAGCCAATGAGTGGGATTCAGACGATGATTTCGACGACGACGACGACGACCACTACGACGAGGAAGACCGCGATGTGCTTCCAGACCTACCAAACTACAACGATGCCAAACCAAACAAGAAAATATCCAAAACCAAACAGCGAAAGAAAAAAGGTGCTATGACAGATACAACTTCGTTTTCCATGACTTCGTCGGCTCTTTTCCGAACTGAGGGCCTTACGCTACTCGACGACCGGTTTGAGCAGCTCTCAAAGAAATATGAACAAGACGAAGAACCGGAGTATGAAAACTTTAAAATGGAAAACGAAAGGAGCGATTTTGATTCCATGTTGGACGACTTTCTCGATAACTACGATTTGGAAAAAGGAGGACGTCGTTTGGTGAAAAAAGATGCCGAACTCAAGCGCTTACAAGAAGCCGCAGACTCTGTTTCCAAAGGTAAAGCGGCTAATCGACGCAAACAGAATCTGCTGGTGGATAAATTGGGCCGCGCATTTAACCTGATGAAACTCTCAAACCAGCAATCTTGAAACTAAACGGTGGACTTGAGCCGCACACGACGTTTTTAGTGCGCCCTGTTAGAAAAAATTTCCTGGATGAAGACGGAGGATTATTACCTGCATTTTCTCGTGGCGATATTTTGAAGGTGGCAAAGCAACCTTTTGGAGACACATAGCGTTTCTTGACAACTTCTTCTACAGGATTGCACAACATCTTTCACCATAAGGAGGGTACACAGGCTTCCACTTGCGTTTGTACTAGCATTAATCTTTGGCTTTGGCAGCTTATTTTTGTTCCGGTCTTCTTCATCCAGTGCCATGTCGATCCCCAACCCCGTCAGCTCGGTGTCCAAGGTTTACACGGATGTTTTAGCTTCGAAACCACAGTCGTACTGGGATTATGAAAACATAAATATCAAATGGAACTCGCAAGACAACTACGAAATCATCAAAAAGTTGGGACGTGGAAAGTATTCGGAGGTTTTTTTAGGAGTGGATCTTAAAAAAGGTGAAAAATGCGTTATAAAAGTGTTGAAACCGGTCAAAAGAAAGAAGATCAAGAGAGAAATTTCCATTTTGAAGAACTTGGACGGCCCCAATATCATTGGGCTTTTTGATATTGTAAGAGAACCCCAGCTGAAAACACCTGGACTCATCTTTGAGCACGTCAACAACATCGACTTTCGCACCCTCTACCAGTCTTTCACCGACTATGACATTCGGTTCTACATGTACGAATTGTTGCGAGCGTTGGACTACTCGCACTCGATGGGGATCATGCACCGTGACGTCAAGCCCCACAATGTTATGATAGACCACGAGAAGAAACTTTTGCGGTTAATTGACTGGGGTTTAGCCGAATATTACCATCCAGGAACCGAATACAATGTGCGAGTTGCATCGCGGTATTTCAAGGGACCGGAATTGCTCGTGGATTTCCGTCTCTACGATTACTCTCTTGACTTGTGGTCGTTCGGGTGCATGTTGGCGTCAATGGTTTTCAAGAAAGAACCGTTTTTCCACGGAAAATCGAACACCGACCAATTGGTGCAAATTGTGCGTGTGTTGGGATCGGACGACCTACACAAATATTTGCAGAAATACGGGCTTGTTTTGAGCGAGGAGTACGAAGATTTGGGATACTACAATAGAAGACCTTGGAAGCGATTTGTCAACGAGAACAACCAGCATCTTGTCAGTGACGAGTTTCTTGATTTCATCGACAAGTTGTTACGCTACGACCACCAGGAGAGATTGACGGCCAAAGAGGCTATGGCACATCCGTACTTTGACCCAGTACGGCCAAGTAATACTAAATAGATATATTGATGACGAAAACGGAATATGGTAGTGGTCCTGCACAGTTTCTAGATTTTTCTATCGAGGTTCCCCAGCCGTGTGTTAAATACTTGAGTTTTCTTTTCCAATTTTATAGCATTATGACCAATTCCAAGGTATTTTTCGACATTAGCTGCGATGGTGTGAAGAAGGGCAGGGTTGTGTTTGAGTTGTTTAATGATGTGGTCCCCAAAACCGCAGAAAACTTTCGTGCTTTGTGCACTGGAGAAAAAGGTGTTTCTGAAAAATCAGGAAAACCATTGCATTACAAGGGCTCTATCTTCCACAGGGTGATCAAGGACTTTATGTGTCAAGGTGGAGACTTTACCCACGGGTCAGGAATTGGTGGCGAATCGATTTATGGTGAAAAGTTCGAGGACGAGAATTTCCAGTTGACCCACGACAAGCCATTTTTGTTGTCGATGGCCAACGCTGGCCCGGGAACAAACGGGTCACAGTTCTTCATTACCACCGTGCCAACTCCCCATTTGAACGGCAAGCATGTGGTGTTTGGTCAGGTGATACAGGGCAAGTCGATTGTGCGTCAACTTGAAAGATGTGAGAAAGGCTCAGACGACCGTCCAGTTCAAGAGTGGACCATCAGTGACTGTGGAGAATTGGACCCCGGGTACCAGCCTGAAGCGAGTGGTGTAGATGATGGGACTGGGGACATATATGAGGAAGTATTGGCGGACAACGACTCCATCAATGTTAATGATCCAGCATCTGTCATTAAGGCAGTGACCCATTTGAAGGATATTGGTACCGAGTTGCTCAAAAAGGGAGATTTGGAGAAGTCGCTCGCAAAATATAACAAGGGTGCTGGCTTTTTGGAGGACTTTTTCCCGGACGACTTGTCTGATGAAGACATAGCTACCGTCAATTCTCTCAAACGTTCATGCTACTTAAACGCTGCGTTGGTAGCACTCAAATTAAAACGTGGAAAGGAGACGGTAGAAGCAGCCTCGAAAGCACTCGAAACAGAGGGCATTGATGACAAGGCAAAAGCTAAGGCTCTCTACAGAAAGGGTAGTGGGTACTTGCTTGCCAAAAATGAAGATGAAGCCCAAGTTGCATTCGAAGATGCATTAAAATTGGAGCCTTCTGACGGTGCTATAATTAAGGGATTGGCCGATGTAAAGAACTCTATCAAGGCTCGGAAGGAGAAGCAGAAGAAGGCCATGGCCAAATTTTTCAGCTGAAAAAAAGAAGAAAGTAAGGAAAGATGAAAAGTAGAGAAAGTACATTAGAAGAAAATAGAAGAGTTGTAAGTCAAAAAGATATCTGCAAATACCTAACTCTTGCTTGTTCTCTCTTCGAAGACTAGTGACATCCACTGTTGTATGTTCCCTTCTCTAGCCCCATACTTACGGACTCCACACCGCGCGCCAGCCTTCTGCGTAATTGTCAGCCCGCTGAAAATTTGTCGCCACACAACACCGACTGAAAATTGACATTTCTCGTTTGTATACCTTTACCCCCACATCCCATCTCCTCCCGGGTCTTCAAACACAGCTTTTGTCGATCAATCAATCATCCCCATATAGTGTACTATTATTTGGGACGTCAATAAAGTCGTTTAATTTGGTTATTAAGGCTTTTACTTGTGGTTACGGTTCGGGCGTTTGGCACTCATTCATTTGATTGCTTTGATTTCTTGAAGAAGAACTGTCTGGATATCAAAGGCGGTTCGGTGCTATTAAAGTATCTGTCTCAGCATACAACAAAGCATATTAGTCGGGTTCCAGTTCATTTTATTTTCATTTATTATTTTTTTCATTTGAATCGTTGATTCTATTAATTAACCCAGAAACAAAACATTAAAAAAAAACACATATAGATTATGAGTCGGCAGTTCCCTCATTCCAGCGCTCCGCTTCGGTCGGTAAAAGAGGTACAGTTTGGTCTCTTATCTCCTGAAGAAGTACGGGCGATATCCGTGGCTAAAATAGAGTATCCAGAAACCATGGATCAGGCCACTAAAAGACCCAGAGAAGGTGGTTTGAACGACCCCAGACTAGGATCCATTGATAGAAACTTCAAATGTCAGACTTGTGGCGAAGACATGGCAGAATGCCCCGGTCATTTTGGACACATCGAATTGGCCAAACCAGTGTTCCACATTGGTTTCATAGCAAAAATCAAGAAGGTTTGCGAGTGTGTTTGTATGCATTGCGGTAAGTTGTTGCTTGATGAAAGCAATCCAGCCATGGCTCAGGCTATCAGAATTAGAGACCCCAAAAAACGGTTCAATGCAGTGTGGAATTTGTGTAAAGGTAAGATGATCTGTGAGGCAGACGTTTTGCAAGATGACGGAGAAGGCAATGAACCCAAGCGTACCTCCAGGGGAGGATGTGGTCACACACAGCCAGTTGTCCGTAAAGACGGCCTCAAGTTGTGGGGAACCTGGAAACAGAATAAAAACTACGACGAAACAGAACAGCCAGAACGTCGTCTTTTGACTCCATCAGAGATCTTGAATGTTTTCAAGCATATCAACAGCGAAGACTGTGTGAGACTTGGATTCAACGAAGACTATGCAAGACCAGAATGGATGTTGATTACTGTACTCCCTGTTCCACCCCCTCCGGTGCGTCCATCGATTGCTTTCAACGATACTGCTAGAGGTGAGGACGATTTGACTTTCAAATTGGCAGACGTAATCAAAGCGAATATCAATGTGCAGAGATTGGAACTTGACGGTTCCCCACAGCACGTCATCAGTGAATTTGAAGCTCTTCTTCAGTTTCACGTTGCAACTTATATGGATAATGACATTGCAGGTCAGCCCGCAGGCGCTTCAAAAAACTGGCCGTCCGATCAAATCCATTAGAGCTCGTCTTAAGGGTAAAGAGGGTAGATTAAGAGGCAACTTGATGGGAAAGAGAGTGGACTTTTCCGCACGTACGGTCATTTCGGGTGATCCCAATCTCGATTTGGACCAGGTTGGTGTTCCTATATCGATTGCTCGTACCTTGACGTACCCTGAGATTGTGACTCCTTATAATATTCATCGGTTGACGGAATATGTCAGAAATGGTCCCAATGAACACCCTGGTGCCAAGTACGTCATAAGAGACACTGGTGATAGAATTGATTTGCGTTACAACAAGCGTGCTGGTGACATTGCCCTTCAATATGGATGGAAAGTTGAGCGTCATTTGATGGACGATGACCCTGTATTGTTCAATCGTCAACCATCATTGCATAAAATGTCTATGATGTGTCATAGAGTGAAAGTGATGCCATACTCTACATTCAGATTGAACTTGTCTGTTACCTCACCATATAATGCTGATTTCGATGGTGATGAAATGAATTTACACGTACCTCAATCTCCCGAAACTAGAGCTGAATTATCGGAAATTTGTGCTGTGCCTTTGCAAATTGTTTCTCCACAATCCAACAAACCAGTTATGGGTATCGTGCAGGACACGTTGTGTGGTGTCCGTAAGATGACACTTCGTGATATCTTCATCGAATATGATCAAGTTATGAACATGCTTTATTGGATTCCCGATTGGGATGGAGTTATTCCTCC